TATTTTCTGACGAATGTGGCTTTGTAAGCCGAGCCGAAGGCGAGGCCTATAATCACATTCGTCAGAAAATACTTTTGGACCGTGTGATGAATGCAATTTTTCGTCAGAAGGCCCGTAAACCGCGATCAAACCGAGCGAAGCGAGGTTAGAATCGCGGTTTACCGGGTCTTCTCACGAAAATTAAGTTATTGAGATTTTTTCCGGAAATCCATAGCAACTAACTTTTGGGTCCGATTGTTTTGGGATATACCGCAATCAGGCTTAATGGTTCTGGATTTGATCAACCCGATCTGGGAGAGAAAATTTGTTTTGTTAAAATTATCTCCATATCATTAATGAATAATAATTTTAATAATCATAACACTGATGAACAGATGAACGCTTGATGCATCAGTAGATTCAATTTTTGCTTTTAACCCTAGTTTGGTTACTTGACGGGAACTTGGGGCTCTGGTCACCTTCGCGGGGATTTGCCGCCGTGTTATTTAAGCTCCAGCGTTGCCGAATTCACTCTACACTGCCCGGGCGCGATTAACAAGTTTCCAGCAACGTCGCGCAACGGGCAATTTTATTTAACATGGGAAAAAAATTGTTCAACTGTTGGAAATGATTTTTTTTCTTCCAGAATTTGGGATGTAATATTAAAAAAACAATACTAAAATTTTCCAGATACTTTAATTGACGAATTAAAATTTTTTCGGATTTTTCCGGTCAACCAGCCGGTGACAAGACGAAAAAAACGACACGTTGCGGCAATTCCCTCGCATGGTGACCAATCTAGGGTTAAGGAAACAAGAATTGAAATAGAAAGATTCATTGTTCGGCAGATACTATTATAGAAAGTATACTTACATTAAAGTTTCTTCCCTACTGCCATATAAATCATAGACATTAATGTCGAAAAATACAGGGTAATTTCCCATGCTTCATTTGAAACAAGATAAACGTTATCCTGCAATTTGAACGTATAGTCCTTGAGTATTTCCCAAGCTCAGCATGCGTTGCATGTTTAGGTAGAAGGGATTGCATGATCCTTAAATATTGATCCTGCGGTACAAATGTGTAGCATTCGAATGCCTCGTCATTATAATCGCAGCCAACACTGGTAACGCGTGAGAAATTCTCACTATCATTGATGCATTCATATTATTTCATCCACCTGTGAGAAACACGCAATGGTTTTTTTTGTTTTTCTTGGAGGGTTTTTGCCTTTCTAGTTGTGCCGCAAAACTTTGCGATTTCAAGGCAAATCACGGAGGTATTAGAGTGCGGTAAGTCGGCGAATAAAGAATTGTGCGTGCCGGACAATGACCTTTTTTAAAGCAAGCTGGTTATTTCTATAAACAACGTAAGTCAGTCATTGTGAAAAACAAGCAGGGTTGCGAGCCTATTTGACAATAGCAATGTGACCGTTGCTTTATATGTTATGAGTCTGTTTTCTTTGTATCTCTACCAATTTCATTGGTAATAAGCTTCCGAATGGACCTGTTGCAATAGTTCTAGGATAAATGGTCCCCTGAAAATCGTTCTTAGAAAAGTGTTCCTCGGAAAAATGATTCCTATAGTTACTTTTTCACGCCGATTCCCGTTTTCATCGTTATTTGATCAAATATTAGATAATATGAACAAGCAGTTGACCGCTCCTATATTGCAGAAGGCACGTGACTGTTACTTTTTGTGTTATTTGTATTTTAATTAGTGATGCTGTCTAGACTAGACGAGAATTATTTTGGAAAGATCATCACGGTCTAAAAAACATCGAAAGTTTAGGAATCGTCGTAATCTCGAAAGACATTGGATCGGTGCATCTCGTCTCGTCTCGTGAACGTAAAAACCGAAAATCTCGAGATCCAGGCAAGATAAATGCTCTTGGAATTGTGACGAGATGCACCGATCCAATGTCTTTCGAGATTGCGACGATTCCAAAACTTTCGATGTTTTTCCAGACCGGGATGATCTCTTCAAAATAATTCTCGGCTAGTCTCGACGACATCACTAATTTCAATTTCCTATTTCTAGCAATTCCATTGGTAGTAAGCTTCCAAATGGATCCATAGCAATTCCCTTTTTCAATTTATCTCCAAAACTTTGTATAAACGGGTACATATATTTTGATTGACCTAGATAGATGACATCGAGACGAGTATTTTGAAAAACAAAATGAAATCGGTCAAGTAGTTTTTGAGATATTGACCAATATAGTTTTATACGAAAAGTTGAATATCTCTGGAACTACTGGATCAATATCGTTCAGCCAAAATCCCAACCTTTTTAATTATGGGAGCTACAATGATACCAAATTTCAACCTTCTATCTCAATTTCTTGTCGAGTTAGCGCGCGTACATGGAATCTTGGGAAAAAATGGAAAATCGGCAATATCTCAAAAACTTTGTATGAACGGGTATATATATTTTGATTGATCTAGATAGAAGACATCGAGACGGATATTTTGAAAAAAAAAATGAAATTGGTGAAGTAGTTTTTGAGATATTGACCAATATAGTTTTATACAAAAAGTTGAGTATCTCTGGAACTATTGGACCTATCGGGCTGAAATTGTGCATCAAACTTGAGGTTAATAGTACCTAGTATGGGTGAAAATTTTGCGTCCATATCAATGAATTTTCCTGTATTAATGATATATTTTCTAAAAAGTGGTAACCCAAAAACCGAACTATCAGACCCGGACATACAGACATTTTCTAAAAACATCATTTCTTCACGTTTCATACCATTCTACATCATTTTCAGGCAAAATTAGAGAATGTCAAAATCCGAAGAATACTATGCTTCTATTCGGAAGCAGAAAGAAAAAAAAACAAACTTTTATTATATAACTTTTTAAGGATGTTTAGCCGTTTTCAGCGAATCTTATTTTTTCGTGTTCAAGAAAAATTCTATGACTTTTTTGGCTGATAGCAGAACATATAAAACTAACTTCTTTGATGTTAAAAAAAAATTTATCGCAATAATCTCGCCAGAAATAAATAAACAAATTTTTCTTTGTACACGGGCTCTTATGGGATTTATGTTGTAATTTATAATTTACCTACTAAAAGATGCTAAAAGTAGAAAAAAAATAAGGTAATGTACAAAACTATACTGAATCAAATGGCCAGGGTACAATTTGGGGTCCCCGGAAAAAACGATGAAATATTCGAAAGATTCTATCCCGTATAAGCGCATGTTAGCGCATGCATTTGGTACATTTTGTCCACTCCATTTCTAAATAATAAACATGGGTTGGTGGATTAAAATTGTTATCAAGATGAAGAGAATAAATAACTTCATCTCTCAGTTGGAAAAAATCAATTTTTTTTGAAAACTTGCGATTTTGGATAAACATCTTTAAGTCATTCTGGAGGCTTATTCTCGAGTTTTGTGGAGACGAATTCGTGTGTAAATGCGTCTGCGTTCACGGATCGCCTGTGGGATTACCATGTGCAATTCGTAAACGAAGCCCCGTTCACATTCAAATCCGTTTACACGCAGGTCGAGAATAAGCCCCCAATCGATAAAATAACGATATGTGACTTTTTAGAAAAAAACATTTTTTGATGAATTGCTCTATACTAGGATGTCTGGACGTGGATCATCGGAGTTCTGATATCATGCATGATGAAACTATATAGAAAATCATGACGTCTTTGCTAGAAACTTTCATTCAGCAATTTTATTAACATTTTTCAGTAACAAACTTCTCCCTTGAAGTTCTCTAATTAAAATTTCTCCTAATTTCCCTCTTTTTCCGCATGAACTCTGAATAATTTACAAAATGCATAATTTTGTACATGAATAATGTGGAATAATACCTTTCAATCTTTAATTCAGAGAAAGATATATTTTTTTAAACTGGAAAGAATACACTGAGAAAAATTTTCTAGCAAAAATTCATGTGCTAGCAGCATAAATTAGTCACAACATGCACAATTGGAGAAATTATTGTGAAGCCCCAGAAACATTATCGGGCACCAGAATCGTTCTGGTGCTGCACAATAATTTTTCTAAGTGTGAGGATTGTGGTTCGTTTATGGTGCTCAGCACATGAATTTTTCTAGAAATTTTTTTTCCGTTTATCTAGTCTCTGTGAATTCCAGACAAATCCTCCAAATTTCTTGAAAAAGTCGTACTAAGTTGGGCCGTTACGTTTAAAAAAATACGAATCGATCAATTTTTCGAATCACTTCATTGAATAAAATGGATTTGAACTGAAATATGAATCATTATTTTTGTGAGCTATTTTCAAGAGGATATTTTCAAAAAGGAAATTTCCAGTCGGCAAAATTTTGGAAAAAAAATTTTACCGGAGAAACAAAGCCCCGATTCCCCAATTACGTATTTATTTTTATAATCCCGATTATTTAGACGATTTTACTTGTGACTCTAGGAATTCTTCTAGTAAATGCGCGAAAAAAAAAATTTTCTAATTGCAATAAGTTTAACAGATTCTTGGATAGACGGATATTTTTTTTGTCGAATCGATAATGTTCCGATATGTATTAGTGGCGTCACGTTAGATCTTGAGCGAACTTCCCACGTGTTCTGAGTGCAGCTAGTTGAGCATTGTTTATCAATTCGAAGGGCGATTCCATAAACGAAGGACAAAACCTCTCACGTCACAATAGAAAAAATGTATAAATTGAAAGTATCCGTTGAAATCCAAGAATATAAATTGATATTTCAGATACAAATGTTTGAAGGAAGCAATAGATTTTAGAAGCAACCAATCTAATCAGTAGTCACTGTTGAAGACCAGGGCGAGGAATTACCCGCTAATATCCATGGGGCAACATAAAATAACCACAAGTGTAACCGAATCGACATAAACACTCGTGTACCGAAGCGACGGATCGTGAATTGATAATATCTATACAAAAGTTATTCCTTTTGTTTTCGTGATTTCCCGCTTTAAATTGAATTACCTTATGCTCGTTGGTGAATTTATTGAAAGGAAGTAGATAGGAATCCGGTGGGAAAGAAATGAATGGAGAACTTGTTCTTTTGTGTGACTGAAAATTTTTATTATCCTTTTTGTAACAGCCGAAGTCCAAAAGCGGGGCCGAAACGTGTGATCACAGATGAGGTGGTGAGTGTCGTGCGGTTGTCCTCGCAAAACGTGCTCAGTTGAATTTTGTTTTATTGTAGGAATCAACGTTTACGATATTTCAGCAGATATCCAGCGGAACCAAGATCTTGCCACCTAGAAAATCAACGAGTCGAATTAGTTAAGACCAGGGATAGCCAAATTTGTAATATTTTATTACGGTTAATATTGTAGCCCCTAATTAGATAACATCACTCTTGAAATTTTTTGAGTACTTGACTATCATCAATTCAAATATTCAAATTTTCAACTATTTTATCAATCAATAATTTGAGGTAGGAAGATTGACGATTACTTGTGTAATCGAAAATTCCCGTTCAAGAAATTTGAATTATTCACTTAGTAGTAAATTTACAGTTTCATATTAACAAATTTTAAATATATCGTTATTCGTAAAAAATCAGATTATTAATATTATATTATTTGAAAAATTGAATCAACATATTTTAAACCGTCAATAATGTAAGGGTCAAATCCGTGTAATATTACAGAAATTTAATATTGATGGGAATCCCGGGTTAAGACTAGACCCGAAAAATGACGTTCCGAAGATTGTCTCAGGTACGTTAAAAACTGATTCAAGCATTGTCAGGGTTGATTTAAGGGGTCTCCGCAGTTGCGATGGGCGCGCGGGTGAGTGGAGTGTGAAATAGTCAAGTTGGTGAGGTTAGTTTCGAGAGAGACGGGACATCAACCATGGCGTATGTTGGATAATGACAGACATCGCCATAGTATTTTTATCATTAATTTATTAAACAAATCAACGATAAAACCCAATGGGACTTCGTGCCCATATGGTTTAGGGCTTAATATAGAACAATTTAGCTTCCTTTGCTGGCTAGCACATTGTCAACAGTGTGAGGGGTATGGGACAAAGTAGCGTCCATAAAGGTTGTGTATAAGGCGCAATTTGAATAATTAATTAAACACGAACGAAACCATAAAAGTAGTTAAAATTGCTTTTACAAATACCTTTTTAACATTTTTGATTACTATATGATATATTTAATTCGCAAGCACATTGTCATATTTTACCCAAAACTACTGCGGAGACCCCTTAAGCCTCCGTTGGTCGCGCTATGAGCACCGCGCCGCACTTTTTCCGATTTTTTTAACTCTACTGCAGTAAAGCTTCAGAAAAATTTCAAAAAATTTGACATCTCATTTTGAAGTGTCTAGAAGCCCTATCAATGAAAATATCATAAGTAGTTAGATTTTCAAATTTGTATTTCGAAACTTCGGACCGTGTACTGTGTATAAGGCGATTTTTTAGAAAAACATGACAACCTTGAGCTTGAATATATAATCTCACGGGACTTCTTCAAGTATACGATCTAGATCACTCTCGATTTTTTTCAAATTTTTCCTAGATCTTTCAATTTATGATTATGTCGATTTATGCGGGTGCGGCGCGGAGCTCATGGCGCGACTAACGGCGTTCGTAAGTTTTGCGCGACCAATGGAGTGTTAAGTATATGGGCCATTCGATCAAATTTTATTTTTTAAAGGGAATTTGGAAATTTGAAATTGGGCTAAAAAGTGAAAAAAATATTTCTTTAGGGGATAATGAATCTGCACGTTTTAGATGATGCCGAATCTTCTGAGCCCAACCTTTTAGGACAATTTTTTTCCATTTTTTCAAAAGTTCAATTCAGAATTTCCAAAACCCCTTTCATTTTGAAAATGTGCTAATGAGGGGAACTTAATCCCCTAATTCGATAGATTCCAGAATATTTTTGCCTTGAAACCATCATTTTTTGGTTAATTTCATTTATTTATTTTCTAAAATTATTTTTTTTTCTAGATTTTAGCCGGATGTAAGTTCTGGAGATTCTAGAATCTAGAAAAAAAAATCTTGAATTTCCTTTTTTTTTTCTCTGTGTACATTATCAGTTCTAATTTAAATGGGGACGTTGTTTATCTTTTCCACATTAAACTTGAAAGTCTATTTGTAGTAATGGAAGATTGTATTTTGACATAATATCGAAAACGAAAACGGAACGAAAAAGAAAAACATTTTTTTTAAATTTTTTCTTCAATTTTGTCATGATCTACTTGAAAGGACGCAAAACGAATGCGTTAGGCTTTTTATGATGGATGGCGCAAAATCGATTCGAGAGGTGTCTTTTTATTTTTATACACTTCTTATTATTTATTTTGTACCTTTTAATAATTAATAAAGGTATTATTTATTAAAAAGGGCATTTATTTAACAATATTATCAAACCATGACAATTATCCAATTATTAATTTTTTATTTATCATTTCCTTTTCGGCACCCCGGGTAGAAATTCAACCGGGGATTCAGCCGCAACTCGGGTGAGCGCGAGCTCAGCCTCGGCTTGCCGCTTGACCCGAGTTCATGCCGCGACACGCCGCTCCATACCGGCTCACAGTCGAACGCTCATCAGACGGCATAACCCGGCACTTGAGTTTGAGCTGTGGCTCAACGCTTAGCTCAACTCAGCTCCGATTGAGTCGTGTCGTTTCGAGTGGAGGGTGGAATAGAATGATATTTATGCATTTTTAGAATATCGATTTAAAATTTGAATACTTTGGAAAATCAAGAAAAACCGAGCGGAAAAAACTTAGAAATCTTACGCCTAAAAAAATCTATAGGAACATAAAAACCTATTTACTTTCTTGCACCAAATTTTACCTTAACAAAAAGACTCTATGAAGTTGCATAATCTCCTATAGAATCGGCGCAAGAAACGAATAGAATTCTAATAGAACTTCCAGAGAATTCTCATAGAATTCCAATAGAAATTTAATAGAAAGCGCTAGGTTTTTCTGTTGAATTTTTTCATGCGTGTTATTTTGGCATACCTGTATTCAACATTTCCCTAATAAATCGTGGAATATTCTTAGAACTCGTAGGCCTATCGAAAAATGAAGAATATCCTCTCCTGTAGCGTTGATAATTAATAATAAAGGTTCGTTAACGTTTTTCAAGTGATTATTTTTCTTGATTTTGTTTGTTGTATTCGCGAGAAAAAAGAAAGTTTTGACTACGTTTCAGTGAATTGTTCTACCTTGTATTTTCAGATTAATCCCATTCGATTAGTTAATATCACGTTATTTCTGATGAGCTTGTGATTGTTCATCTGAAAAAGCATGCCATCTTCACATTTATTCGATTGTTTTTTCACTCAAATCACGATGCCATCGGACCTGTCAAATCATTATTGAGGTTAAGTATACTGGGATTGAGTAATTGGAGATGAACCTGAGGTTGAGCAGTGCCCATTCAACTAAAGCCCGGCGAAACGTTTCGCGTAATAGTCTAACGCTGGGCTGTGAGCGCGTGACGCGGCTCAACCTCGGGTACATGTGACGCGCGTGGAGTTTATCCCAAGCTGGGGCGGAGTGGCGTATTTCTAGCTGGGATACGGGTTCCGAGCCGAGCTCGAGCGGCGTGATTTCTACCCGGGACTGTGGAATACGAGTGAACAATTTTGAAACATATTTTCGATCAGAAATTTCGGAAGCGTAACATTCATAAAGTGCTGCTTTACGGGCGAAATGACAAAATAACTATTTTCGTCACAAGGCCGAAATAGTATATTTCGTCACTAGGCCGAAAATAGTATATTTCGTCATTTTTCTGCAATCATATTCGTCAGAATAGTATATTATGCCACCAGGCGATAAAAGTATTATCTAAGCGGAGCGTCCGTGAAGCGCTGCCTCACGGCCGGAATGACAAAAAAAAAATTTCTGACAAGTGAACAGACCGAGGCGAAGCCGAGGAATGCTATCACACGAGTCAAAAAAGCTTTTTTCGGCCGAGTAATGAACATAATTTTTCTTCACAAGACGTTTTACGGACAGTGTGATGAAAATTCTATTATATACGCTCTTGAAATTTACGCACTCGTGCACAAAAACGACCACTTTACACCCACTACCGTTTCAAACAGTGAACTCGGCAGGTATCACAAAAAATAGGATGTGTTACATGTGCGTGCGAAAAAGTGGCACTTTACGCACTAGTGACACAATATAATACATGGTTCAACAACATTCAATTTTGTACATCATTCGGTCCATGAAATATTCTGCGACGAATGTAATTATAAGTGCAAATACTCAGCAATGTAGTAATGGACTAATATTTTTGGCCAAACCTGAAAATCGATGTTTATAGAATTCTCTACATCACGGACGCGTGACATAAATTTAAATAATCAAGAGAGAAATATTGGAAAAAGTCTATGTGTGGAGTTTTCCTTCTGAAATATTCACTTTTTAACTTTTTTTCAATGTAATAATCATTTGTCAGCTTATTAGTGTAAAGAACTAGAAAATTACACAGCGTAAGAAAATATTTTTATTAGTATAAACAAATTAACATTCACATTCATCAGTTTTAATAAATGCTTTTTGTTGAAAAAAATGGCTTTAATAGCCGAATGGAGTCAATTTCGATTCAATTAAAAATTCATCAATCTAATTGATTTGTTAATTGATAAGTAAAAATGTATTCAAACATCGATGAAGGCCCTCGGGCGATGGCCACATTGGCAATTTGATATTTGCAACCAAAAACCGGTGAAATTTGAAACTTTTGGACTTCATACAATCTTAAATTTATTTCGTGCGATGATAAAAGATTTATTGATTATCGACGAATGAATTTTTTTGAAGGCTTGCATCGATTTGTAATCTTCAAATGAGTTTTTTTAAATAATTAATTATTTCGCAGTTATTGAACTCTGCGGTCATTAGCTAATTCGAGGTGATGAAGTTTATGAGGTTCAAATGATAAAGAATGCTCAAGACATTTGGATTTAACCCAATATTTCGACCTCCTTCATAGGGTCCTCCTCAGGAGCATATTTTATTACTTTCTGAAAACAAACCAAATCAAACAAGATAATGACCGCCGAAGCCAATAACTACAAAGTACACAAAAAAAAATTACTTGTGATCAGTAGTAAAAGTACTTGTACCCAGTACCAAGGGGTTTCTGGGGAAAAGGCACATTTTTGTACTTCCTCGAAGTTACAAAACAACTTAATGCAAGATCATGCGTTAAGTAACTGTTTACTGGTGAGAAGTACCTCAGTACTACTTGGGACAAGTAAAAAAATTACTTGTACTGAGTACCTGGTTAGTTCTTCTCAAAAGTACCAAATAAACTCATTATAAGTTGAGTATAAGAACTCAAAAATGCTTTTCTACCTCTTCTAAAAACCGAATTTCATCAAAAATTCAAAAATCCAAATAATTCCCATTTTGTGAGTAATAAAATTGAAAAGAAATTGAAAATAATTTTTCGAAGCCTTTTAAATGTTGATAACAACATAAAACATAAAAATCTCAACAAAATTGAAATTTTGTAGGTTGGAAAGCACACCAATAATTCTCGAAAGCATCCATAAAAATCGCAATTTATTGATTTTTTCCTACAAAATATCTTCTGCTGAACATTTCTATTCACAAAAATGCGTAAGAAAGCCCATTCTATCCGGTGATAATATTCGCTTTTTTCAATAAAGCAATCAATTGGAAATGCTGAAATTGAGGCCTAAAAGTNATATTTGCAACCAAAAACCGGTGAAATTTGAAACTTTTGGACTTCATACAATCTTAAATTTATTTCGTGCGATGATAAAAGATTTATTGATTATCGACGAATGAATTTTTTTGAAGGCTTGCATCGATTTGTAATCTTCAAATGAGTTTTTTTAAATAATTAATTATTTCGCAGTTATTGAACTCTGCGGTCATTAGCTAATTCGAGGTGATGAAGTTTATGAGGTTCAAATGATAAAGAATGCTCAAGACATTTGGATTTAACCCAATATTTCGACCTCCTTCATAGGGTCCTCCTCAGGAGCATATTTTATTACTTTCTGAAAACAAACCAAATCAAACAAGATAATGACCGCCGAAGCCAATAACTACAAAGTACACAAAAAAAAATTACTTGTGATCAGTAGTAAAAGTACTTGTACCCAGTACCAAGGGGTTTCTGGGGAAAAGGCACATTTTTGTACTTCCTCGAAGTTACAAAACAACTTAATGCAAGATCATGCGTTAAGTAACTGTTTACTGGTGAGAAGTACCTCAGTACTACTTGGGACAAGTAAAAAAATTACTTGTACTGAGTACCTGGTTAGTTCTTCTCAAAAGTACCAAATAAACTCATTATAAGTTGAGTATAAGAACTCAAAAATGCTTTTCTACCTCTTCTAAAAACCGAATTTCATCAAAAATTCAAAAATCCAAATAATTCCCATTTTGTGAGTAATAAAATTGAAAAGAAATTGAAAATAATTTTTCGAAGCCTTTTAAATGTTGATAACAACATAAAACATAAAAATCTCAACAAAATTGAAATTTTGTAGGTTGGAAAGCACACCAATAATTCTCGAAAGCATCCATAAAAATCGCAATTTATTGATTTTTTCCTACAAAATATCTTCTGCTGAACATTTCTATTCACAAAAATGCGTAAGAAAGCCCATTCTATCCGGTGATAATATTCGCTTTTTTCAATAAAGCAATCAATTGGAAATGCTGAAATTGAGGCCTAAAAGTACTTGAGAGAAGTTAAAAAATTACTTTTCACTAGTGCCTTTGGTACTTGTAAAAAGTACTAAAAGTATTGGCAGTAAGTAGTGATACTACTTCCTCCTAGTAGCATTTCTACTCGATCGGCAGATGTGGTACTTCACCCAAGGACACAAAGTGTACTTGGGACGAGTAATTTTAAAACTTTTCAAAAGTGAACTTCCGCCAAGTACCGGTTTGTGCTGGTGAGAAATCATTTTTCTTTGCGTGTAATTAAAAATTCAGTCAAAAACCTCTTCATAACATTAATAATGAACAAACAGCCTAGTTTAACTGAACCTTTTTTTAATCATTAGAAAATATTCAGTTGTTAGCATCCAACTGTGCCATCTGTTAATAGTTACCAACCCTTGTTGACAGTAAATCAATCTTTCTATCACTGTACGATTCAAAGGTTCCCCCTCTACGAACCCTGTATCATATTATCGATAAGGTACACTGATAGTCGGACATACTAAAACTCAGTCGATAAAACAGTTTCCCGGTGTATGAGCTTCTGCAGGTAAGCTACCGATTGAGTAAACTTTCGAATTTCTCTGACAAAGTGCTGGGAATTTCGAAACGCTCAGCAAGTAGAAAATCTTCAGACAATCAGACGCGACTATTCCAGACGAGGAGCTATACTGTTGATCGTTCAGTTTTTCCGTTCACTTCGAGGTACCTTTTCCTTTCAAAATTTCCTCCCCAAATAAATTGTGATGGTTGTTCAATAAACTGACGCACATACTGCGGAAATTTTGGAATGAGAAAGTGGAGGGCCAGATGCGTAATTACCTCTTCTTTGTAATATCTCGGCGCTCCCTTTTCTCCAGTTCTATTCGACTTCCATCGCTGGATACAAGCCTCGATGCAATTTCTGTAGGTTTACCAGGGGGACCTGTGGTTCCTGACGGCACGTTCGACAGTAGTTTTTTGCCCTGACGGTTTTCCTTTGATTTTCTTCTGACATTCAGGTCCGATGATACAACAATTTCGTCGAATGCTTGTCCAAATACCGCTGAAAATCCAACACAAAGGGATCACGCGAATGAACTTCTTCAAAATATCGGAAAATATTCTGTGGTAAACTACTCACGTTTTGTGTTAGTCTCTTGACTCTGAACGTTGACAATTACGCAGACCAATGCGATCACCAGAAGTGCCAAAAGTTTCGCCATGTTCGGGATAAATGTCGGAATGGCCTAAATGGTTTTTTTCTTTTTTTTTCTAAACAAATTGGCAGAACAAGTACTTCATTAAGCACAATAAAACCTCACGTCATACAGAACTTCACCACATCCAAAACCACTGAATTCATGTTTGAGTCAGTAGAATAAATTCTGCAGCGCGTGGGACAATAAATACTGTACTGACTCTGAAGTATGAAAGGCTGGGGCTTTAAATCGCGAGAGACTGCACAAGTAAAAGTTGAAAAATTGACGCGAGGTCACACCGCGTGCGAGGACTGGCATGACAAAGACAATTTAAATTTCACCATTTGAGTTTCGACAATGGATTGGCCTTCCTTATCAAACGATAATTTCATGAACAATTTTAAAATATGCATGATGAAATGTCAAGTGAAAAATCCAACCAATTTCTTGACACAAATAATTAGGAAACAATTATCAACAATACAACATTCGGGCGATTTCAATATTTAGCAAATATACTGATGCAAAAACTTAAACATAATCCTTCCGTACCCACAAAAATCAAGTGTCCACTTACCGACAATACCCCGAGGATACTTTCCGAGTAGACAACCGCACGAGAAATGCGAGCAGCAATCGCTCTTGAGCCAACAGGAGGGTCCTATCCCCCAGCACCAACTATACACAAAACACTTGGACGAAAGAACAGGAACCTCTAAGAAAAATGTATACACACAACACGCGGGAAGTGTGCTTTAAAACGTCACACAGACTGTAGGTTGTTGCACCGGACGGACCACTTTCTATTTCACTCTTTTATTTTTTACTTCTTACTCTTTCATCCTTTTCATTTTTTTACATTTCTTTTCTCGACGTTTACCACTTCTTCTTCATCTCTTTTGGCCATGGTGAGGAGGACTGGTTTACCGGCTAGCAGGGCCGTAACCCTTTACCGCAAAAACATTAATGCGTACTGTAAACAGTGATAAATTTCAACTAACTTTTTGGGTTATCGGACCGAGTCAATCTGCTTAAATGGTTTCATTTTTTATATTTACTGTGTTACATATGGAGAGCTATAGATCCTAAATGGAGGAATTCATTCATGCGTAAAGCTGTTTAAAAGGTCTCATGAATATTGAAATATTTGCAATTCCGTACATTTAAAAAATTGCAAATGCGGAATTTAGGTTTCTTCTTTTTGGTTTATGGGATTTTTTTATTTCTGAGGGAAACAATTCGCCGAAGACTAAAAATAGCACTCCACAATAGTTTCCTAACATCTGGTCGCTATATATAATTTAGCCACTGCATTGAAGATTGAGCGGACCACAGTATCCCTTCCATTGCTACATTACTGTTGCGAGATCGCGTGTCGCATCGGGCGGTCATTGCACGCTCTTTTTGGATCTCGATATCGCATTTTTTGCTTTTTGAACCCCCTCCCCACTCATCCTTTTCCCCTTGTCCAGTTAATCCTCCGTGAGTGCACCAAAACCTCCCCCGTTCCTCAATTCTTATTTTCCATTTATTTCTTATTTTATTTTGTTTTCCTCTTGCCTCTCTGTCATCCTCTCTCTCACTCTTAAAAACCACGATGCCTTCGTCTCGTTGAACTTTTGCATTTCTTATTTTCGAGAACATCTGGTGGCTGGCACAGGCAGACAAAGGGCCGGTGCATACACGAAAAGAAATCACCGGAGGATCGTATATATTCGATGGAGATTGAGAACACAAGGGGAGGGAGGGCAGTATTAAAAAAATGGGAGTATAAAAATTTATTTCCTCGTTTAACAAGGCTGAAACTTTTCAGGGCTATAAATCATTTTATTATGACGGTAATGGTGTTGATGATGGGATATAAATTACAGATGACGAGGAAGTGGCCTAAGAGGGGTTCCTTCAGCTACTTCAGTAATCAAAACTGAAAAAGAAAAAAAAATGAATTGGAAAAAAATTAGATATTTATCGTAGAAAATAATGTTTGCTTGAGGATGTGGCATGAGTATTCCATGCACTTTTAAAATTTTTCGTCTGAATTTTCCGTGACAAAAAGTTTAGGAAATCTTGTTATTGAAAAATCAAATATTCCATTGGTTTTCTGTTCAAATGGTCTGGAAATTAATACAATACTTGATTTTTCAGTTCAATTATTCTGTGAAAATTCAGAACAATCAAGAAAATTCAGGGAAAGATTGAAAATTTATGTCATTTTGTTTCTGAATATTCATATTCCACTAAAAATTCAATCAAGTTGTGAAATTTCCATCTCACTCTCACTGAAAACTCATGAATTTCATAACCATTTTTTCCCTAAATTTGATTTAATGTCACTCTCATGTGATTTAATACTATAGTATCTTCCATGAAATTTCAAAAAAATTCTAGCAGTGTGGATGAATCCGACAGAGGATTGATGAAAAATCTCTTTTGTTACTAGTTGAGAACAATATATGGGCCATTTTTATTATAATTCCGAAACTGAATCGAATATGAAGAGAATTAATAAAGATGATTTAGTGCACGGAGAGAAATGTTCAGTAAAAATTTCAGAACTCACAATTCGCTCACCGACTACTGAATCGACTCAGAACATTTAAGTGACGGTTTCTTACTTTTTCACAGGAGATTCAGATAAAAATTACGGAACGCTATGGAAAAATTCCGTGACAGTTCCGTAAAATTTCCTACAACCACATTTCACTCCGGAATTACGGAAAAGCTACATAATTTTTATTGAATATTTCTCTCCATGTGGCGGCACTGCTTCTCATGGATAATTTAGGCACGAAGAATCAAAATATCTCTCTCATTTTTCCCATTTCCTCATTTCAGTAGCTAGGCGCCAGATAAAAGGTCAAAGTCGATTTCAGCGCAATATCATTTTCTGCAAGACGTCTTGATTTCCAAAAGATGGTGAAATGTATTCACATACCTTTCTTGTCGCTGTCATTTTTCTGTCCAAAGAAATCCTTAAGAAACATTTTGCTTTTCACAACAGAGTGCACTCCAGAGTGCGAAATGTCTTACAAAAATTTATAGTGATCGTCATTGAAATTACCCCTAAATATCATTCACTATGTTTAAATTTCCAATTGTTTTTTTTTATTCTTGAAAGGTATGAATTGCATAAAGTAGTACGCCGCTCTAGATTATCCACTTGTGCAATGGAATTTCTTGTAAGCTACCACCGAAGATCATCGTGATCCCGCTCCTATTTAATTGAAAATCTTATCTGAACTGTTAGAAAAAAAATGAAATTTCATGGACAATTGACTACTAATTTTCAGGGGGGCGACACTGAATGCGATTTCGGGGAAAAAAATCATGAAATTTTAGATTTCACTGAAAATACAGTAAAATTCTAGAATGTTAAACAGCATAAAGTCGAGAATTCTTGAATTTTTTTGAATTTCCAATCTAATAATATGAATATTCAGTCCCAAATTACATTGAATTTTTTGTAAAATCTGAAATTTCATGATTTTTTCCCCGTAAATCACATTCAGTGTCACTGTCCTGAAACTTCCAGAATATATTTACCGGAATTTTCCGGTTTTTTATTCATTTTCAGGGAAAAATGGAACTGAAATTTACAGTTCTTTGATTTTTCCGCGAAATTCTGACTTTTTAATGACGAAATTCCTATAGTGGTAATTAAATTCTATAAAGTGTTAGAGTTAAGTCCCAAAAGTGTAATTTTGCTCTCGTCAAAGCTATCATTCATCTAAAAAATATCAATGATGAATAATTTTTTTTCGGGCATTTTACATTTGTTTTTCTTCACTACATTCAACGACTTACGTAAAGTTTAGCTGTACTACTTTAAGGGGAACCTCATAGTAGGCTCCCCTTAAGGGGTCGCCGCAGTTGGGCGAAGCAGCGATGGGTGCGCGGGTGGGTGGAGGGTAAAATAGTCAAGCTAGTAAGGTTAGTTTCAAGAGACACGAAACATCAAAACAAGGCGTATGTTGGATAATGACAAACATCGCGCAAAATTTTTTTATCGTCAATTTATTGATCAAATCAACGATAAAGTCTGATGAGACTTCGTGCCCATATTTTTTAGGGGTTACTGCAGATAAATATAGCTCCCTTTGCTGACTAGCACCTTGTCAACAGTGTGAGGGGTAAGAGACGAACTAGCTTTCATAAAGCTCGTGTACACTAAGGAAAAAAAATACTTTTGCCAAATAAATTTTCCAACTACAAGAAAATCCCCACATTTCAAATGCAAATATTTATATACATTTACTTGCGGTAAGTAAATTTACTTGGCAAAAGTAATTTTTTTTCTCAGTATATAAGCGCAACTTGAATAATGAATTAAACAAAAAGAACACCATAAAAATACTCAAAAACATTTTTATAATCTCTTTTTCACCATTCTCGATTATTATATTTATATTTAACTCGCTAGCACTTTATTGTCTTTTGCCCAAAACTACTTCGGAAACCCCTTAAGGATATTCTACACCCTTTCTGCCAAAATTCACGTTTTTTTAATTTTTCTGGCAAACTTATGATGGATTTGACGTGAAAAAATATAACGTTTTTGCGTTTTGTCATTATTTANGCACCACTACGCAACTTCGTGAGCCATTAAAGAATGACAAACCACAAAATCGTTATATTTTTTCACGTCACTCCCATCGATAATTTGCCAGAAAAATGAAAACAACGTCAATTTTGGCTAAAAGGGTGTCGAACATCCTTAAGCCTTCAATGACCTTAGTAGGTTCCAAAAATTATGGCTCTATCGTAGTTCAAGAGAATACACATTCACTTTGATTTAAGGTGTTTCGTGCGAAAAAGGAAAATGACGGCATTCATATAGAATTCATATAGAATGTTTATAATCACAATTGAATTATATGCAAATTTTCCTAGAATTTTTTCAGTTTTCCGTTTCAAGTTACAGCCCAACCTTCGTACAAGATACCACAGGATCTTTAGGGGAATAAAATTCCGAGAATTACATATCCCACACTTTACTTGCGCTCAGAAGGGAAAATATTTTGATTTGATATTCTTAGTACAAGATACTAGACGATTTCCATTTTTATGATCATTTGATTACGATTCCTGACGTGAAACACGAATGTTTGATTAGAAGGTATTGTTGCTTTTCGAAATAACAATTTGGAAATTCGAAATGAGTTAGTTTGTTAATACGGGGCAAAACTGCGAGGCAAAATTGAGACTTTCATTGGCATTTTGGTATTCATAAAAATTGGGTGGAATTTTGTTTTGTTTTGTCTATCTATCCACCCAAAAAATAGACGTAAAACACATGGTGCAATACGTGTAAAAAATAGATATTTTCCCGACCGAAGTTTTATGACCGATGCGTTTAATTTTTTTTGTTAACTGCAACGTGTGCCCATTCGTTTTGAAATTCAATTGATGTGCAATTAAGTTGTCGATTTTAGATGCATATATTTCAAGTAATTTCTGCAATATCTCAACTCCATTCTCAATTCTAGCCCCTTTGTCGAGTATCTTGTACGGAAAATGTGTAACGAAAAACATTCAAGCCAAAAAGTGGGGGTATCACTCGGCACGGATTCAGGCCTAGTATCTTGTACGGAGACTGAACTGTATTAACGATTTAAGCCGCTTTTTATAGATGGGCTCGTATAGACATTTTTCTGTTTAGCTCAAAACTGCGTTACCAACTGCGCTGATAATATTTAAATAGAAAAATCTCGATAAGAACTCATTTATAAGAAACGAGTTCAATCGTTAATAACTTGAAAAGGAAATCTGAAAATTATTTAGGAAAATTCATAGATAATTCAATTGTGATTATAAATATTCTATATGAATTCCAGATGAATGTCATTATCTACCTTTTTCGCTCGAAACACCTTAAATAGCAGGTATCAAGACGAGCACAAAAAGATCTGGGATGCGACAAACTGATTTCATATCAACGCCCACAACAAATTGCAATGTTTTTCACTTTTCTAGAATCAGATCCGTTTATTTACGTGTCGCAATTTTGTCTTCCGGTGGAAGTTAATAAAAAAATATAAAAACAGACAAAGATCAGGGACAATAGCACCGGTCGCTGGTGCGACCGAAGAGAGCCAGTTTCTTTTAAATCTTCCAACCAGCAAAAAAATCTAAAATATAGCGATTTGGCAAAAGGGCCTCTTGGCAATGCACCACAGCCCATCCCCGCATCGTCGCCACAGCCCGATAATAATTCCGCCAAAAATTTCCATCTCACTTCAACACTTCAGCATACATATGTTCCCTTTAAAACGAGTTCGAGTCTCTGTCTGGGCGTCTGCATATAGCGTAGGGTTAAAAACACGAGAGAGATCTGCGCCTGAGAACCCCGAGAAGATTCATTTTCTCTTTGTCCCTTCCCTTTTTTCACACGTTCAAACGAAAGCCCCCAAAAATATGCATACGTATGTGTGATATAGAGTGAGTGAAGTAGAAAAAAAAAATTAAAGGCATTCAACGCTGGGTGTAATATACGAGACACAATGGCAAAACTACGAGCATTACTACACCGCCAAATATTTCATCGGTTTTCTGCGTGTGTATGTGTTTGTAGAAGTAACCCCCAGAGGAGTACCGCACATAAATAAACACGCCCGTTTGATATTTACATAAGGCAAAGACGATAGCGGAGGAGAAATTCATCGAGTTCACGTTGTGGAGGGTTCAGGTGTGACGACCCTGTCTTTTTTATGTCATCATTTGGACGTGATTTATTGCATTAGGCGAGTCCATTTGTCATCGAGAACATCTGTATCTTGTTTTATGGGAATCTAACGAGATACATCATGGAAAATAATCCCTCAGTAAGGATTACATAGATCCATCCCAACTTACTAATCTGATCCTCCATATCCTCTATTACCACCAGAGGACGCTTGGGCGACGCTGAAAGTCGCCGAATAAGGCCCAAAGTTGAAACTTGCACTCTGGGCATTGGCCTGACTCGACGCTCCATGAGGCCCGAGTGGTCCTACGGATCCTGCGGATGCCGTGGCGAAGGAACTGCCACCAGCCTGATTTTGCGGGTAATAACCCCCGTGTCCCGGCTGCTGCCACCTAGAAGAACAGGATATATCCTTGAATGGCCGCTGGGGTACACGATATATATTCGGTGGGATTAAGGACCATGCGGAGAGGTGGGGGACGGCGAGGGGGAAGGGGGAGGGGGAGCATCGAAAATAAAAGGATTGAAGGTGAAGAAGGACGCAGGGAAGAGGGATAAGAAAAGGGAGAGTTCGTTAGCATCGAGGATCGTTCAACGAACCCGTAGCCTCCGTCGCAGCCGTGACCCCGACAGCCATGACCTCCCAAGCCGTGATTGTAATGCGGTCTCTTCTTCTTTCTCCGACCAAACAAGTGGCGAGATGAGGGGCCATCGTCGTAAACTGATCAACAAATAAATGGGATAATTTGGAAATTTCTTGTTGACCGCTTGCGAAAGAATTTTGGTGGCGTTGGATTGCTTCGGTGGTTGTGGGGATTACTTACAGTCGTCTGAAGATGCACCGGGGAAGGTTACTGAACCTGAGTCTGGTGCTGGTGATGCTGTGATTAAACCGATGAAGAGAGGCAGAAGGTAGAGGAATTTTGTAATCTGCATTTTTGAATTCTGATGCGATGGACGAGATCCAGTTCAGGCGATTGGAAATTCAACTCTGGGTGAGATGCTTCTTTCCTCCACTCTTTATAAGGAGGGGAGTATTGGAAAGGTTATTGTAAGGTATTTCGAGAGTGTTTGCGAAGGAGTTGATGACCTTCCGGTCCAGGGACGGCCGGAAATTATCTGGTGAATTTGGAAATGGTGGGTGTTGGCTCAGGATCTGGGACCTCAAAGCATTCCTACATTTATAAATTTTTTCATCACGCTGTGACGAAAAGTGAACTTTTCGGCACGCTCCGCGTGCCTAAAAGTCCAATTTCCGCCACATTGTGATGAAAAATATTGTTCGCAACTCGTGAAAAAATGTTTTTTAGCTGGTGGGATTATATCACTTGCCTTCGGCTCGTGATATAAACCTCCCACTCGCCAAAAAACACTTTTTTGCACTCGTTACGAAATATACTATTTCATCGCGCTGTGCAAAAACGTAACTTTTTAGGCACGCTTAGCGTGCCTAAAACTTCTCTTTTCCACACATTGTGATGAAAAATATCGTTCGATACTCATGGGAAAAGAGTTTTTTGGCTCGTGGGATTATATCACTCGCCTTCGGCTCGTGTTATAAACCTCCGACGCGCCAAAAAACACTTTTCCGCACTCATATCGAAATATACTATTTTGATACTGCTGCTACGTTCACCTGGTGCCGAAAAGTGCCTTTTCGTTTACTTGTAAACGACTAAGGCACAGTTCGGCCACTCGTAGAACGCAACATCACTGTCAAAAAATATTGTTCGACACATGTGAGACGGGAATTTTTAACTCGTAGGCCGAGGGTGGCCCGGTGCTGGCCAATATTGGGCCAGCCTTGCCCAATCTTGGCCCATTTCTCGTCTCCTACCAGGGCTCGGCTTTGCCTCGACCCGCCAACTTCACACTCGTGACAATTCCGTCTCACTCGTATTCGCGATCGCAACGTAGATATGAGAGCCACCAAGTGAACTCTAACCTAACTACTCTTGGGGGTCAACCAATGATATCTTTGGGAGGGAACCAATGATGGGGCTCAACCAATGAGGTCAAGGAGAGCCCGGTGATACCATTGGTTGGCGCCCAAGAGTAGTTAGTTTAGAGACCACTTGATGGCTCCCATATCTACATTGCGGTCACAAATCGATATGTAATATTTTGACACTGCGGCTACGTTCACCTCGTGCCGAAAAGTGCCTTTTCGTTTACTTGTAGACGAAAAAGGCGCAGTTCGGCCACTCATTGAGCATAATATCACTGTCAAAAAATATTGTTCGACACATGTGAAACTGGAATTTTCAACTCGTGTGATTGGTAGCCCTCGGCTTCGCCTCGGGCCGCCAACTTCGCACTCATGAAAATTTCGTCTCACTCGTATCGAAATATTCTGTTATGAATTCGGAGAGAGAAATTGGAAAGTAAACTGCAAATTTTTGGAATTATTTTAAACTGTTGAAGATTTTTAGCGAGGCAATCTTGTTCTTGGAGTGAAATAAAAATTTTATACCCTTTTGGCAAATGCGTGGGTGGAGGATCATGGAGTCCCATTTACATTCGAGGACGATTGGCTTTGGCTTGGGCACCCCGCTGGCAATCTTATTCAACGGTTTCGCACTGAATACTTCGACGGGTGGAGACGAAAGCCACATGTACCACCTGGAAATACTGAGGAGGGTATTACCTCCCACCTCTCTTTGTTTTCTTCCGGAAAATTCGTAACAGTAAACAATTCGTTATACTAGGTATGGCTTTATTTGTGATGTACAATTTTAGGTATTACAGGTGTGTTCTAGTATAATAAAAATTCACATTGTAAACTTGAAAATTATATACATATATACATTTTTGTGTCGAATTTATCGGAGAAATGAAATTAAAGAAGGATTTTTGTCTGTCACTAGTTGAAGTTGTATTTTTTTTTTTTTTTTTGGTTCCACATGTATACCCTCTCGGGTTTTTAGATTTTGTTCCCTTCCCTATCTGCGTTACCATGGGCCGACTTACTTTATCCCCAACTGCACCCCATTTGGGATTGGACTGTCAGGGAAACCATGGAAAACCTCAGTCGTGCAGCCGAGCGATAATGCAGGGATTCCACTGTGTCCATTGGTCACACTGACTCAATGGGCACAGTGGTTCTCTACATTCGTGCCTAGCGACTGTAGTCCCACGCGGTTAGGTGTGCCCAAGCGGACACCCATCCAAGTACTGGCCAGACTGAACGCTGCTTAGCCTGGATGACCGCCGAAGCCACACACTCCCCGCGTGACCAGTACAGCCTAGTTGAAGTTGTAATTGATTATTGAATTCAAATACTTGTATAGTCGAGGATAGTGAATGAACAAATGGCCATTCACCGGGTTTACCCTCGTGTTCTGCTACTCTCTCAATCCCGGGCTCTCCATGAATAAATATCCGAACCAATGAGTACTCATATGTATGTACAAATATGATTGAAAGTGGAGAGGAATTATCATGTTCTATTACTGCAATGAGTGATTATGCTCCATAGCTTGACGACAAAGTTGCGGATTGTGGACTAACGCTGGCCTTTTGCTGCCTCAATAACGTTGTTTCGATTCCATCAGCTTGGCTCTGAGAATGAAGTTTAATAATGAAAATTAGGAAATGTTATGATAACTTTCAGCAATTATTAGATCTTAATTACGTAATTTGTAAACGCAAGAACTTTGCATGGATTTGATTGATGAATAAAACACTGAATTCTTTTCGTGTCAATTTCTGAAAAAATTTTAACATAAAACTCATATATTTTATGGCCTTCGAAAATTCAATCTTTATCCGAATTGTAATGTCTAAAGAGAGAAATTCTTATTTTCAAAAATGAATGATTGAATATTATACTTTTTTTTTAACCATTCGTTACTCGCGTAAAACAGCCTGACGTGGTTACTCGCATCGCGGCGCCGCGTCGTTATGTAAGTCTGAGCGCGCCGTTGCCACGATTCATTCGGAGAAGGGAATCGCGCGGAGGTCTTTCCACTCTTCTGATCTGCGGCAGCCACAAGTGTGGCAACTCTGTACAATATTTACATGATGCCGTCCGTCATGGCACGGCGCTTTAGAACTTTAACGGCCCGCTGCCATCGACACGAGAAACGAAGGGTTAATAATTGGACTCTCTCCCTTGAATCAATGAAATGGCAGAAATGCCGCATAGCAAAATGAGCGTTAATTATTATGTTTAAAATTACTATGAAGTAGAAATTATAATAATGTACTAAGAGAATATTTGATGGAGTGGAACAGATTTACGTTAGGGAAATTAACCAATTTGATAGAAGAAAATTTAATATCTTTCACAAAAATTAAATTTTTATCGTGATCATAAGAAATACCCTTAGAAAAATTTGAACTGTTGGCAGGAAAAAAATATAATCCGTTGTACGACAATCATTTGATCTGAGAGAACCATACCATAGAAAGAATATGTTGAGGGAAAAAAAATTTTTTCCCAAAAAAATTGTCCTCTCGAAATTATTGAGTTTTGCCTGTGACACAGTTTTCGGCAAGAAAATTGTAGTTTCCTCTTGAAATTATCATTTTCTCCATGGCAATTATGAGTTTACTGAACAAAGATATACACTACTCAATAACATTGATTTGATACAACCGGAGCCTCATATAATTCTCTGTACAACGAATGGATTTACGCTATAAACATATAAATGTCTCACAAGAACAAGTACTAGTATGATATCATCTCGTTTGGTAGAAACTTTCTTTTTTGTCAACAAATAAATTGATTCAACACGACAAACAGTCTCTTCAGGGGAACGTATAATTTTTTGGCAGAACTAATTTTTTCCTCTCAGTGTGATTTCATAACTTGAGAACATAAATTACGGACATAAATAATAAGAATAAGTACATTAATTGCTTACAACATAAATCTAAATATTCGACTCACTGTCAATTGATGGTAACCGTAGGGGTACCTAAAGTTACAGCGAAAGTCAGAAAAAGGAGGATCCCAATGAACTTCATCTTCGATTTTTGAAGAAAATTCTGGAGCAATGCACTCAGTTCGAAAGGCACTTTTGTAATGAGACTAAAGATAAAAAAATACTGATCAGACTAAAGATTAAAAAAATCGGATTTAAATAAGGATAAAAATCAAGGGTCATGAGGGTCAGGCTTACCGCATTTCTCATCATCATTTTTGATCCTGATTTCTGATTGTTACGCCTGAGTTCTGTGATCCACAGTTTCGATCCTTATTTAATTTCGACTTTTTTTAATCTTCATTCTGATCCTTATTTTTGACCGTTATTTCTGACCTTTTTTTCTTCCCTCATCCCTGGCCTCTATTTCTGAACCTTCTTCTCGATCCTCAGTTGACCCTTACTATTTTTCCTTATTCCTGGGCTCATTTGTGACCCTTATGTCCGACTCTCAGTTCTGACTCTTGAATTTTCTGGTCTTCACAGCCGATCCTCATGAGCCTCAGTTTTAACTCTTATTTTGACCCTTATTTAATTTCGCCATGTAACCCTTGTGAGTCTCAGTGTTGATTATTATTGTTAATACTTTCGCCCCTTATATAATCCCCCCATATATAAAACCCCCTCCCTATCAATAAAATCCCGCTTTTAAATCCCCCCGCCCCCTCATGTACAAGACCGCTTCTACCATATGATACCACCACCCCATACATAAGAGCCCCGATTGAGAATCCCTACCCGTTGATAAAATTCCCCTTTCACAGTCCTCTCCCTCCCCTACTGAAACCCTCGCCCCATTGTTGAGATATAAACCCTGCATATATAAACCCTTCCCGCACATAATCCACTCATGTATGACCCTCTAGAATTATCTTGAATCAAATCAAAAATTTGACTTGAATCAAGCCGAAACATCGGCATTAATGAAATCGAAGTCGATCTGAATCAAGTCAAAAAATCTACTTGAATCAGACCGATGTCCTGTTAGAAAGTTTTTGATATTTTATAGAAGATATGATAGTAATTTTCATGAGAGTGGCGTTGAATCGGATTTAGGGGAAAAATGGTTATGAAATTTCATGTTTTGGATAGAATTCAAAGAAATTCATGAGTTTTCAGTGAGAGTGAGATGAAAATTTCACAATTTGATTGAATTGTTAATGGAATATGAATTTTCAAAAACAAAATGACATGAAATTTCCATTTTTCCCTGAATTTTCCCGGTTATTATGAATTTTCACGGAATAATTGAATTGAAAAATCCAATATTTTATTGATCTTTATATCATTGATTTTTCAATGGTCTGAAATTACCTGAAATTATTACTCTCCGAGTCAGACTTGATTCATGCGATCAATCCGGCATGAAATGAGTCGAATCCCGGCATAATTCCGTCCGACTTGATTCAAACCGATTTTTCGGCTTGATTCAGAATTTTTTTTTTTTTGTTAAGCCAACCAGGCTCAATTTGATAAAGTCACAATAAACACATTTATTCCAACCGGATATGTACGATTGAAAGTACCATTACTTGTTCTCAGTGTGAAATAGTATATTTCAGTACATGTGGGGCAATATCGTCTTCAACGTGTGTGGGGTTTACAGCATGAGCCGAAGGCGAGTGATGTAACCACACACGTTAAGGACGAAATTTCCCAACAAGTACTGAACAAAATTTTATGTCACGAAGCCCTCGACGCTTCGCGTCTCGTGTCTAATTCAGCCGGTTTCAGGCATGAGTGGCATAAATGGTATTTACCTAAGAGTGCGTTGAAAAATTGAATGAGATAAATCATGTAGTAAATTAATATCCGTTTTAATTGAAAAATCGATATTCCTCATAATTTGTTTAAGAAAGTGTCAAAATATTCCTCTTTTCTGAAGAACTAAACTCAATTTTTTTCCTGTTTTCTCTCTTTTTCCTGGCGGTGCAAGATTATTCCACCGATTAAATGTCACGGAGCTTCCTTATAGATGGCTAAAATTCCGGTTTTTTAATAACGTGCTTGCCTCATCCATCACTGACTCTTCCTCATCAAAATATAACGACTATCGTATTTTTTATTACGACTCTCCATCTTAATAGTCGCAATAATAAAAAATTGAGAGGCAATTGTCATTAGATTCTGTATCTTCTGCGCACCAAAGAAACTGCTTCTGCAATACCAATTTAATAGTCTTTCTATATATTGGACTCTACGACCGGATGATTACCCATTTAATTTCAATATATACTTTGAAAAAATCACAACATCAATCATTTTCCTTCAATGAACTCAATTTTATTGGACACATTTTCGAATATGGCATCATATTATTTTCTCTTTTTCTCCTTACATTTAATGATATATAAATAAAACTGAAGAATATATAAATGAATCTCCAGCAATTTACGTAATGATGGAAGATAATAATAAGTCTCTCGGAAATTCCGATGGATGCACATGAAATATAATTAGATTTAATCATCTTGAACATATACATTCAAAAATAAGAAAATATCCATACATAAAGGACAAACATCACACGAAAGAGTATTTGCGGCATTGAGTTGACCATGTAAGTAGACGGCGATTCGGCGCGACGGACCAGCGTAATTCCCGTGAAACTGGTTTCACAAGTTTTCAACACCGCCACTACCTGAGTAATACCTGCATATTTGCACCCAGAGTATTTAACACTCTTGACCATAAAATGGGAATGTATCTCAGGTAATATCTAAGCATACTGATGTCCCAGCAAGTTTTTATAAGCTATAAATAAACCTAATGATTCAATTCATAAATACTACTATACAATTAGAAGAAGAAAACATCTTAGTTTTGAGGCTTTCGCGGCCATTATTAATGACTTGGTTGGCTTCCGGATGGATGCCGCGTTGAGTTTCAGCATTGCGCCGACGTTTCGCAAACATTGCAGTCTGCATCTTCAGGGCTATGAGCTCCGATTCTGAGCTCCGATGTGTGGGGGCAGTCCTTATATACCTTCCCTTGTGGTGGTGGTGGGGGAAGAGGAAGGGGGGGAAGTCAGCTAATCATATGTTTTTAATTGATCAGCTGGTCAATTAAAAAAGACCAGCTGATCAATTAAAAACATCTTTGGCTGACTTCCCCCCCCCTTCCCCTTCCCCCACCACCACCACAAGGGAAGGTATATAAGGACTGCCCCCACACATCGGAGCTCAGAATCGGAGCTCATAGCCCTGAAGATGCAGACTGCAATGTTTGCGAAACGTCGGCGCAATGCTGAAACTCAACGCGGCATCCATCCGGAAGCCAACCAAGTCAAGAAGAAAACATATCGACGTCATTATAATGATGAGCATTTAGTCAGTAAATACGAGCATCTGCCTTGTATCAATGGTGGCAACGGCATCAGCGGATGCTGAACTCTTTGACTCCAGTCCGCCGGATGCATTGGCATTAGCATTGGCCGTGGCTCGAGCGTTTCCGCTGCCATTAGCACTGGCATTAGCATTTGCACTGGCTGATGCACTGGCTCCACCGTTTCCATAACCTCCCGATGAACCATTAGCTACGGCCTTTGCATTAGCATTTGCCGAGCCTCCATTTCCGTTGGCAATGGCGTTAGCATTGGCCGTTGCTCCAGCCTTTCCGCTGTCCGAACCTTCATAACCTCCACCCACAGGAGTGCCGTAGGAGTCAACTGCCCCGGGGACGTGGTTGGATCCTATGTTTCCAGAAGCTGAATCTGCGTTAGCTACTGCATCGGCACTGGCGTCGGCATGTGCTCCTGCGTTGGCAGTAGCTTTAGCATTGGCGGTTGCTGTGGCACTAGCTCCTGACGGAACACCACCGGAATAACCTCCATGGTTTCCGGAGGAACTTCCATAGTTTCCTGAGGACCCTCTATAGTTTCCTGAACTTCCTTGTTCTCCTGATGAACCCCCAGCGTTGGCGTTCGCATTAGAATTAACATTTGAACTACCGCCGGATGAAGCACCTCCGTAACTACCTGTACCAATGGGTCTTGGAAGATCGTGAGAGCCTCCCCCGGTTCCAGATGAACCTCCCTGAGAAGCACCTCCATATCCAGTACCATGAGATCCACCACCAACCTGAGAGCCACCGTGTCCGCCACTAGTTGATCCCCCATCTCCCTGACCTCCAGCATTTGCATTGGCATTGGCATTAGCGTTGGCTCCTGAAGAACCTCCATAGCTACCGCTTGGGATTGGAGTGCTGTAGGAGCCTCCTAGGTTTCCGGATGAGCCACCGTAGCTTCCTTGGGAGCTGCCACCGTAGGAGCCACTTCCCTGATTGTGAGAACCTCCGGAGCCAATACCTTGTCCATGAGTTCCAGCCTGAGCATTGGCATTGGAACTGGATCCACCATAACCGCTACCACCTACTCCTGTATTACCAGAGGAACCTGGATAACCTACTCCCCCTGATCCACTCCCCTGAGAGCCACCGTGACCACCTTGTCCGAATGATCCCCCTTGTCCTGGAGACCCAGCCTGAGCATTACTATTGGAACTGGATCCACCGTATCCGCCACCAACTACTCCTGTGTTACCGGATGGGCTTGGATAACCTGCTCCGCCTGATCCACTTCCCTGAGAGCCACCCTGACTACCTCCGAATGATCCACCTTGTCCTTGAGACCCAGCCTGAGCATTTGCATTGGCATTCGAACCGGATGATCCACCGTATCCACCACCAACTGATCCTGGATAACCTCCTCCTACCGGACTACTTCCAGAAGATCCACCATGACCACCTTCGATCGGGCCACCTCCGATCGGACCACCTCCAATGGATCCACTTCCCTGGGACCCACCATATCCTCCACCGCTTGACCCTGCATTTGCATTGGCCTCAGCATTGGCTTGAGCATTGGCATTTGCCCCAGCAGAACCTCCACCAAATTGACCCTGACCGTAATTGCCGCCACTCTGACCACCTACTCCTCCCTGTTGTCCGTACGACCCACCACTGGCTCCCGCATTAGCATTTGAATTGCTGTCTCCATTCAAGAAAGGATTGTTGGGGTAGAGTCCTTGGCCACCATGTGATCCAGAATGGTGAGAACCGCCATGAGATCCGGGATTGTATCCGGCACCTATGAACAAATTCTGTGAATTAATATCATCAAAACATTACGTTACAGCAATAAAAGACATCAGTAACTACTCGTGCTGGATGGGAATGATTATCCAGGATGATTGTAAAATCAGTATTCAAATCGGGAGCTAGAAAATGCAAGTCATGGGTATCCTAGAAGCCTAAGGTTTAATGCTGGATAGGGAGACCAGAAATTAGTCACAAAGTCTACTTCTACTATCCTCCAACCGGTGATCCTTCTACATTCTACGTCATATACTGAGATCAGGGTCCCAGCAATATGAACTATGGCATCCGACCTTGTTCGGCACACTCATCATTACCCGGACGGATGACTCGATAGGGGGCTCAAGTTGTTCACGCAGTCGAGTGATAGTCGATCACGGTTCGATTGATCGACCATCGTTCAATCAATGATCGATCTCCCGGTGGCTTGGCGCAGTGGGTAAGTTCATTGCCTCACATGCGAAAGGTTCCGAGTTCAAATCCCGGCCGAGTAGAATGGTGCGATCTAACCATTTAAAGTCTTGATCATCATCGCAGTATACCCTAACCGGGTCGAAACGATGTAAAATAACGATAAAAAAAAAAATCAATGATCGACCAATGTGCGACCAACGATCGATTAGCAATCGACCAACAATTGACTATCGACCTTCAATCGACTAATAATCAACCATTGATCGACTAACTCTCTACTAGTGATCAAAAGACGATCGATCGGCCAAGTGAACAAACCTTCCTTTTGAGCCACTATCGATCGATCTGTCAGGGTAGTAAGGCGCGTGGCGCTCACCTGGAGCCTTCGTGGGAATCATCGGACGCTCCACCGGTTGTTGTGGCTGCTGAAGTATCGGAAGAACGGGATAGGGTTGAGGAATCGTGGGCGATGTTGGTGGATATGGGGTGATTTGTGATGGTGGTGGTTGAGGTATTATTGGTGATGGCGGTGATTGGGGTGATGGTGGTGATGGCTTGGGTTTTTGAGGTCGATGATGATGATGGTGATGACGACGAGGAGGTGATGGTCGCTGTGGCCGATATGAACGGTCTGGCGGTCCATCAACAATGACGACGGGCACCAAGACAGCATTAGATGATCCACGGGCCTGTCCATTGCTAGCAGCATTAGCTATCGCATTCGCCGCAGCGTGAGCATCACCATTACTTTGAATCTGTCCATTGCACCGCGTGCATCCAGGGGGTCCCTGGGGTTTCCCAAGGGGCGATTGTCCGCCTGATTCAACGATATTGAAGTTCAGTGTCATTCTCCCGGGTTGCATTGGTCGGGGACGGTAACGATCATTATTAATTGGTTGTTCTATTCGTCTAATGGGGATTAGTACTCCATTTGAGTGGGCGTTACTGTAACCAGTTGTTTGTGGGTCGAAATGTAGAGTAATGTAGGAAGGTTCGGGATTCCTGCGGGGGGGATTGGGAATATTTTCGTAAGTTCTCAAGGGTTTATAATTTGAAGAGCCGGTGTTAGTGTTGGCAGAAGCTGCTGTATTTGATGACGCATCAATTTGGCGTACAACACCTGCAGGCATGTAATAGACCTTCTCCGTCGGGCGACTGACCTGTTGAATGGGTCTTTGATTCGCCGGTTTGAATTCTGTATTACCGTTATTAGTATTTGATTTAGCCGCTGCGGAGTCACCACTAGCCACAACTGGTGGTCTGGCATAATTTTGAGAATTATCTATCGGCGACTGAGGGATGTATTGAATTGGTCGGTACTTAAATTTATCATTATTAGTATTCGCGTTAGCCAAAGTTGTAGCACCTGTAGTTGTTCCAGAATTGCTTATTGGAAGGGAATCATATTTGTTATAATTATTATCGTTGTTATTGTTTACGGGGTTCTGATATTGAACCGTCGGTTGCTCCACAACACGACATCCGCAATCAGGGCCGTGCTGGTGATCATTATTATAATTATTGCCGTTGTTATTAATTGGTTTCTGGTATTGAATCTTTGATTGTTTGCTGATTGGTCTATCATTGCCCTGATAGTTATTAGTATCAGTGTTAGCGTTAGATGCTGCAGAAGCCGCGGCATTCGCGGCAGACCCAGAATTAGTTGTTGGCAATGCGGGGAATTCATTATAATAATTATCATTGTGATTGGTTGGCATTGGCTGGTATTGGGTCTGCGGTTGTTCATTAATGGGTTGATAGTTCGACCGATGATTGTTAGTATTGGCGTTAGCTGCTGCTGATGATGCAGCATTAGCGTTTGATCCAACATCGCTAACTGGCGTCGCGTACTGAATGTGCGGTTGGTCTTTGGTTGGTCGATAGTTCTGATTAGTGTCGGTGTTAGCACCAGCTGATGCTGAAGCCGCTGCATTTGCAGAGCCAGTAGAACCACCATTAGCTGAAGGGCTCATTACCAATGGTTCATTGTGATTATTGAAATTATCTGGTGACCGCTCATTTGAATAATGATTAGGTCGCGTGTTAACCGGTCTGTAGTTTGAGTTAAAATCGTTGTTAGTGTTAGCGTTAGATGCTGCAGAAGCTGCGGCATTTGCGGCAGACCCAGAATTAGTTGTTGACAATGCGGGGAATTCATTATAATAATTATCATTGTGATTGGTTGGCATTGGCTGGTATTGGATCTGCGGTTGTTCATTAATGGGTTGATAGTTCGACCGATGATTGTTAGTATTGGCGTTAGCTGCTGCTGATGATGCAGCATTAGCGTTTGATCCAACATCGCTAACTGGCGTCGCGTACTGAATGTGCGGTTGGTCTTTGGTTGGTCGATAGTTCTGATTAGTGTCGGTGTTAGCACCAGCTGATGCTGAAGCCGCTGCATTTGCAGAGCCAGTAGAACCACCATTAGCTGAAGGGCTCATTACCAATGGTTCATTGTGATTATTGAAATTATCTGGTGACCGCTCATTTGAATAATGATTAGGTCGCGTGTTAACCGGTCTGTAGTTTGAGTTAAAATCGTTGTTAGTGTTAGCGTTAGATGCTGCAGAAGCTGCGGCATTTGCGGCAGACCCAGAATTAGTTGTTGACAATGCGGGAAATTCATTATAATCATTATCATTGTTATTGGTTGGCATTGGCTGGTATTGAGTCTGCGGTTGTTCATTAATTGGTTGATAGTTTGACCGATGATTGTTAGCATTGGCGTTAGCTGCTGATGCAGCATTAGCGTTTGATCCACCTTCGTGAACTGGCGTCTGGTACTGAATGTGCGGTTGATCGTTGGTTGGTCGATAGTTCTGATTAGTGTCGGTGTTAGCACTAGCTGATGCTGAAGCCGCTGCATTTGCAACGACGGTAGAACCACCATTAGCTGGAGGGCTCATTACCGATGGTTCATTGTGATTATTGAAATTTTCTGGTGACTGCTCATTTGAATAGTGATTAGGTCGCGTGTTAACTGGTCTATAGTTTGAGTTAAAATCGTTATTAGTGTTAGCGTTAGCTGAAGCCACGGCATTCGCAATCGATTCGGTATCACTTTCTGGAGGTGAGAATTTATTATGATTATTATTATAGTTGTCTAATGGATTCTGGTATTGACTCATCGGTTGCGCATATATTGGTTTATTGTTTAGTTGATAGTTATTAGCGTTAGCGTTAGCTGTTGCGGATGCTGTTGCACTTGCAGTAGACCCCGAATTACTCATCGGAACTGCATTGTATTCATCAAGATAAAAATCGTCATCTTCTAGCATTTGATATGGACCTTTCGGCTGTCTGTTAGTTGGTTGGTAATTCATATTGTTATTGTTAGTGTTAGCATTGGCCGATGCTGAAGCTACAGCCTTTGAAGAATATCCAGGAAAAGGACTTTGTCGTTGAAATCGCCATACTTGATCATTATTGGTCGATGAAATGAGATTCAGATCATCTTCAATGTCGTGGGAACTTTCAGATGATCCGATTGAGGGATTCTTACCTGTTTCAACAAATTATCGTACTATATCAGTGGAATTCAAAGGATTTTCTGGTAATGGAGCACAAGTACATGGAATTCTCTCAAGCCTAATAATTCTCTCAAACCGAATGGATCACTTAATATTGATGGGGGAGAAATTTTGCACTCAGTTGAATTCCCAAAAAAAATCAGTTGACTGCTAGTCGCTCACCGGTTGATTCGTCAACCATTCGTTGACCATGATTCATCGACCATCGATCGACTAATGATCGACAAGCATTCGGCAAGAATTGACCACCGACCACTGATCGACCAGCCATCAATGGAATGGACAAGGCACCCTGCTATTGGATTGCCCTCGAGTACTTATCGAGTAAACATTGATCTGCCAGGGAATCTTATACAACTATTTAGAATATACTTGTGAAATACATCAATAGAAAATTCCAACGATTTCGGTAGGAAATCCTACTCTACGATTTAATGGCGTTATTGACGTTTGGATAACAAATGGTCAATGCAAAAAAGTAACTACTTTTTTCTATGAAACTCAATTAATTAAGTAGGGGAGGCTAGGGAAAAACAGACCGCAGGGCAAAACGGACCACTGACAAAAAATGGATAATTTTTTGATTTTTTTTTGTAGTTTTTGGTTCCGCATGGAAGCAAAGATTCAAAGTTATTTGTGGTTTGAGGTGATTAGCAAATCTCATCAAATTGCAGTCTGACGACACGTGTTATCTATAAAACGCCTGTGACGATTATGATCCTGAAACTCACTTTTAGTTCAACACATTCAGTGTTCCTGATTTGAAGGAAAGAAGAAAAAACAAAAATTACCAATTTTCTGTTAGTGGTCCATGTTGCCCTAGAGGTCCATTTTGCCCTACCTTCCCCTATTTCCCAAAAGAAATCTTCTGGCATAATTTTCTACTTTTTTTGTCGTTTGAAATGAAACTAAAATGTTGTTTTACAAGAACACAATTTCAACCCTAGTCTGGTCACCGCACGCGACTCTGCGACTTGGCCACCTCCACGGGAATTCGGCGCCGTGTTATTGAGCCTTTAACGTTGCCAAATTCACTTTATACTGCCCGGGCGCATTTAGCGAGTTTTCTGCAACGTCGCGTCATGGGATAATTTCATTTAACATGGGAAAAAATAATTTATGTGTCCGAAATAATTTGTTTTCTGTAGAAATTTTGGACAAAATGTTGTTCAAAAAACTACTGTAATTTTTTAGACACCTCAATTAACAAAGTCAAGTTTTTTTGAATTTTTCCGGTTAGTCAGTCAATTGTAATTAAAGAAAAATGACGCACGACAGGGTTTCCCGCATAGGGTGACCAATCTAGGATTAAGTGGAAATGAGCCAAAAATAATAGAATTTCCATTAAATCTGCCCGACGGTTTTTCTATTGAGTTTTTTCATACGTAAACCTATGATTATTCACTTATCATATCTCAGGGACCTACTGATTGTTCAGTCGGCAGAACGATCCATTTGTTTATTTGACTTGGATTCCTAGTCAACTGTAAAAAATTGCAAATGTTTTGTTGACCATCACATCGTAGACCCCCAAGACAGATTAGCTCACACCATGACCTATTATGATAATGTTAAAGAAAATAAAAAAAAAATAAAAAAAACCATCAAATCTTTATTTGAGCAATGAACACAGGTATCAGGCACTCATCCAATCACAATTGAATGACAAATTTTGTTCTTAGAAAATATCCAAAAATGTTTCACGCACGCCATTCAATAGAAAATAGGTCGTCCTAAAAAAAAATTGAAAAAAAAATGAAAAAAAAAAACATCCTAAAAGTATTGTAAAGCGTGACTTGTAGCAAAATTTTGAAAACCAAATTCCAGAAACACATTCTTTGCACTTGTGTTGATATTTACGTCAGAGGAAAAGCGAAGCACATTGTAATTGAAGCTACCAAAATTTATAAATACCTTTGTAATATGCACCGTAATTTTCTGATTCCCGTGCGTTTGCATCAGCCTCAGCTTGAGCATTTCCTTGAGTATGTGTATTGGTGTTGGTGTGCGTGTGGCCTTGGGAATCTGCCTCAGAGTGTGAGCTTGAAGAAGCTTCGCTGGGTCTCCCCGGATAGCCGGCCTGATTGCCGCCGTAGAATCCACCCTGATTTCCATTGAGGTATTCACCCTGATTTACACTGGGGAATCCCCTTGACGGAGCACCAGGGAACCCACCTGAGGGAACATCAGGAAAACCACTTTGTGGCCCACCGTTGAATCCTCCGGGGAATCCGTTGATGTTCACATTGGCATTAGCATTCGCGTTCGCGTTAGCCTCGGCATTTCTGTATCCACCATTGTTGTATCCATCAGGTCCATATCCACCGTTGTTGTATTCACCCGGTCCATATCCCCCATTACCATAACCTTGAGCTTGAGCTTGAGCATTGGCATTGGCAGAAGCGCCGGCTGCTGAAGCCTGAGCTCCGGCTCCTGCTGATGCACCACCGTTACCATTGGCATTAGCTTTGGAATTGGCAGATGCATGGTTCAGTGATGTTTCGAATCCAATTGGACCGAGATGGAAACCATGATGGAAATTCGTGGCTTTCGCATTCGCTGAGGCTTCAGCGCCTCTGTTGGGATGGAAAATACCTAGGGGATCCAGGAGGGATCCCAGGTGTTCCACTCGCTGACGGTGTCTGTCAGCGATACCCTCTAGAATACCTTTTGCAAAAGAAAAAAAAACATTATTATATTTTCGTGCACGAGGAGCGAAAAAATTCTGAATAATTGAACGATTGAGAAAAATAATGGTATATTGTTTATATTTCGCTTACTTGGATATGCAAGTGATCCACTAACTAGTAACAGCACCACAAGGGGCACAAAACACTGTATCGTTTTCATTATTATCACTTGTACTATGAAAAATTGAATATCAATAACTCGCGATTTGCAGAGAGTCAAGAATCAGACTGACGACTCTTCCTACAAGACAAGATCTTATATACGATAGGCCGCCGAGTCTTCAGTCAGTCGGATAATAATTGTCCTCCATCGACTCCCTCTATGTCTGCGGCACGATGTTTATGATTGTTTTTCACTGGTCAGAGCCAATCATTGATCCTGGGATGGGTTTTCCAGGACTGTCACGCAATCGGAAATTGATCTTGACGATTAATCTGATGATTCTCGAGAATCGGTGGGTATTCTTTGAGGGGAATTTCAGCTTACCCTGGGCCTGTTGGGGGCTGACAATATATTTACGATTTGGAGGTGAACGAGATGAGGCCACGGTCACGGTCCGCTCACTTCGAAGAAGCATTTCGTAGTTCGGCGGGTTATCCCAAAGTGAAGGAAAGTGTTGCAGGTTTTGCTCATTAGAATTTACAATTTTGCGAATCGAAATTTCAGACTGCTGTCAAAATTGATGAGTTCTTGAGGCTGAAGGTCGCACTAGCTGTGCAAAATGATCGAATTTTTTGAGACCACAGGTTTCTAATTGAATTGTGATCGATGGTGCAAGCAGGCGAAAAAATTCTCGTGAATCTTAACAATGAAAAATGTGCATGAATTATTTATCAATCAAAAAATTGCTTTTCAGAAGATTGCTGAGATCCCCGTAAAAATCCAGGAACCGATAACATCAAGCCTTCGTCATCCCAGAGATGTGTAAGTTACATAAAAAAATATCATCACCATCAGTGTAAGCGCTTTGAATAAATGATAATAGAATTTTTTTATTATGATTTTCTAAGCTAATTATAAATAACTTTATAGCCTGCTCCATGATTTTTATTTTCGAGGGGAATCATTACGGATGGTGTGAAGTGAAGTTTCAAGGTGAATTAAACAAAAAATGATGGTAAAAGTAATTGTCATTTGTGCGTAAACCATTTGAAAAATTGATTGAAAAGAATAATAAAAGAATTAAAACCGGTTGAAAATATTTTTGGATATTAGGCATCGTTGATGAAATCCCTCGCAATAGAGGGAACACGGATTCTGTGACGTTAAAAACTGGTTTTGAAGTTCAGAGGATTTTCGTCGGTGGACTTTTTCGTCGTAAAACGTGTTATTTCACACGTGGCCAAACTAGTCGATGGATTAAAATTGAAAGAGTCACTTAATCTCAACATTAAAGTCGGGGGATTCCCCCTAACCATTTCTAGGAACGCACAGTGAAATATTCTGAAAGTTGGAGAAAAACATTGTAGTTTTTGGGGAGCTGACGTGAATCTGTGATCGGTTGAATAATAACAATGCTAATTTTTCTTCTATTAGTTTTTAGCTTACACTAAGAAACCAATACTTTCGATTTTTTTTATAACAAAATATCACTTTGTTCGATAAAAAACGATTTGTCAACTTGGACTCAAAATTTTCTCAAACGAAAAAAAAAATTAATCGAAATTGTTTTTCACTCTTCCGAAAAAAATTTTGTTTTTCATGTCATAATTAATTTTATCGTGAAAACCGCGAAAAGAATGTTTAGATCGTCTTTCATGGTGCTCCCCACATTTTATTCAATTTTTTTTCTTCTCATCGTAAAATTCAGGAAATTTACGATCCGAAATTGAAACCCTTTTTTGATGCTGTGAAGAACTTGGAAGTGCAACACGGGTAAAAGAAAAATTCTTAATATCTAAAATTTTTAATATCTCAGAATTGAAGCGAGATATCGAATTTTTTGTATTGCACTTTTTTGTAGAGCAAAAAAAGATCTACAAAAAATGTTATGATGAAAATTTCGCCATCTTGTCTCCCTATAGACATATAGCCTCATTTGAATCCATATGGTGGAAGCCACTTGTATAGAGTGCGCGATGTATATATGCAGATATATATTTTTTTTTTAAGAATTGAAAATAAAAAAAATTAAAGAAGAAAAAGATTGAAAAAGAAATTTGCCATACTAAGATAAACTTTAAATATTTCCAAGTCTAGAATAAGCTTGGCTAAATAGATTGTTGAGCGACAATCTTTCATTCATTTTTTACAGAGGAACAGATTTTATCATAAATAACTAGTAAAAGTACAACGAAAAAAAAGCAAATTTATGCCCACAAATTTCTATACAAAAATAAAAATCGATCGGATATTTTCTAATAAATATCTGTTAAAAATGGCACGGTAAAATTGCATAATCTTCAGTAGCATTGGCGTAAAGAATTAATAGAATTATGCAGTAGAACCCCAACAGAATTTCTAGAAGACAGTGGGACGTGTCTAGAGAGAAATGTTTGTACAAACATCCAAAGTTTTCTTCAACTTTCAGAATTTCTTTTTTTTGTGAAGACAGTGAAATTTCCCTACTAACAAATCACGTTTCAAAAATATCTTGCGTAATGTTCATTCTAAAGTTCAACGGTTTGAAGCAAAATCTCGAGGCTAATGAATCCTAGGGGAGCATGGGGAATCCCTCAACAGGTGGGAAACGTTGGAGGCCGTTACACATAACTCGCTATTATCCAAGGTATCATCGAAATATATTCACCTCCATAGCCTTATTTTTTCATAACTCAATAAATAGAATTCTAAAGAATTCTTCAATTTCAGTTCATTAGGATTTGGCAATCATTACGAAATTCATTCGAATGATTAATATTTTTAGCAATCAGTGGTGTGGATTTCCCAGGGAGTTTATTTCTATGTATCACTATGTCAAAAATAGAAAAAAAAACGTTGCCGATCTTGAATACGTGATATTGTATACCTTTAAATCACCTACGCTCATTAATTCACCAACATAGTGATGCTCTCTCTTCAACGTGCGTGTCACGTTACACTGATGTAGTCATCACGAAAAAAGTGAATTCTTGTAAAGTATGACAATGAGACATCGGGAAATTCGAAACATCCCGGATATACATCAGACAATTGAGGATTTCGGATTGGAGTTTCGATGATAGATATATATTTGATGCTTCGTGTGGATAAAAATCTCAGAAAATGCCGCGAGTGTGATTATACAACTATGATATCTTATTTTTAATAGCTCTTTTACATTCAGAAAAAAAACATGTTTTTAAACAAGTCTTGTTTGACCCAAAAAAACCGCAAGTTGAAAATTACCAAGAATAAAAACATATTGTGTTTAACATTTGAAAGACGTCCGTAGATGAAAAATTTTTGTCGTAAAAATAGATTTCGTTGTTCCGAGAAAATTATATCTCTCTATATTATAAAAATGCAAATCGCCTTCTGGTGATAAAAATTTGGTACTCGAAATTAAGACTGCACAATTAAGGGTTACAAGGTTCAAAAGAAGGGTCACGAGGGTCAAAATAATGGTCATGAGGGTCAGAATACGGGTCATCAGGGCCAGAATAAGGGCCACGACTGTTATAATGAGGTTCAGAATGATGATCACGAGGGTCAGATTAAGGGTCTCAAGGGTCAGAATAAGGATGGTGGGGGCATTTGAGGGTTGGCGAGCAGGTGGCTACGCCCCCTAGTTTGTTTATACGAAATCTCATTTCTGGCATGACCTATCTGTTATTCTATACTGCCCTAAATCTTTTTTGTTGAAAACTGAGTGATTACCGTCAGTGTACTGGCTTTCGGTCACTGAAGGATTGAGATTTCCTTTTTTGAGACGTTTATGTACCCAAATTAAATTCATTTTTTCTCGATCTTCAATCATGTTGCATGAAAAGAGCTAATCATTTTTTCACTGATAATTTTGGTCTCGTTAGTAATAATGGTCATTAAGCAGAATTTAAAGGGAGTTAAGAAAATGATGGCAAAGCAATTTTGTTATAAAAAATAGTGATGAAAAATGTTTTTCCTCGGAATCATATTTAAATTTTTTCATCACGCTGTGCGAAAAAGTAACTTTTTACTTTAAACGTCCCTTTTCCACACATTATGATGAAAAATATCGTTCGATACTCGTGGGAAAAGTGTTTTTTCGCTCGTGGAAGATTTATAGCACGAGCCGAGGGCGAGTGAAAAAAAACTCTTTTCCGCACTCGTAACGAAATATACGATTTCATCACTTATGCGAAAACGAAGTTTCACGCTCCGCGTGCCCAAAATTGCATTTGCTCCACATTGCGATGAAAAATAGGGTACAACACTCGTGAGAAAAGTGTTTTTTGATCCTTAGGAGGCTAGCACTCGCCTTCGACAAGCACTACACATCTACCACAGATCAAAATAGTATATAATAAATAGTATATTCCGATACAAGTGCGAAGTGGGATTTTTCAGCGCGTGACATTGGCAGCCCCCGGCTTCGGCTTCACACTCGTCACAAATACCCATGACACATGGGTCGAACTATATTTTTTGTCAGTGATTTTACGTTCAACGAGTGGCGAACTGTACCTTTTTTCGTTTACAAGTAAACGAAATAGTATATTGTGTTACTAGTGCGCAAACTTCTACTTTTTCGCACGCACGTGTAACACATCCTATTTTTTATGATACGTGCCAAGTTCACTGTTCGAAATGGTAGCGCAGGTAAAGTAGTTGTTTTAGTCCACCCGTGCGTGAAGTTCAAGAGCGTGCGTAATGTAAATGTCAAGTGCGTGAAGCGCAGCTTCACGCCGTGCGGAAAATAACCGCTTTACGCACACTAAACTGTTTCGTAAAGCGCACTCGTGCACAAACACAAACCACTTTACTCTCACTACCGTTCCGAACCGTGGATTCGACAGGTATCACAAAAAATAGGATCTGTTACACGTACGTGCGAAAAAGTGAGTGTTTATGCACTGGTAACACAATATATTATTTATTTACAAGTCAACTAAAAGGCACTTTTCGGCGCGAATTGCACGCAGCAGCAGTGACAAAATAGTTGTTTTCGTTACTAGGCTGAAAGAAATTTGAAAGACAGTATTTGAAAACAGTATATTGTGACACTAGTGCTTAAAGATCCACTTTTTCGCACGCACGTATAACACATCCTATTTTTTATGATGTCTGCCAAGTTCACTATTCGAAAGGGAAGGGGGGGTAAAGTGATTGTTTTTGTGCACGAGTGCGTAAATTTTTTTTACGCATGCTCATTGAACTTTACGCACGACGTGCGGAAAACAACCGCTTTACGGACACAAACCGTTTCGAAAAGTGCACTTTTGAGGCAGGTATCACAAAAAAACAGTTTTATGCACTTGTATCGGAATATACTATTTACGCCCTTCGGATCTCACAATGATACTATGTTTGATTTAATTTGACTCGTCCCACAAAAAGTCACCAAAAATGTCTTATGATTTCATGCCTTAATAGGATTAAAGTTTCTTCACTGATAGGATGATTCATTTATTCCAAAAGAGATTCGTTAACTATTAACGAATAATCATTTGATAGAACTGAGTAGACCCTAGCCTCCAACCAAATCCATTTTTTAACAATAACTAATCCTTTCTATCAGTGTTCGTAATGCAAATAACTAGTAACTGAATAATCTTCAAATGTCTTGAATTAAAAAAAAAATATTTTAAAGTCGGTGACTTGTATTTCTAAATATTACGAAAAAGTCTTGTCCAGTCTTATTTTCAGGGGGAAAACATCTTATTTTAAGACATTCGAAAATAGCACAAAGTTAGCGGATCCAACACATCCTTGTGTCTAATATCTTAAATTAAAACGACTCGAAGACACTAGTGTTCACATTGTGAATAGATTTTTACCTCAATTGTCGATTATTTCGATGAAAGTAGAAGTAATTTATGAAAAAAAACACATGTACCATTTTTCGGATGCCTCATTGTTCCACGGGTAATGTTGGAGCCCCAGTTATCGACCATATAAAAGACCCAGTTTTCGGACGACACACTCATCAGTAAGTTGTAATCGAAAATTCAGCAAAATGTGAAAATAGTAATTTGTTACGTGTCACCACTCCAGCACTAAATCGTCGAAGTTTCATTATTGCATTATTTGTAATGCAGCAGAGTACATCATCGCCGATAAAATCAGGGTCACGGCTATCAAGATTTTTCGGGCGACTCGGCATTTCCCACTTGCATTATCCAATGTGGATATTCCGAAGATTGCACCTAAGGTCATTGGGGAATAACGCGAAGGCAATAACAACACGAGAACATGATTCAACATTTTCAGAATATATTTGAATTAACACTTATAATTTTTCACTTTATTTATGATAACCGGAATAGAGATGGATGGAATTATCTCTGGCAATTAATGTCTGTATTTAATTATTAAAGTATAATACAGTAATTATTGTCTTTTTGTGTTGTCATTCGGCATTGTAAATTAGGCTGGTGTGAATCAATTGGCATAAAGACTGAAATCAAATCATCTTTTCTTCTAAAACCGAAAGTCAATAGATGATTTCCTAACATCTATTTGTACATTAATTTAATTTTTTATAAGTCATGCAACAGTTATTATTTGCAACACTCATGGGAAAAATTCAGTTTTATTTTCATGAATTCAGCAAGGAAAGGATCACAATGGATAATACTTGAAACGATATGTCTGTTTTACGAAGTGGCGCTTCAGCTACTGGAGACCCGAGTCATGTAAATCATACAGGGATAATATAAATAAATAAATCACAGATTTTTCCAAGATTTCGTCTACAGCGTATTGACCTTTCTCATTGACTATGTTCCTAAGGCTTTTTGCACTCTTGCAGTCTCTTTCAATATTTGTCATTTTTATTTTTTTTGTATTCTTTATCTTACAGTAGAGGGGTTTCTCCTGATGAGTCCGAAATTTTTTTCGGTGGTGAGTTTTCTGTGTCATTGGAGTCGTTGTTTTTACCGTTTTCTTCTTTCGTCACTTCTTCCGTTTTTTTCGCTTGTTCGTAGTTGTTCAAGTACTCAACGACTTGAGTGTGGCCGAAGGTTTTTGCCTCATCCACTGGTCGATTTCCCCACCTGTAAAGACATTGCAAATAAATTACGAATGATTTTGAATTCAATTTTAAATATTTGGAGACGCCCACGTACGAAATGCCAGTGTTGTAGAAACGGGCCAAGCCTGGCACAAGCCTGGGCTTGCCAAGTCTGGGCGCCCAGGCTTGGACCGAGGTTCGGCCATCCCTGGGGACCAGGGCTTGAGTCTCGGGAGAAGGGCGGGTAACCGAGCCTTGGTTGACAGATCTGGCCCTGCCTTGGCCGGACATTGGCATGCCGGACCTCGATAACCAAGCCTCAGCCAGCGGTGGCCCGGAGCTTGGTCATTGAGCTCCAGCCGTTGGTATAACTGTAAGGGTTAAGCCGTAAGGGTGAGATGATGAGAATGGAATCATAGGGGTGGAATCATAAGGGTAAAATCTGAAGAGTAAAATTGTAAGGGTCAAATCGCAATAATGGAAAGGGGCGAAAAAATTATAAGGCTGACATTCTGAGGGTTGAATGTTAAGGGTGGAAACTTGAGGGTAAAATGTTAAGGGTGTAATCGTAAAAAAATGGTGACATTGTAGGTGTTGAAGTCACATGTTACTCGCTAATTATTACGAAAAGAAGAAGAATCGTCATTCAACAGTAATCCTAATTGTTACAATTATTATTGTAATTAATAATAATAATTATTATTATTCATTATTGAATTAATTTACCGATTAAACTGTAGTTGAATCACTGAATATTTCTATCAACTGAATAATAAAACATTCAAGTCGAAAAAAACCGAGATGGAATTAATATGGACGATTTGAAGTAGAGGTTTTACGAATTGCGCGGTAGACTAGTGGTTAGGGCGTCGGATTAGTAGTCGTGAGGTCGTGGGTTCGAGCCCACGTTAGGGGGTAATATTTTAAGTTAACAAAATCGGTTTTTCAGCGATGATTGCGTTAGGGTTTGGTAGGTAGGGCACAATCAATACTAAAAATCATCCTAAAAAATGTTAATTATTTTGTTTTTGTTATTATTGATAATTGCCATGAACAGTTTGGCAGCCAGTGCGGCACCAGTCGCATGCCGGTATTGATTTTTTTTCCTCGTTGAACCTATTACGAATGCTGAGGAGTAATATTACATTACTTGTATTTCAATCACCCATATTATCATATTCATGTAATTAAGTAATGTTTAATTGAGCCTGGCCAACGACTGGCAATCAACGCTGGGCCGAGATGGGCGCCCAGACCTGGCCCGATGTTATCATTCCAGGTTTCAACCAAGTCCGGCGCGGTCCCGGTTGAGGAACGGGTCCCGAAGTTCGGCAGGCCGGCCACCGGGCTTGGGCCAAGCTCGGCCCATTCGTTTTTTCGTACGTGGGCGATCTTCATTGCGAAGTGTTCCGATGAATATATAAAAAAAAAGGAGATCCAGGAAAACAGTTCTATAAAATGCATGTCCCAGTACCTGACTCCGAGGGGCTACATTCCCTGATTGAATGATATCATGATTTCGAAATCAAGTTGACTTCAATGATTTCGGGGCTGATTTCAGTGATTTCGAGATTGATTTTAGTGATTTCGGAAAGAAATGAAATCAATGACTTCAAGTGGATCGCGACGTGATTTCGTGACTGCAATTGACTTCGAATCATTTCATAGATTCGAAATCAGTGATTTCAGGGGCAATGAAATGAGTGAAATTACGATGAATACAATTCAGTGAATGAGAGCGCGGCAGAACGGGCCGTTTTAAGTTTTCAAAATGTACTTATCACACAATACGATTTAGTTGAACTTATTTTCATTGCAAAGCTTGTTGAACAAGCTTTGAAAGCTTGTTTGTAAGCAAATGAAAAACTTCCCATTCCACCTCTTTTCCCCAATAATCCATGATTCAAAATTAATTTCCAAACGTTATATTACAAAAAAATGCATCAATCTGTATTCCACAGATTAATTTTGTAATGTATCTACAGTATTGTTTAGAAATATGTTTTAATCTCATTAAAAATGTTCTCGTGGAACTTTAAGTCACCACTCTCAGTGATCAGCGCAAAAGAAATTGTCCTTCAATATTATTTGATATCAATGTAGTTGTGAACAGTCATTGGCTTTGATTTTTAACAATTAAAACTCGTATACAAAATGTACCAATGACGCAGAACACTGGGATTTTTTTATTACCGGTGACACGAGTGCAATAGCTCGAAAATTCTTAATTAAGGTGAGTTGTCCCCTCAGCATACGCGAAATTAAATACAAATCCTAGTAAACAAGGAGAATCTTTTTCCTGTTTAAACAAATACCAATCATCGATTTTAATCTCGTCGCATTCTCTTACAAAATAGTAATTGATTTCAAATTACTTCGGCATGATTTCAAGACTTCCGCATGATTCCAGAAATGATTTCAGAGAGTTGAATTCGCGTGATTTCATTCATTGTGACGATTTTGCACACTGAGAAAAAAAAATTCTAATATCTGAAACATATTAACTTGAAACAAGTAATTTTTCTTCAATCGCTTAATTTTCCCAGGAATCTCAACTCACGTGCGGTTCGAGAAGTCTCATGCTTTAAAATATTCTTGTGCTCAAGTATGATTTTGTTACAAATGAACGCAATCAAATCGCGTAAAAAAATCATCGGTCTTCATTTTTTTAGTGTTTTCATGATTTTTTATTATGCACTTTGAATGTTTCGACATTTAATATATTCATGATGTAAAGCGGAACGATAGTGATGAATAAGACTTTATTCGAGTTCTGTGAACTGCAAACATTCCGAGATTTATGCCATAGAAAATAATTTACTTCTCTAAAGTAAATATGCTCGACACATTAGGAAATTTTTTCTCCGTGCATAATTTCCACATGATTTATGATTGATTTCATCACAGAGTGGCACCATGATTTCGGGAGTGAGTAGCCCCTCGCGTGACTCTGTCCGAGTAACTGAACCACTGAGTGATGGATCCGCGATTTTCCTTATATATTCTCTCCTGAAAATGATTATAATGCAAGTTGCCGGATGATCTGCAAGGTTATAATGATGGCAGTAATATAAATTTCACGCGGTTAGTGCTCTCAATAATATTGGAATGCACGGGAATTTTTTAGAAAAATTCTAGTGCAAGCACGGTAAAAGAGGCACAAAGTGACAACAAAGAAAAATTCCAGTGCTGGCACTGGAAATTTTATTTGGGAAAACGTGAATTTTTCCCCGTATTTCTGTGAAAATTTCACAGAAATCCTCAGAAATTTTACCAGAAATTCTGAGAAATTTTACCTTAACAGCACTAGAATTTTTCGCAACCGGTGGATTGTGATTTTTTTCAGTACTCATACTAGGATTTTTCTAGAAAATTTCTCTCCGTGTGGTCAATATTACTGGTGGAATGAATCACTACCCTCAGTCACATTTCTCATATGCAGTACTAACAAGGATGCGAAATGACGTGACGTTTTGAAATCTGTCAGGTCACAAAAATATGACGGTCATGTGACCGTCATGTGACGTCACCTTTTTTCATGTCATAATTTGGGTCACACTGTCGACTCACATATGATAATCAATTAGTTAGATGTAATGTGACCGTCATAAATTTTTCTGTTACAAAATCTTGTCACAAATTTTCAAATTGCACCGGTTTTTCAGTACAAGGGTTTACTTAACAACGCGCCTATTGTCTGAAGGCCTTTAGGCAGAGAATGTTGAATGTGGTGCGAATTTTTCAGTTGAAAATTTCCGTAGAATATTCGGTTGATCAATCGTGTGTAATTTTCAGATGAATATCATGTCAAAAATTGTGACGAAAAATTGGTGTGAAATCATTTATTTCATTCATCGATCTCAACTGTTCGACCATTCCCAGTGAGAAAAATGACACTTAGTCAATAAACTCCCCATTGATTTTTTCTTTTTTAAACTGAAATACGATTGACACATATGTCAATCGTATGACGCTTTGTGATTGTCCATCCATGGAGGTAATCATGGGGAAATTTAGAATCTCGAACTAGTTGCCACCACCTGGGCTCCGATTCTACAAGAGTTTTCACGGCGAGAAGTGAAACAGCTGTCATATGTTTCCTCTGTTAGAACAATGTAAAACAAAAGTTCCCGTTTCACTTCTCAGCGTGAAAACTCTTGTAGAATTGGACCCCTAGATGGGATGTAACGGTTAGAGAGTAAAACAGTCACGTTTGTGTCATGTGACAATAAATTGTCATGGTTGGCCGTGTCACATGACTGTCACTGACATGTCATATGACCGGTCAGTGACGTGTCATGTAATTTTTTCGCATCCCTGAGTACTGGGTGAATATTTAAAAAATTAATTCCTTCGATTTGGACACCCTTGTTTACATTGACGTATTACAAACAATAAATTTGGTGGAAAAAGTGTGGGTACTGACGGTGGTAGCTGTGTGATTAGAGCACGCGGACGACTCGGGTTGGGTTTCCGGGGGGGGGGGGGGGCAAAGTGATTTTTTAACGCTCTAATTTTCACACTTATAACGTAATATACTACTTCAATTTTGAATAAATTGAAAATTCTACGTAATTTGATACTGAAAATTTTTCTGCCCATCCTCCTGCTACTCAAAATCTGTTAACCCTAGTTGGTCACCCTACGCGACCCAGCGATTGGTCACGTCCGCGGGGAAGTGCCGCCGTGTTATTTAACCCTGAACGTTGCCAAATTCACTGTACACTGCCCGGGCGCGTTTAGCGAATTTCCGGCAATGTCGCGTAACAGGTACTTTGATTTAACATGGGAAAAAATAATTCCTCTGAAATAATTTTTTTTTTTTTTAGGAATTTTGAGAATTATGTTGTTCTATAACTATTAAAATTTTTTAGACACTTTGATTGGAGAAGTCAAATTTTTTTTTAATTTTTCCGATCAGTTAATGGCAATTCAAGAAAAACGACGCGCTGCGGCACTTCCCTCATATACTGAGAGAAAAATCTGAAGTTCGATTTACTATACGAAAATAGTTGAGGCAGTTTTGGTGAACGATACGATTTTTTTTTGTATGCAGCACATAACATTATAGTAACTTCACAAGCGTAATTTTTGCAAATCAAAATGCAATTACACTAACCAAAGTTCAAAAGTAACCACGACAAATCTATCGTGAGCAGAACTATAAAATAGTAGCAATGACTACATTCCATTGTAGTAATTACTTCTCCGGCCATAGTTGCCGTAACCCATGAAAAATTGTTGAGGACTTTTTGATTATAGTGCGATGGTGATGGAATATAGTCAAAAGAATCATATTTTTCTCTCAGTGTATGGTGACCAATCGAGGGTGAATTTTATTGAATTTTCAGAGAAATTTGGAATTTCATGATTTTTGCTTCCCTCAATTTAATTCAATGTCGGTCTCTTGAAAATTATTACCAAACTGTCCATAAAATTTTAATTTTTTTCTATCAGTGTGGTGACCCTTTTTCATTTCGGTTCCTTGGGGGCACAGATGGATTGATATGAAATTCAATATACAGAAACACCGAATTCGTGATGACGAGCTATTTACCTGTCCTTGGGATCATGAGGTACTCCGCACTGTTCGATGAGAAATTCGACACAGTCCAGGTGTCCTTCACTGGCAGCCAAATGCAAAGCCGTCCGACCATCGTAATCCGACAGCGTCATATCCATTCCACTCAGTCGATGTCTGCGAATGTAAATTTTTTTTTTCAAGTGCTTCCACTGAATTATTACAAGCAATTAATTTTACTGAGTTATTTTTTCTCACGAAAACCGAACATAAACATGGAATATTAAATATCTATTCAAGCTAATTCAAGCTATAGGAGCAAAGCACTATGTTATTAAAAAAATTAGGAAAAAAAAAGAAAATCGAGGAAATATAATATGTTTAACACTTCGTTGGTCACGCAAGAGACGAACGCCGTTGATCGCGCCGTAAGCGCCGCACCGCACCAGCATAAATCGACATAATGATAAATTTGAAAGATCTAGGAAAAATCTGAAAACAATCAAGAGTCCAGATCTAGATCGTATACTTGAAGAAGTCCCGTGAAATTTTTTATATTCAGGGTTACCCTTAATAATACATTCAAGCTCAAAGTTGTCATGTTTTTCTGAAAATTCGCCTTATACACGGTACACGCACGTATGAAAAAATCGTATAGAAATTTTCTGTTCGGATTGTGTATAGAAATTCTATAGGATTTTCATGTATGATATTCGGATATTTCTATACGAATAATTTCTATACATAAATGTTTACATAATTTTTTTTTTCATACGAAAAATGTCTAAACGCTCCAGAAAAAAACGTACAGAAATGTCGCAACTCTATACGAAATGTTTCTATACATATGGCAGTGGGTTGTATAGGATCAAACCTATAGAAATCGTGTAGAAATAATTTGGATAATAAATATCCGTATAGAAATATCCGAATATCATATATGAAAATCCTATAGAAATTCTGAACGCAATCCGTACAGAAAATTTCTATACGATTTTTTCATACGTGATACGGCCCGGAGTTTCGGAATAAAAATTTGAAAATCTAACTACTTATGATATTTTTGGAGGATATTTTCATTGATGGGCTTCTAGACATCGTACGAAGCTATTCGAAAGTGACATAATTCTGAAGCTCTGGAGGTGGGTTGAACAGACCAATTGCTGGACGGTTAACAGAAATTCGAGTTTCGTATTAGGATCTAAAATAAACGAATCACCTAAATGGGAATATGGTGGCTTCCATACCTCCAAGAATATTTCAATTAGCAGAAAAAAATTATTTGCAATCAAAATAACAAAACAAAGAATAATTAAATTATGAAATAGTTAGATGCAACCGAAAACTCTCATTTCTGAACGACTGCGACATATTTTTTTCATTTATTAAATGGGAACATCCTGCGCTGACAGAAAAAAATAATTTTATCAAGAGAATTTTATTTGCACCGACAATCATTCGGTTGTTCATTTTCAAATAAACATGATTTCATAGTGAATACCAGTTATCTCTTCTTGAGATACATTTGACTGGGAGAAATCGAACGTCTCTAGAATTCAAGTTCCTTTTATTTGTCGCAATAATGAGATTATTTGATTTCTTTCTAGCCAAGTGTTTGCTAACTCCAGAAATTCGTTGGTTTACTCAAAAATCAAAATTATTCTCATGACTAAATACGTTGTTATCTCAATCAACACGATCATACGTTGTTCCAAGTAAATTATACTTGAAGTGAGCATTTCGTATGTCAAATCAGGATGAATATTGTTACGCGGAAAAAGCTTTAAGATTGTAGTAAGATTTCGTTGAGTTGAAAGAAGTTCATATTTCTTGACTAAAAAAGTCGCATTAGTTTACAATAACAGAATCACAGATTACGGCAATTCTACACAAACTTGGATATCACAAATTTCGTTCAATGTGATGTACGGAAAGCTCAATTTAAACATCGGCTTTATTCTAATAAACAACATTCCATTCATTCCTCAATGTAATCATCTCCTAGGTACGAATTTTTTATCAATTCATGAAAGTAGAAAATTTCTCGGCTAAAGATTATATTAGGTTTAAAAAAATAGACCTTTTCCATTGTTGTGGTGAATACACGTGACTTGACGCCAAGGACTGTTTTATTTAATTCAAGTAAATCAATCTCAAGAAGATTAATTGATACTCACGCCAAAATCTTACTTATCTGAAATTGTTTCAAGTATATCAAATTTGTTCCAAGAAAGAAACATCTCAATAAATAGTATATTTTGTCATTAGGCCGAAAAAAACTTTCTCCCTCGCCTTCGGCTCGTGCTGTAAACCTCATATTCGTCAGAAAATATTTTTTGTCATGACGGCCGTAGGCAGAGATTAACGGACGCGGAGCGAAGCGGAATGACAAAAAATAATTTTTTCTATCAGGGTGAGAAAGTTACAGATCAGACCATGGAACTGAGAGGGAGAGAAAGCACTCCACAGGTTTAGCAACTCGAAATAACCATATCAATGATGCGTGCGGCATTGCCATGTCTCTGGCGCATTTTAATATTGTTTCAATAATTAGAAAAATATCCAATAAAAAAAAGTTGACACATGTAAGTGATGAGATAACAATGATTACATAAAAATAAAAATAAAAATGATTAAATAAATTAACGTACAAGAAATGTTCAAATGCACACTGAAATAATTAATACTTGAAAATTGAAAATTTTCGTGTTTAGGGATTGATTCGGGGTTCGAGAACAATGAGACTCCCCTTACGTTTCACCACATCGAAGAAGTACAGACGAAACACCTTAAGTGGCAATTGATAAAATAAACAACACATTTAAAAAAAAATTATAGCTTTTATTTCAATTCATTATCATGGCATCTACATCGAAATTTGTACACATAAAATTAAATAAATTAAGGAAAAGGCTGGTCCAATGCAAAAATATACGCCTATGGAATTAGATTATGGTAATGCGGCAGTCAATGACCATCCATGTGAAGAACGATGCATTTCCGATACATTTGCTTATTCAATGTCTAATTATTGAAGCAGTTAACCTCATTTGGCAGTTTTATGTTTCACGGGAGTGCTTTGAGGGAATTCCCAACGAAAATAATCATTTTTGCTTAGTGGAAATTACAAATTAAGCAGAACATTACAGCAAAATGCAACAAGAAGGACGAGTTACTATGTACGAAAACATTCTGTTGGAATTACTATGGAAAAATTCTGAAATTTCCCGAGATGATTTCTCAGATTAAGAAATTAGATAATAAAATTTATGGAAGAAAATGAATGGAATTGAATTTTTCCATGGAATCCCTTATTTTATTATATTTTTGCAATATTTTATAATAAGAGACAATACAATAGTGCCATGGATGAAACTTAAAAAAATCATTGTAAAATTTCTACGCAGGGAATATCTTGATAAAATAAATTATCTAGAAAAGTTAAAATTTTCTTTCTTTTCTATCTAATATACTTCTCATTTTTAAATGGTAATACTGTGTATTGGCCTTGGCTATCTTCAGCAATTCGGCGATTAAAGAATAATTGAATAAGAAGAAATTCTTATCGATGACTCAACGACTCGGCTTCCAAAGTCCCCATGAGGTTTTCTTTATTCTTTCAAAATGCTAATAAACAGGAATACAAAAAATTTTAAAAAAAAGTTTGAAACCCGGGTGGATTATCTTTCGAACGTTATCTCGATTGTAAAATATATCGCAACTTCCATTGGATTTTACATCACGCAGGAGTCTCTAAAAATTATGATTGTACAATCAAAAAAAGTAGAAAAAGAAACTGAACGTTTTCAAAGAGCGTTTTTAATAAAGATTAAGAAATAAGTCCGATGGAGAGGAAATAGAGTGAATGGATAATTTATCATGGTAACTAACGATCTGACAGCCATTGACTACTGTGACAACAGCCATTAGATACATCAGATTATTAATTTACAATTTGCTTCCTATTGGGTTTATTTCCCAACATTATTTAAAAACACTCTTTGAAAATGTTCAGCTTTTTTTTCAACGTTTTTTTGATTGTACAATAATAATTTTTGGAGACTCCAGGGCTACGTCAAACTGAATAGCAATTTGAGATCATTTCAAATTATTAAATTAAAATAAACCAGCCAAGATCACGTTCGAAAAATCATCCACCCGGGCCTTAAAAAAAGATTTTTTCCCTCCATGTTTCTCCTGGGAGTAAAACATCAAGTAAAACGAATAAACTCCACAGTGGAATGTCAATTACCCATCAAATAAATTTAATCACCAAATTGCTGAAGACCGCCGAAGCCATCAATTCAAAATGAAATACTTAAGCGGTAAAAAAACCTCAACTAATACTCCTCTATCAAATTTCTTAACAGAAAAAAAGCCTAAGTTTTCAAAATAAATCAGCAAAAAACGAGATTCTGAATGATGGGCCTTGAAAATCTTTGAATTATTTTTTAATATGCAACTCAATCAACAAAGCAAACAAAAATGAATCGATTCACTCTCTCCCAATAAACTTACCCCTTGAGACGCTCGAGCAAATCAACATCTTGTCTGTTAGCATGCATCGAGTTGTATTTGTATGTTGAGTACCAAGTTGTTGAAAAGTGTTATTTAGCAAATGACAAATTTAATGACATGTAAATGTACTGTGTAATGATATGAAGTGTACTGAAACGAAACCCGCTGGTAAACTCTAAACAACGTCTGCGTGAGCAGTATCACATTACCAACCTGCGCATCCCCGTGACGTCTCCGCTAGCGGCACTGAATAGCAGATTAACGATCGAGAGGCCCTTTGTTTCGTACTTGTGCCTTCGAGGATCCTTTTTGTTCGTTGCATGCTTGAGATTATCGTATCTATGGAAGTTGAACTCGTTGACGAGTTCTTCGCAGAATTGAACACCTCGGCAGGAATTGCCGAGGGGGTCTAGTGGTGGTGACCATGTACAGATGCCCATTACATTGGGGATTACAACGAGAAGGCTACCGGATACTCCCGATTTTGCCGGAATTCCCACCTGCAAGAATTTGAGAATTGACCATTTTTCAGCTGACGGTTTTCACAATGGAGTTTTCACCCATTTATTGAAATTTATTGAAATATTTCAAGTCCTGATTTAATTGCTGTTACTGATAATTCTTTCAGTAATCATGAAAAACCCAATTTTCTCTTTCAAATCGCATAAACAATGCGCTGTAATTCAACAACGAATTGTGCGACCCCCATTTTTTTTTGATAGAATCAAGAGGGTATTGTTATAATTTTGTTAGCTATGATTAATTCCATTTTGATGACAATTTTTTGGGTGATCTATGAAAAATCGATTTCTGTATGAAATCTGTATGAAAAATTAAATGTTCATTGGTTTCAGTGAATAGAACTTATGGCAACCTATAGTTCATGAAAAAATTCATCAAATTCGATTGATTCCTCATAAGAAAATTTCGAAAGAAAATGACGAAAAAAGATCACATTACACAATAATAATCCGTTAAAATTTAAACTCTGCTATTTTTTAATGTATTCTATGAAAATATGAGGGTAGGAATTGAATTTATGGGTATTGGTTCATTATTCGAAAAATATATCAATTTAAAAATTTTCCATAGACATTAAAAAATTAAAAATTCTGTTTTCGTGTTGATCTCATTTCTCTTCCTCTTTCCACTTTCTTCCATCAGAATTAGATAATAGAAAGAAAATACATTGGTTTTTCTTCATTATTAAGAAAAAAACATTATGAAATTTTCAAGAGTGAAAAATCGATTTTTAAAATTTATTTCTGATTTTCCTTCCCTACATTTTCTGTATTTCCTGTTTCTGTGAACGGAATACGATCACAGAAATTAAAAATGCTAATCTCCCTTCATTTTTGAAGAAGAACAAAACAATTTGAAAAATTTCAAAAAGTCATAGAAAAATAGATTTTTTCATTCTATTGATACTAATTAATTTAAAGAAAACGAAAGAAATGAAAAATTTTAGGTATGATTATCGAAAATTGTTTATCGATCTGTATTCTCACGTGATTTGTGGGGAATTCCTCTTCATTTAATGTTGTAACTTGTGAATTAAGGAACAAAAATATATATAATAACAATAAGAATGGATAAAATTAATCCCTTTGGAATCAAAAAGAATAAATTAATCAATATTCTGTTTCGATTATTTTTTCAAATTAAAAAATTTTTCATTCCTCAATGATTACGATATAAGTGAGTGCAGTAAAGTGGAACGTTTGCACGTTGTGATCCACTGAAATTTGTAATATCATTGTTTATATACACAGATATTGGGATTTTAAATCGATAACAAATGTTCCACTTTACCCCTTCTTCTCCTAGTTACGTAGAATATCTCTTACCCGGAAAGCGAATTGTCCGCTGTAGTCATACATTCCACAACTGTGCATGAGACTCAAGACATCTCGGACACTATCTGGTCTCAATACTTTTTCCTCAGTAATTGGACAAATCCCTCCATTAGCCAGTGTAGCTGCCATTACTGCCATAGCATCGCAATTCGATTCCATAGCGCAACACTGAAATTTTTAATGAATATTCGATACCACCATATTTACAATGACAAATCCTTTATTAAAAAATAGGTGAAACATTTTTGGCCAGCAATCTATTTCGCCAAGCATGTGCTGAACTTCGGAATATTGCAAAGTTATTTTTGCTTATGAATAAATAAATAAATAAAGATTTTTTTTTTTAATTTAACACATAAATATATATTTTTTTTTAGTTGATTATTCATATATGTGTGATAGCTAAGGTATGTAGGAAAGATGAACGGAAAAAATATAGTTGAAAAATTCGAGTATTCAAATTTTAAAAACGTTGAACCTTTGGATATAACAAGAATGCTGATGGAATTATTATGAACAATAAATTCAGTAGCGAAGTGGTAAAACGGTTCAAGGCGACTCATCTCCCATTTGAGTTTTTGAGGAATATTTCCGAATCTAAGGGAGATAGCGAAATTTTCGTAATTACATTTATTGTAGCTCTCAATCGGCCCTATAAAAAGGTTATAACAAAAATTTTGCTATCTCCCTCGTGACCCTAGATATTCATTGAGAGCTGGTCAATAGTCAAAATTGATTTGTAGCGTTTTACCACAAAAACAAAAACAGAAAGACAAAAGCAAAACAAAAAATTGTGCATTTCGACAGTGGACAGTTTATTCCGGAGATTTTTATTTTCTCACTTGCAAAATGGAACCGATTTCATTTTTTCATCCGACTCTTAGATGCACCTAATTTCTTAAACCTTGCAACGTGAATTTTTCATCGTGCAAACTTTTGAGGATCATTTTTCAAATTTTTCCTCAAATCAAATCATAATAAAATTGAACATTAACTCCTTTTTAATAAATAATAAATGAATACCCAGTGATAAAAAATAGTATGTATAAATCACTAGCCAATCATGCGCCCCCGTCCTTAGTTTCTGAAATGTAAATGACTAAAAATTACTCACTTGGAAGTAAAAATCCATAATTTCTCGTAAATTCGTCTTATCGGGATAGCAATTGTGCTCTCTCATGTAGAACCCTAGCGCATAATTTCTATCAGCAGCTTCTCGTTCGGAGAGAAATACAGCATTATTGAAGCCAAGATTTTCACCACCTGCCAATCTCTCGAAATAATTCATCGTGAAATCGAATTTCTCCGCCAGTGTCATTTCCGGTTTTATTAGACTTTTGAGTAGAGAGCAGACTAGAATGGCACCAGCATTGATCATTGGATTGTGCGGCTTTTCTGAAAGAAATTAACACGTTTAAACTCGCAACCCCATCTCCAAGCCTTTGTTATTTATTACTCACTATTGTGATCAAGGACGAGTTCATTGAAATTCCTCCCCGATGGTTCTTGACCAACGTACTGATGGACAACCTCCTGCCCTAGGCTCTCAAGCGCAATGGCATAGGTCAGTGGCTTACTACAACTCTGGAGGGTGAACGGTATCGTAGTATCTCCAATGCTAAAACGTTGTCCATCTATGGTGCACACTGTTATACCCCAGTAATCCGGATTCATTCGGGCGAGTTGGGGTATGTATGAGGCCACCTTGCCCTCTGTATTCGTCTTGCACTTCCAATAAAAATCTTCAATGTGCTTTGTAAAACCTGCCCAGTCTGGGATTATAAACTGGTGTCTGAAGGCTCGGGATATCAAAACAATATTAGGATTTATTATCCTGAAAACAAATATTTATATGGGATTATAATATTAAATTATTCAAATCATTTCACTTTTTATGTATGACTAGATAAGTCCGCAAGCTTTACGCGCGTATATCCTACTCCATGGGGCTCAATGTATGTCAATTGTAATGAAATAGTGTTATATTGAGATTTCTAAAGTTAATATTAAGTTTCCCAAAGGAAAAGTTTCAGGAATGTATTGTATTTTTTTTATACATAATACATTCAGTGTTACGTTTGTTGAAACCAATCTATTGGGCGCATTGTATCATTAGATTTTTTATAACTTATGATAGCATACGTTAAAGATATTACCATAATACTATATTATATTATATTCTATACTATATTATATATATATATTTTTTTATTCATATATCTCTCCTACTACCATTGCGGTTTTATAGGCTCCTCATTCGTCTGCCTTGTTCCTCCCACTTCTCTCTCCTGATTTTTATCTGCGTCACCATGGGCCGTCTTACTCTTAAGGGGAAACGGAAACCCCTGCGTTTATATGAATCTTTAGAATTGTGTTTTCTCCTGCAATTATTATTTTTCATTCATTAAACTACTTCATTGACTCAACAATGCGATAATCGAGTCGATAAAGTAATTTCATAGATAGAAATTAATAATTGTAGGAGAAAACACAATTCTAAGATTTGATGTAGACAAAGGGGTTCCGTCTCCCCTTAACTGTACCCCATTCGGGCTAGGACTGCACGGGAAACCATGGAAAATCCCAGTCGTACAGCCGGCCGATTGTGCAGAGCCCTAATGTGCCCTTCTGTCACACTGACTAGAGGGGCATATTAGGCCACTACACCATGCCTACCTTCCGAAATGTTTGGGCGAGGGTGTTCCTAAGCGATCACCCATCCAAGTACTAACCGCGCTAAACGCAGCTGCACTCGGATGTTCACCAGAGCAACACCTAACTCACCCAACCATTACGGTCGGCTCTATACTATATTATATCAACCATGTATATTATACAATATATAATAGAGTACTATATGTAGGGGAGGATGGGGCAAAACGGCCCCCCTTCAATCGTCAATATTTTCCGATTCAATAATCCGATTGGGATGAGTTAGAGCTCGTTTTGAAGAATGAAAAATTATCTTCAAAATGAAGTTGAAACTGGGAATTTTCACAATGTCATTCACAAGTTATTGACAATTGAAGGGGGGCCGTTTTGCCCCACCCTCCCCTATTATAAAATATAATGAAGAGAATAAAAAAAATTAAATAATAAATTGATAACAATAATAACATACATTGAGTATACAATATTGTATTACATTCCACATACCATTATATATGCCTAATGTATTATAATATAATTTAATATAGAATGTGAAATAATATAATATTATCGTAATATCTTTAATATATGTTATCATCATTTATAAAAAACCGATAATGACACAATACGTCGAATAGATTGGCTTCAAAAAACATTATACTGAATTTTTTATTAAAGGATTTTAAAAGGGGGTGTTTTGAAAATTCAGCAACATTTCTGTGGGTTTTTCCACATAGAAAAGTCTATTAAAAACAGTAGATTTTTATTTTTTTCAGAAATTTATTCTAAGGTAAATGACCCTACGCTCGTCTAGCTAAGGTAAACACATCATTAGTCCAATATTTCTATCGAAATAAGCGTGCAGATGCGATGGTTTAAATTGGATATCAGAGGGGAAAACCTTCACAATTTGAATTCACTCATACTAATCATAATAATTAGTATTTTTTAATAAATAATCATTCGTAAATGCGGAAAGTCCCATGTCCCTATCCTCGTCTCATGATTTGAGTTATATGGAAAAGCTATATCCGAACATCGTGAACATCCTATTTTGGATGAAACAACATTAAAAAATCTCGAGGTACAAGATTATATTTCAATTGGACAGTCGAACTTTTCAAATGATTTTTTCATCCGTTTAATCCGTTACCAGTTGATAGTTGGTTGCAAAACAAGCATAAGATCATTAGCCCACGTATGAAAAAATCGTATAGAAATTTTCTATACGGATTGCGTATAGAAATTCTATAGGATTTCCGTGTATGATATTCGGATACTTCTATACGAATATTTTCGATCCCAATTATTTCTATACATAAATTTTTACATAAATTTTTGTTTTCATACGAAAGATGTTTAAACGCTCCAGAGGAAAACGTAGAGAAATGTCGCAACTCCATACGAAATGTTTCTATACATAAGACAGTAGGTCGTATAGGATCAAACCTATAGAAATCGTATAGAAATAATTTGTATAAAAAATATCCGTATAGAAATAACCGAATATCATATTCGAAAATCCTATAAAAATTCTATACGCAATCCGCATAGAAAATTTCTATACGATTTTTTCATACGCGCCCCCCCCCCGTCTCCAAAAATTTCGAAATAAATTTTTATTTAAATCCTCTCAAAATTTCAGTTCTCCATTTCTATTTTAAAACGCCCCTAAGAGCTCTGTTTTCCCCATAAGAATAACACGGGATCATCATGGAAAATTCTAAACTATTTCCCCCTCCCCTTGTTATGTCACTAAAAATTTTATAATCATGGGAAATTACTGAGTAAATGAACTACTTTTGACGGAATTTTTGCGTTTTTTGCACACATCATACAATAGTGCTATTATTTTTATGGAAAAAAACGCATGTTATTCTTATGCGAAAAACAACGCTCCTGGGGGGCGTTTTAGGATTGAGATAGAGAGCTGAAATTTTAAGAGGATTTTTCAACTTCTTTTCATTTATTTCGACTCCCATGACCCTTATTTGGACCCTTACTCCGAGCCTTGTGACCCTTACTCTGAACCTTGTGACCCTTAATTTGATCCTTGTGACCCGTATTTAGACCCTTAATTTAACCCTTATTACCCTCATTTGGACCCTTGATCTGACCCTCGTGGCCCTTATTCTGACCCTCATGAACCTTAATCTGACACTTGTGACCTTTATTCTGACCCCCCAGACCCTTATTATGACCCTCATGACCCTTATTATGATCCTCATGACCCTTATTTTGACGTTGTGATCTTTAATTTTGGAGTCTTAATTTCGAGTAAAAAAGTATTATCACCAGAAGTTGATTTGGATTTTTATAATATAGAGAAATTATATTCTACATACCTTTTGAATTGTTCACGATTAAGTTTTTGAGTCTCATGGGATATTCCTTCCGCACCCCCTGATTTTAAATGCTCTGCCTTCAAATTGTCGTTCAATTCTTGAAGTCTAGGGTCATTTTTTCTCAAACCAGTTGTGCGTAACGCCTAAAACCCAGAGTTAAAATTAAAATGTACGTTCATTGCGTTGATGAACAGTTATTCTCATTTTATTTGAATCCATAAATGCTTACAGCTAAAAATTTTCCAACAGAGAGTAGGTCAGTCTCCTCGTTCCTGAACATGTCGAAGAGAACATCTTCTGCATTTGTTGCCTGATCCTGATCCTTCGTACTGTAATTCGATCAATAAATAATTTTCATTAAAGTCGAATGAGTATTTGACTAAATCGGGGAACAAATATTGCAGATTGGTATGTTCTGAAGCATTACGACATACCAAAAGAAAACATATTTTTCATGTGCAAGGATCTGATCTAACAGCGAAACATGAACTGAACGGGGACAAAGCGATAATTCGAATCGAAAATAGACGTCATAGAAAATAGATTCCTTTTTGTAGACAAAATCAAGAATAACTCAAAACAGGTGCAGACTCGTGCGAACTTGAACGTAAATTTAGCACATAATATGTGCTCAATGTAACAGATGGAGGAAGTAACAAGGAATGATGAAGAAAACCATTAATAATAGGTGAATAGTGCTAAAGAGCAACATTTGTGTGAAAATAACTATTTCACGTAATTTACATGATGCAATACAATTTTCTAGATACATCAGGATGAATTGCATATTCCTGTTACATGTCATCAAATATGAATGGTGCAGCGAAGAAACGAAATAATTTCAATTAAAGATCAGTTTTTGAAACATCTTGGAAGCTAAGAGAGACACATGATTCAAGAGAAAATCTCAGTGTCTTCATTAAGGAAGTTTATTAGGAATTTTATGACTTAATTGTTCAATCATGTGAAATAAGAATACGAATCCTTGCATAAATTTCCTGAGTTTTTTTGTTTTTTACGAAAGAAGAACATATAGCCGACATAATTGATCAAATTCACATTTTTGTCAGGACTTCACCATAAATCCTCACAAAAAAATCGATTGAATGTGTAGTATACAAAAATGGAAATCTGGTAATTTATTCCTACGGAAACTAAAGAGAATTTTTTGTAGAGCAAAATGATCTACAAGAAAACTCTCTACAAAAATGAAACTAAGTAGGAAAAATTTTAATTGAAATTCAGTTTTTTTGCAGCCTTTCGTTGAAAATTTCGCAGCTCTTCTATGCTTTTTACCCGATTTCAATTTTGCTACTAATGCAGTCACGATTTTTTTAATGACATTTCTCAGCATAAACATTATAAATTTTTCTAATTTTCATGTTTTTTTCTGATAAGAAATGCAAACAAACTTTGAATAGATTTGCAGATCACTTTCACATATGAAAAAATTCCATAGAAAACCTGGTGAATTAACTAGAAAATTCTATAGGAATTCTGCGGGGTTTCTATAAGATTTCTATTGGAATTTTATGAAAAAATTCTATTTGTGTTTTGCGCTGATTCTATTGAATATTCGATAGCAAAAAGTCAATAGATGTCAATTTTCTATTTGAATTTTTCTCTTCATATTTTTTCTATAAAAATGGTTGGGCATCAATTTTCCAAGTTTATTCCACTCGGATTTTGTAATGCAAAACAAAACAAAACCCAGCGGAAAAAAATTGAAAATTTGCGCCCAATCATTCTAATAAAAAAAAACGTAAGACTTCATAATATATTGCCTTTTTCCTATCAACTATGCAATAGAATGACTGCAAAAAACAAGTAGAACTTTTTAATAGAATGCCAATAGAAGCCTTACAGAAACCCATAGAATTCCAATGGAATTTTCGAGCGAATTCGCTAGATTTTCTATTAAAACTAGCGAATTCGCTAGAAAAGACTATATCAATATTTTGCCTCTTTCAGATTCCGAGACATTCATCAAAAACTCGCTTTAAAGTTGACTTCCATTCTGCTTCACTAATTCATTACTGATGTGGGATAAAAATAGGTGGGAGAAAATAGGGAACAAATGTGCATAAAAACTACGACTATTCTGGTTTCTTCAATGAAAATAAATTGTTTGGCACAGCTCTTCTTATTTTCCATGCAATAGTAGCGCATGGTACTCACTACATATAGTGGCTGTCGTGAATGAAGCTGTAATTGCTGAAAAAATAATTGAGGAAACAAATCCCGAATTAGAATTCATAAATCAATTTCGCCAATTTTTTTCGTGTTTTTTTTTCAGGATTAATTCAGAAGATTACATGATTATCAACGAACAGATGCTATTTTTTGCTTATTATTCTTTTGGCAGGATTTGCCAGGGAAGATAATAATTTTCATTTTACTGGTTGGGACTAGTCCATTGAGTCATATTCGTCGTTATTCGGAAATGCGCTCGAGGGATTGAAAATCTGCACTCGTGACCTTCATGTCAAAAATTGCGGATTAGTTGTAAATCTCTTAGAATGGGGCAACATGATTAATGTGCTATTTAGGTCGATTTTTTTTTTAATTACCGAGTGTTTTGTTTATTTACCGTTTCTGCTCGTTCGCTATGCCAAATGGACTTGTCAAAGCTGGTTCCAAATGTGCTGCGGGTTCGAGCCTTTTAGTTACCGGAAGGAATGCTCGTTTCTAAAGAAAAAATGTGATAAAATGAGATTGTAAGTCAAATGTATGAATGTAAAATGTTAAAATTAAATTCTATGTAATATCTGAATTTTTGGAGAGAAATTCTTTACAAAAATACTAGTGCTAGTAGTAGAATAAATCACAATCGATCGACTGTGGAAAATTCACATGCTGTCCGATAAAATTTCCAATGCCAGCAGTGGAATTTTCTCCGGAACGTTAACTTGCACCTTTTTTCCGTGTGAACACTAGATTTTTTATAAAAAATTCCTTTTTGTGTTAAAAATGAAAGAAATTGTAATTCAATTTTTTCATTTTAGCAGCAAACGAGTCAGTGTCATTCGAAGATTATTCTTAGGAAAATACAAGCATGAAAACGCTTACACAAAAGAACGAACGCATTCGTTAGATAATTCTGTTAGTTTTTCGTCGATGCCATTAAAAATGTCAGCAGCCTTTCTAGACGTTTTATCAGTATAAATGTTTGATAGTAAATATTTTTTAGATAAAATCAATAGATTAGGAACTTGTTATACAACTCATTCTATTGAAGTATTGTCTGTAGAAATTTCTCGATATGAATTTTCCAAGTTTTATCATTACATTGTTTTCTTCTTTCATTAGAAAATTAAAGCAAAAAAATGAAAAACTGATGCTAACGAGATTGTATGGAAACAATCTCAAAAGAATATATTGTGTAAAGAGTTCAAAATTTATTCATCTTTTCTATAAAATCTACCAAACGTTTCTATTGAGAAAGGCTGCAGAAATTCTCTCTAGAACGATAAGCGACTAATAGTATTTTCAATAGATGTCCCATAGAACTCTCTAGAGAATATCTTTGACCTTTCATCAACATTTGATTCGGACGTGCATTCTTCAATATCGTCAAAAAAGCTGTCATGAAAATTTCGCTATAAATTGCCTAAAATTTAGAAATTCCATTTAAAAACCACACTAATTTTACATTATAGAGAACTATTTCTCGTTGACTAAAAAACAATTTCTTTAATTAAGAACACTGACAAATTGTTCCGATTGAATATATGGTCGTGTCATTGAAAATGTTATTAAGAAGGCAGAAAAATCCATCCTAAATTAATAAATTTACTTCATTGAATTAATTTAATTTTATTAATTTAATTAAAAAGTAAATTTTTCCGGTTTTACAATTATATCAAGGAATTTTCTTACTATAAGTTCAGTGTAATTTTCTATGAAACATTTCTATTGAGAAAGGCTGCAGAATTTCTCTATAGAACGACAAACGACCAATAGTATTTTCAAAAGATATCCAATAGAACTTTCTAGAGAATGTCTTTGACCCCCCCTCCCCCTCCCTTCCTCTAGAAATTTCCTTCCGTAATTTTTTTTTCGTACATGCATTTTTCAATATCTTCAGGAAAGTTGTTATGGAAATTTCGATATAAATTGCTTACAATTTAGAGATTCCACAAAAAAACACCAGTTTTACTTTGTAGTGAACTACTTCTCTTTAACTAAAAAACTATTTCTTGACACGCACGAAAAAATTTAATAGAAAAACCTAGCGTTTTTGTCAAAAAATTCTATTGGATTTCTATTGAACTTTCTACTAGTTTTTGGTCGATTCTATTGAAATATTAAACAGAAAATATTCAATAGAAAAGGTCAATGGAACTCCATTTCTCCATATAACTTATTTTATTGAGATATTTAGAATATGTAGAATTTTGCAATTTTTTGTTTGATTTTATTGATGAGAAGAAAAGAAAAATAGAATGAAAAAAACTTGGAAAATTTAACTCGAGGAAATTCAATGGAAAATATTTCAAGAGAATAAGTTATATAGAAAAATCTAATTCTATTGACTTTTTCTATTGAATATTTTTTATTGAACATTTCAACAGCATTTGCCAAAAACTTATAGAAAGTTCAATAAAAATCCACAGAATTTTCCAACGAATTCGCTGGGTTTTTCCGTGCACTTAAGAAGACTGACATTGTCCCGATTGAAAATATGACGATGTCATTGAAAATGTCATTAACAAGGCCGAAAAATCCCATCCTAAATCAACAAATTTATTTAATTGAATTAATTAAATTTTGTTAATCTAATTAAACTAACAAAACTAAGGTATTTTCTTAGAATAAGTTGAGTCTAAAGTAATGATTTTCTTCTTTTTACAGTTGGTGGATATTTTAGTCATATCTCCCATCATTATTCCACCCTTATTGATCGCCCCATAGAAAATTGCAGTTGAATACAACCACGTGGTTGACTCAAAAAACACATGATTGGAAGGGTGCGGTGGAGACTGGTTGCCGGGGTGGCGCGAGTCCTAGGGGTGTATTGATCGTTCGATGCATCATCCCCCGGCTCAGCGTGTAAGCCGAAACCTCAAAGGTTCCTTCCGACTTTCAATCGTAGAATCACTGATTTAAATCATTTACCCCTTAAAATAAAAACACCCCCCAAAAAATGAATTCTGTTTTTTGCAATTTGTAAATCTGCCTCAATGAATCTCTCACTACTCCCGTGATGATAATTTTCCACATTAATGAACTACGCTAAACGTCATCATTGATTCACACTCCGGTGAATGGTCACGATGCCCGTAAGTATTTTCGTCTCAGAATTACGGTCAAAGTCATCGCCCACGTGGATGTGTCTCACCGCAATCATCGCCACTGTCTTACCCGAAAAATATTCAAAATGTTCAGAAAATTCCAGTTTTTTTTTCATTTCATCACTCGACATTTCCTCAACTATTGAATGACAAATTTACCTTATTACTCGTATGCAGCCTTCGAAAAGCGTCAACTCCCACCTTCGAGGCCTTCGTCATCTTGACCGCATGAACCACTGCTTTCCGGTACATTTTTCCCTGAGCCTACAGTATTTTTCGTCCTCACAACGTTGGTTTATAATATATTGTCCTTTATACCTCCAGTCGTTCCAGTATACAATATAAACTCTTTTGAATTATCTCAAATAATCCTCACTCAGAGTCAGGAAAACTGCGAGAATTTTCCTTTTGTTCTTCGAATTTTCCTCAATCACTCATACACATGCACACTCGTAAAAACCAAGGCGCGCAGCGTCCCGATGACTAGATGCTACTGGCAATAGTGTGCTTGGTCGTAACGCTATATCAGGGTAGTTATATAGTCTGTAAACAACTGATTTGAGACATGCGCGATGATTTTTCGTTAGTCGTCATTCACACCAAGTTTTAAACGCAAGAATCAAATATTTTTGTTTTTCACTGGATGACAAATTGTTGTTTTCCACTGGATTTGCAATTAAAATAAAGAGATACTGGGAGAACGAAATACTGTCAAAATGTCTTTTATTCTATGCTAAGACTTCTGAGTTAGGAGGCGTTGCTGCTCGGGAGGAAATTAATACTGACTAACGAAGGGTTTCGTCTAAGGACATCAGCCTCGGAAAAATGGCGGATTTTAGGGAAATTGAAGAGTGGGGGTTTTGCAGGTACCAAATGTTTGAGTGATATATTGAGGCCCGTGTCTAGATGGTCTAGACAAACCTGGAGAATTCAATGACCGTAGACCCTCAATTGCTTTATTGTTTTACGAGGGACGTGCGAACTTATTTGTTCAGGATGAGGACTGGATTTGGGACCTCGAAGAGTTTTCACGGGTCTTACGGATAAGTAAGTGGGAATATTCCGTTATTCAAATACAGAATTCATGTGGGTGTGCAGCAAAACACATTGTTTTAAAAATACTCAGCGTACTATCTTTATTGTCTGTAAAGTGTGTCTCAAAATCATATTTATGATGCAGAGATTTGTCAGAGCTTAGTCTCCTTGGAAAGGATCAGAGAAATTTACACAAAATCTAATGACTTAAGAAAACATAAACATTAAATTATTGTTATTGCTATTATTATTGAGCTGCCAACAATGCTTTAAAGATAAATGCATTCCTAGTAATAATTGAAAATTCAAAGAGCGTCTACGTCTTCTAATTCACTTGAACATCGAGATCCGTTGAAACTTATGATATGTATTCATAATAGTAAGTACAATAATTCTAAAACTTCTAGGCTTGTGTGAAATTATGCTCAAAGAAAATTTCACCCTTCGCAGGACATTTAACACATGAATTTTCTAATCAAAGAAATACTCAAGAAAGATCCTTATTAAATACTTTGGTTCTCTTCAAATTTTTTTTAATGCAGCAATTGTAGTTATGATTATTTAAAAATTTCATCATCACAAAATCGCTTGCAACTCCATAATTGTTATCATTGTTTAAGAACTCAGGTAGACAAAGAGGGATTGTCTTCGTTTGTACCATGTTCACTCGTAATTAAATGCTAACTAAAAATAAATCGTTATTTACAATCTAAGTTGACAAACTTAAGGTCCATTATCTGCCGACGTTATCTAATTCAGTAGTGAAGTGGTAAAACGGTTCAACTCAACTTATCGCCCAGTTGAGTTTTTGAGGAATATTTCCGAATCTAAGGGAGATAGCGAAATTTTTGTAATTACATTTTTTGTAGGTCTCAATCGGCTCTCCAAAAACAGTTGTAACAAAAATTTTGCCATCTCCCTTAGATTCCGAGATATTTATTGAAAATTGGTCAATAGTCAAATTTGACTTGTACCATTTTACCACTTCGCTACTGAATTAATTTTCGTTTCTTATCGTATCGATTTTGTTATTCAAGTTCATCGTAAAAGTGTAATAACAAAATTTCTGAAAATATTACAAAATTTTTCAAAGAATCTTTTTTCGTACAATCATCTGGTTACGCTGTGCCAAAGGATTTACTATTTCGTCTTTCCGCCCCCCATGGTGGCGACTGACAGGTCCCATTACCATTTGCTACGGGAATTATACATTATTCATGTCTCCTCTATTGAACTCATCCCTCAATATTAATGAAAAACTCTTTTTAAAAATACTCAGAATTGTTTTTCCTTTTTTTTCAATCCAAATTCATAATTTTTGGGGATCTCCGAGTGACGGGGGATGAGTTGAAATTTCGAGATAAAAATTGAATAAAAATAGCAATCTAGATAACGCTCGGCAGATAATGGAGTAGAGCCTTAAAAACACCATCTTCGTATTTCGATTCGGCTTTTATCGCAGTCAACAAAATTAAGTTAAACATAAAGATTTAATCCTGTCAGATCTATTTTTAACGTTAAATAAAGCTCAGAAGATCAGTCAAAAAAATATTTGTTAATTAAAATTCGTTGAGAAGACACAAAACGGTATAATTATTCCAGAAACTTCATAAATTCAAAATAATTTCTATGAATTTTGACAATACAACAATGTCATCAATACGTTCATCAAATGCATGGGTTCAATATGAAAAATCTAGCCTTTTCGCCAGAAAACTCTACTTACGGGCAATGTCTTCTTGAAATATTCAATAGGGAATAATTTCAAAGAGTCAGTCAACGACAATCTATTTGTATGTGTGCTATACAAGTCATTCTGTTGCAATTTAGTACATAGAAATTCCTCAGCATGGATTCCATATTATTTTCGCGTTGGATTTTTCTTTTCCGTTTCGAATAAAATTTCAGAAAAAAAAAACTATTTCACTATAGGGCAATTAACGGGGAGACGGCCATTAGCAATTACGCGGCAAAATTGTCGTTTGGCATGATTCTTCATGAGCTTAATACTGAAGTATCTCATGTCACAAGAACCCGTTCTGCCCGCATGGGTCGGCCTAACCATGATGAATAATTTAGGATGCTAAAATAAGAAAAAATGGTGTTTTATTGTAACCATGCGTAAACGACAATTATAATTTTCTTTTAAATTGCTCTTGAAACATGTCATATCAGGACCCTTGAGCCATTGGACCGTTTTGCACGGTAAATTCCCCGCTTTGAGCATCTTCACATGGTCTATCAGGGAATTTGCATGAAGCTCAATTCTTTCTAACATGGATGAAAAAATTTAATAGAAAAACCTAGCGAACTCGTTAGAAAATTCTATTGGATTTCTATTGAACTTTCTATGAATTTTGGCCGATTCTATTGAAATGTTCAATAGAAAATATTCAATAGAAAAAGTCGATAGAAATCGATTTTTCTGTACAACTTATTCTATTGGGATATTTTCTATCGATTTTTTGTATTGGTTTATAGTATAGAACTCATATCAGGGTTATTTCCACTGTCGATAGGGTGTCGTACATTTTCTTTTTACACTGTTTTTTGTTTATAATACATTTCGCTTTTTATATGCGGAGCTTAGATTTTGTGAAGAATTTGTCTATCGCTGTGAGAGCTTCGGAGTCGGTTGCTACCATGAACTGGAAAGTCCAATACAGAGAAAAATATTTCCATTATCTCAGTTTGACTGTTAGTTCTAATCTCGGCGGATTCAGAAGGGGACATTGGTCTATAGAATTTCCTCGGCTCAAATTTTATAAGTTTTTTTGTTTGATTTTCTTGATGAGAAGAAAAGAAAAATAGAATGAAAAAAATTGGGAAATTTGAGCGGAAGAAATTCTATAGAAAATATTTGAAGAGAATAAGTTATATAAGGAAACGGAATTCTATTGACTTTTCCTACTGAATATTTTCTATTGAGCATGTCAATAGAATCAGCCAAAAATAATAATAATGGAAAGTTCACGAGAAATCTAATAGAATTTTCTAACGAATTCGCTAGGTTTGTCTATTAAATTTTTTCGTGCGTGAACTCCCCTATTCACACATTCCTCATAACATATGGATAGCTAAACGGCGAAAATTATGGAGAAATATTGCCTAGATTGTCCTATGATAATGAATTGAAAATCAGTCGTTTTCGAGGCCAATTTTTCGGTCGTGACGTCACGATGACGGTCAGGTAACGCTTCATTGGTCGAAAAAGAATGGAGTCGGGAGTTGTCGTCCTCCATTGGTCGAGGCGCACCTCAAGATTGGGATAGGTCGGCCCGAGCCATTCAGTGATTGGTTCAACACTCGACCGTCTGTGTGACGTCATTAGCGATTTCAAAGTGTTTAAAATGTTCGACTTTTAAAAATTAATTATTAATTAATGAGTAATGTTTTAAACGTTTGTGAGGAAAAAATGAACTATCCAGGTCCCAAGCTTGAGATTAGAAAATTGAAAAAAATTCATGCAAGTTCCCTATTTATATGCCCACGGTTCTCCAAAAGGGGGTGCAGATGGGAATGCACTTTTACCTGATTGCGGGGAGATTAGCACATTTTTTCTGAGAAAATAGAATTACTCGAATTTCACTTGCATCGTATTTTTCCCTTATTTGACCTTTATTATTCCTCCCTCGCCATTCTACCGAAAATTGATGAAAATTGAAATTTACTTATTATTTCATCTATCCTAAATTTGTTGAAATTCATTGCAATTTGAGCAAAATTTACCATTTGGCGATTTCTCTCGACACTGCAGCGAAAATGAGTTTTTTTTCTGATTTCGAAATTATTCATCTACATACAATTTCTGAGTGAAAACATTTTTTTTGTCATTCCGAGAGCACGATAGCATTTCACGGACGCTACGCGGATTGTTTCCCCGTTAAAAAATTCCGGGAAATTTTTTCCCCGTCAATCCTTTTTCGGTGAATTGTTCTCATTGAGATTAATTTTCCTTACGAATTTTTTTCATGTAAGATTTTGTTTGGAATTTGTCTTCAGAAAATCCAAATTGAATTTCTTTTGTTTTCTCTTAAAAGCAGAAAAATGAAAAAATTAATGACAAAAAACTTTTTTTTTCATTCGCGACTGGTTAATTGATAATTTTCTTCAAAATGTGGCTAATCTTGTTTTGTTGTAGATGTTTCACTTGACGAGTTGATTTATATGCGTACCAAAATGACGTTTGTATGTTGCTGATTTTATTGAAAATTGATAATTAGCTTGTTCAAATGTTAGTAATTTTGGCGGCCTGTAGATGTTCTATTTGAAGAATTGAATCCTATTTTGATGACAAGGTGTGTGTAAATTATTCAAGATGTTCCGAAATTGTTGACTTCTTGAAATTAGTGGATGTTACATCAAATAAAAATGAGTTGATGTTGTGCTCGAATATGTGTCTGATAGCATATTTTCCAGGGAAATTTTACATGATTTTTTTTTTCTTGCGGACGCAAGAACTTTTCTATGGAACATTTTTTCGGGGGAAACATTTTCCAAAGGAAAAAATTTCCAGGGAGAAAAGTTTCCAAGGGAAAAAAAATCCGGGAACCAATTGAAATGACTCTGTTGATTTCGAAGGGATTCGTCATTTTCTTTTCAGACCATTTCGACCCCAAATGCAAAGAATTAGCAGTAGAATTGTCAAATAGAATTTTCTTCCGAAGCCCCTGTGAATTTTCATAAATTCCTTCATGCAAGTCACGACGTCAACATTGTTCTGATTCACTACCCCATCGAGTGAAGTCACTAAAACCACAATCCAAAATTCAACCCTCTAAATAACAGTATCCTGATAAGCAGGTGGCCCACTGAGTACAAACTGTCTCTGACTCTGCCTAACAATATCATTCTTATTGGGCACTTGAGGCGTAGCTCTAACTCCATGATAATTACTATAACTAGATCTAGCACTGGCAGGTCTGTTGCTGTACAAGTCATCCATGTCCTCAGCGTTCAAGCTCTGAGTGCTGGTCTGCTGAAACGTGGGATTACTCTGGCCCTGCCACTGCATGTGACTCATCGGACTATTCTGCCAATTGTCACTGAGATTTCTGGTGGAGCTGGCATTTTCCCAGCCCGGGCTTGTCTGATTCGTCATATAAGTGGTGTTAGAGTAGTTTGGATCAGGGGTCCAGAGGGTTGGGGATGACACTGCCATATTGACAGCCTCAGGCTGCCAATTTGTCGTTCTATCTCTCTCCCAAGGACCCGCTATTCTGTCGTAATTCAGGGTCCCCTGGGACAGAGAATTCACATTCTGATTTGTTAAGGTACTCGGGATTGTATTGGCGTAGAGGCTCTCCTGCTGGTCCATTATTCGATTCACTGGATTCTTCCGACGTGACTGACGAACTGAACTCCTTCGATTCGATCTCCTCGTCCCATCGCGTGATATCACTGACCGACGTTTCACTCGACGGGGTGTCATCGGTTTAGGTGATACACTCTCGTCCTGCATCGGCGGCTCAGGCTGGGAGTACTCTATGCTGTACAGCGGTCTCTGCTGCTTTTTCCTTTTTTTAATTGGTGGGGCTACAAAAAATTCATTCTTTCAAGTCTCCATCCCTTTAATCCATTTTTTTCTAAACTCATGCGTTGAAAAATCATTGAACTGTTCAGTTCTCGAGATGTTTTTTTTCCATTACTCAGAATAATTATCTATGCAAATCACCAATATTCAGTGCAATGATTTTATTAGAACCACCCAAATGAGAAACACCATATTAGACGAGAAGTAGGAATTGTAGTAAAATAATGAGTGAGAGGTTAAGGAAAATAATAAAAAACAAAGCCAAGCAGTAGTGTTTTGCAATTGCAGTATTTATTATTGCAAATTGGAATGAATAAAAAAATGTGTAATTATTACACAAAAACGTGGCCAAAGTATGAGACAATAATCTTTATATCGTATCGATATTTTTATCTAGTAATAAATGGATAGAAACTTCTACGTAAATGCAGCGTGAAAAGTCTTAAATATAAATGTCATCTGAAAAAATACGAGTTCCATATTTTTTGACTAAAATTCGTGATGTAAATGATACAAACTTATTAAATAGTATCTTCTTGAGTGGAGTACCACTGAAAGACTCTGCTTGAGCTCTACAGTTTAAACAGAGGAGCATAATTAAAATTGTATAATTAATAATCAGTGCGAAAAAGGCAGCAAACATCGGGATACCACTCCAATAAATTCCATGCTTAAAATATAAAATTGTGATTTTTCATTGAAAATCCTCTATTTTAAACGTGCAAACTTCAACAGTCGACAGTAAAAATTAAATATGAAACGCCATTCAGCACCGTTCATTACATATCACAGTACATACAGTAAGTCTATTGTTTAAAAAATAGATTTTTTTTTTACTTTCAAAAGTAAACACCACACTCTTTCAAAACAAGCAGTCTACCGTAAAATAGAAATAACGAGGAGAATAAATTAAAATCGTGGAGGCGTAATGCTTGATTTACGGGATTAATACAGACAATTTGTTTTCTCAATGGCACTACACTGACAGAAAAAATTAATTTTATCAGGAGAATTTTATTTGAACCAACTATCATTTGGTTGTTAATTTTCAAATAAATATGATTTCATAGTGAATACCAGTTATTTCTTCATGAGATACATTTGATTGGGAGCAATCGAACGTCTCTAGAATTAAAGTTCCTTCTATTTGTCGCAATAATGAGAGTATTTAATTTCTTTCTAGCCAAAAGTTTGCTAACTCCAGAAATTCGTTGGTTTACTCAAAAATCAAAATTATTTTCATGACTAAATACATTGTTATCTCAATCAACACGATCATACGTTGTTCCAAGTAAATTATAATTGAAGTGAGCATTTCGTCTGTCGAATCAGGATGAATATTGTTACGCGGAAAAAGCTTTGAGATTGTAGTAAGATGTCGTTGAGTTGAAAGAAGTTTATATTTCTTGACTAAAAAAATCGCATTAGTTTACAATAACAGAATCACAGATTACGGCAATTCAACACAAACTTGGATATCACAAATGTCGTTCAATGTGATGTACGGAAAGCTCAATTTAAATCATCGGCTTCATTCGAGAAAACATTCAATTCCTTCCTCAATGTAATTGTCTCCTTGGTGCTAATTTTTGATCAATTCATGAAAGAAGAAAATTTCTCGACTGGCGATTATATTAGGTTTAAAAAAATAGAACTTTTCCATTTTTGTGGGGAATACGTGTGACTTGACGCCAAGGACTATTTTAATTGATTCAAGTAAATGTATCTCAAGAAAACATAATTGATATTCACCGTAAGATCTTATTTATTTGAAATTGGTTCAAGTATAAGTATAGAGGTTCCAAGAAAGAACCATCTTAATAAAAATAATTTTTTCTATCAGTGTAGAATCAAAAACACTGATACGTACGAAATAATTCAGACTTCAGCTTTTTTCGAAAGAAAAACATTAAATTTTTAAAAGTTGATAAACTTCAATTTTTCTATACAAATATTTCTAACAAAAACTTTTTATTCCGATTTTTTAATAAAAATTTCTCGCCATAAATTTCCTACATTTATTACATTCATATTTTTGGTCGTTTCTCGTTGGAAATGGAGAGAAAACAAGTCGGAAATTAATGACGAGGAATTTTCAGAAAAAATCTTAACAGAATAAGTTTTATAGAGGAATCAATATCCACTAATATTTTTCTGTGGAAAAATGTCAAAAAATGGATTAAATTTTCAATACAATTCCGTATTGCGCCGAGATTTTCCACTGAATTTTTTTCATACGTAGTTCTTTGAACTAGAACTCTTTTCTCAATTTAAAAATAATCTTCCATTTTTTAAAACCAATACATGAGAGGTTGCAAATTGTGCCAATGAGATAGTAGAATAATTACACTCCAAATTAGAAAGAAAAGCCATTGATTCCCGCCCAATAGTGCCTGAGATGAGACAAAAATTGATTTAATCAATTATAAATGCTTTCATCTGTCTTGAAAACTATTTAGGCGGAATAGAACCCTTTCTTTTAAAATTGAGTGTAATATTTCCCTATATTTCCAATTAGGGTAAACAGGTCAATTTATGGCCGACGGTTAGTTTTTGGACGATTTCAATTTACATTGAACATTCTATAAATAAAGTGTGTAATCATGTGATCGATCATTTTTTCGATTCATCGACAGTTAATAAATAAAAAAAAATATGGCCCAGTCATCCAGAAATTAGGGGTGTCAACTGCATTCAACAGATTTCTTAATTTAATTATTCTTTGTTTTGTTATGTTCACTTTAAATAATTTTTTTCTGCTAATTAAAACATTCTAGACGGTATGCAAGCCATCATATCCTCGTTCAGGTCATTTTTTTATTTTAGATCCTACACTGAGAAAAAAAATTACTTTTCCCAACGAATCACTTTTTTGGGAGAAGAATTTATATTTTTAGGAGCGTCTTTTTCCAAGCTATTCCCAGGTGGTCCATGTCCATCTCCAAATATTACAATTATGTTAAATTGTGAGAGGAGCTTGAATGAACACCCTTCATTAATTGTCAATTTTTTCAAATTTGAAATTTTCTGACGTAAAATAATTTTGAATGATTTGAAATTTTAATCATTGTCAATGGAGTTCACTTAAGGTTATATGTAGCATATTTATCCCATAATTCAACATAATTATAATATTTGGAGATGAACTTGGATCGCCTGAGAATGACTGGGCTGAAGAAATATGCTCCTAAAAAAATTAATTCTTCTCCGAAGATAATAATTCCTTGGCAAAAGTAATTTATTTTCTTTGTGTACCACGAAACTCGAATTTCCCTTAACCGTCCAGCAATTGGTCTGTTCACCCATCACTTCCAACTCTTCATGTAATTATGTTCGCAAAAATGACAATGTCAAAATTCAAAAACAGCATTCCCAACTGAAGAAAAAATTCTCTACGGAGACTCACTAAAACCAACTCGATTATTTAATTTTCACAAAAAATGAAAAACAGCACGAACCACCAAAAATCTTTGGCAATACTTATCGCGCACTGGGATTTAATTCGGATGTCATCCTCGTTGCGAAGATCAAACAGATGAATAAAAAATACAAATAAATAAGAGGGAATGATAGTATAAATATAACTCTAATGAACTTTTACATAAAAAATGCTCTAGTTAATCTAAAAAAATATTATTCCGTTTGGCAAGTCAATGATTCTATTCTTTCAAAATATAATATTAATATATTTCATTGGCGTTTGATACAATTTATTTATTCTGTTATTTTGCTAGCGTACAGAGATATGGGCCTACTATCTCTGTGCGTTTCATTAGAATTCGGTTGATCCATAGCTAACCGTGGATCCGAATAAAAAGTTCTGAGGGGCTGTTCACGAATGTGATCAGTAAAAACTCTCGGTTTGAACGAATTTCTATTTTGTTTAGGTGCCTGGGAGGGACGTGCTCTTCTCAATACCGGCGAGACAACGGGGCTGTAACAACGCGGACGATTTTTTTCAAATTTTGACCTGATGGAACTGTTCAATGAGTCGTAATCACCAGGTGGTGATACTGGTCTGTGCAAATGATCAACCGGATTTGAATAATCATTGTAGTAGTCAATATTTTCGATAATTCGTGTTGACGCACTGCTCTTGTTACTTCTAGTTGTATCGTGTGACGTCATCAGTGATTTAACGCGTTGTTGATGGTGGTTGAAGGGTGAATTATCCCCATTTTTTGATAATGTACCGTCACGATAGTACTGTGAAGAATTATTTGAGCCGGTTGTGCCACGCGTATAGCTTTGGTAGTTTTGATTAGATTGTGGTAATGAGGCTGGTGGTAGGGCCGAGTAGCTAACGTACATTGGATGCAACGGTGTGTGGCCAGCAAGACCGAAGTCACCACCTCCAACAAAGTCAACTGCAAAATTTCATTCAATCGATACCAATGTGCATTAGATCATCATTATTTTTCTCGTCAAAGTGTATTTTTCGGGTTCCTGATTGTTAAAGTTGTTGGCTCCTTTGGTGAGATTATGGGAGAAATTGGGGAGGATGAAGTAGAGGGGAGATAGATTGTTCAACTACTGACAGACTGACATTGTAACCCAAGAGTATTTGTTCTAGTCTAGTATGCTTATCATTCCCCATGCGACAACGAGTGATACGACAGCGATAACAGTTTTTATCTGGAAAAGGGGTGACTTACCAGAATGGGGGATCAAATCCACCAATGAAATCGACTGTAAGTTTACAACCCGTTTTACAAGAGTACAAAGAGATGGAAAGAAAAATCTTGGATATGTATTTCGGAGTGATGTTGTAAAACAAGATGAGAACACTGACTGAAAAAATTATTTTATCAAGAGAATTTTATTTGAACCAACTATCATTTGGTTGTTAATTTTCAAATAAACATGATTTCATAGTGAATACCAGTTATTTCTTCTTGACATACATTTGATTGGGAGAAATCGAATTTCTCTAGAATTGAAGTTCCTTTCATTTCTCGCAATAATGAGAGTATTTGATTTATTTCTAGTCAAAAGTTTGCCAACTCCAGAAATTCGTTGGTTTACTCAAAAATCAAAATTATTCTCATGACTAAATACGTTGTTATCTCAATTGACACGGTCATGTGTTGTTCCAAGTAAATTATAATTGAAGTGAGCATTTCATATGTCAATTTGAGATTGTAGTAAGATGTCGTTGAGTTGAAGTAAGTTTATATTTCTTGACTAAAAAAAAATCGCATTTGTTTACAATAACAGAATCACAGATTACGGCAATTCAACACAAACTTGGATATCACAAATTTCGTTCAATGTGATGTACGGAAAGCTCAATTTAAACATCGGCTTCATTCGAGAAAACAACATTCAATTCATTCCTCAATGTAATCATCTCCTAGGTACGAATTTTCTCGACTGAAGATTATATTAACTTAAAAAAATATAACTTTTCCATTTTTGTGGCGAATACATGTGACTTGACGCCAAGGACTGTTTTATTTGATTCAAGTAAATGTATCTAAAGAAGAAATAATCGATGTTCACTATAAGATTTTATTTATTTGAAATTGGTTCAAGTATATAATACTTGTTCCAAGAAAGAAACATCTTAATAAAAATATTTTTTTTTATCACTGTAAGTTCAATTTGAAGATCAGTTGTTGGAAAATTTCTTTCAGTTAAAAGTGATAGCAGGATTCATGTAGACGTCTTTCGCAGATGATATTAAAAGCTATAAAGAATGTATGTGAGGAAAAATTTAAGGGGCTTCCTCAGGACGTTGTACCTGAGAGAAACCCCGCACAAGGTACTAGAGACGTCTGTTAGGGAGTGCTGATCAAGATTTGAACTGCTTTATTTTCATGTGTATCGTCGACAAATGAAAAAACGAAAATTTCCTTTAAATTTTGATCATCATTTTCTAATATAGCCAACAATAGATGATTCAAATTTGGTGTCTCTAGCACTTGGCGAAATTTCTGACGAGTATAGAGTGCTCAGGAAACTCCTTAATTAAAAAACCTAGTGCATTCACGATGAAATTCTATTTTTTTTCACCTATTCTGTTCAAACCTTCCTGAGCTTATCCATGCGTTTTTTTTTATAGAAAAAAATGAATTCTCTGCACCAATTATTTTGTCGAAAGTTTTTTCCAGAGTAATTCCTGGGTTTCAATTTTTCACATTTTTACAGTTGAGTTTTTCCATGAGTAACAAAAAAGAAATACAATGAAAATAACTTGAAGAATCTCTCCCAAGGAATTACTATGTCGATTTGGTTGGCGTGTGTTTTTAACATGTCCGGGCGTGTTTATTTGAAACGACTTTTTTATCTTAAATTTTGACGATTTTCTTGAGTGACTGACCGGTGAGAGGTTCAAGTGTTGTACTGATTTTTCGACGTGCCATATGGAAAAAAATACTTATCTCCTTTTTTTTTCGAAAACGTCGTAACTCAACCATTCATTTCAAAAGTACATATCTCAGATACTTTTTTTAAAACTACGTATCTCGAATTTTTTCTATAAATCTACGTAATTCAGCCGGATTTCAAAAGAAACTTAAATTGTTAAAAGAGCGCAACAGTTTGAATCGGTAATGCTGCATTACCACAATTGAGCTATTTTGAGCCCTTTTCGCTCGTTCTACCGCCAAAAAAGAGCCTCGTTTTTTAGCCCCCCTTCACTTCTCCGTTTTTTGCAATAAATGTAAAACTCGAGCGACTGGAATGGAAATCCAATTGTATAGGCACAGCCTATACAATTTAAATTAAATTAATTTTTTTTGGCCATTTCGTTTTTCGCGATTATCTCGGAAACTATGAGAGATAGAGCCTTAAAACTAATTCCATTCGATTCCTGAGGAAATTTGGGCTCTCCATATTCAGATGGACGGCTCAGAATTGCGTTTTTCCTCTTCCTACAGCCTATACAATGTAAATTAAATTAATTTTTTTGGCCATTTCATTTCATTGCCCGTACTAGCACTACAATTTTTCTAGAGAATTTCGCTTCGCGTATGGAAGCATCGAATAACGAACAAGTAGTGCTAAAAATTACATTTCCTGCTTGCACAGAGAATAATTTTTTTTTTGAAAAGACAACAGTATATTCTGTTACTAGTGCGTAAAATTCCACTTTTTCACACGCACGTGTAACACATTCTATTTTTTGTGGTACCTGCCGAGTTCACTTTTCGAAACGATAGTGGGGGCAATGTGGTTGTTTTTGCGCACGAGTGCGTAAAGTTCAAGAGCGTGAACTTTAGGCACGCCGTGCGGAACACAACCGCTTTACGCACACTAATACGTTTCGAAAAGTGCACTTTTGAGGCAGGTATCACAAAAAATCTATTTTCATCACGCTGTGTGTAAAGTGACATTTTACGCACGCTCCTCGTGCGCAAAACCCCACTTTACACACATTGTGATGAAAAATAGGGTTGGATACTCCCGGGAAAAGTGTTTTTAGACTCGCGGGATTATATCACTCGCCTTCGGCTCGTGCTATAAACCTCCCACGAGTCCAAAAACACTTTCCCACAATCGTATCGAAATATACTATTTTGCAATAAAAATTTTCAATCTCAGTGCACGCTTCGCATCTTTGGCACAAAAAATCCTTTCTTGATCATTTTCGACAAACGATTTTTTTGGCACCAGTAAAACCTGTTTGAGAAATTTACTATTTTTCTGTCAGTGTAGAGTGGCAATATTGAAATTTACCTTTGAGGGATAAAATGGAAAAACCGAAACTAAATTTGCACTTGGGCAAACGATGCTAAGGGTTTAACAGTCATAAGGATAGTAAGGGGGCAGCAGCATTATCAAAAGGCTTAAACTGGCAAGAGTCAAGCTTAATCTGAAAAAAGGTCCCCCTTACTTTACTCTTTGATTTGACCCTTATGATCATTCCGCTCGTCTCTCTCGTTTGATGCTATGATTGTTTTGCTTTACTCTTTTATGATCAAATTGACCCTCGTTCCGTTTCATCTTTAGGCATGTTTTGACCGAATAGCACGTTTACCTGAAAAAAAATTGACAGCATCCCGCAGACCTGGACGGGGAGCTTTCTGCCACTAATCATCACAAAGGATTCAGAGTGGCCCAATTGTGTCAATGCGGCTCACACATTTAAACTACGATTACACTGTTGGAAATTTTTTGAAATTTCATGGACGGTCTTATAGTAAATCTCATGAGAGTGACATTGAATCGAATTTAGGGAAAAAATGGTTATGAAATTTCAAGTTTTAAGTAGAATTCACGAAAATTCTCGAAGTTTTCAGTGGAAATGAGATGGAAATTTCACAACTCGATTGAATTTTCAGTGGAACATGAATATTCAGAAACAAAATGACGTGAATTTTCAAATTTTCTCTGAATTTTCCTGCACGGAGAAAAATAAATCGGTAAAAGTCTTGCGATCGCAAGGAGTTTCTCGAAGATCCCCATTTTTCATGCACGAAGAACAATGAAGCTTTTTGGAATCTTCGGGAAATTCCTTGCGATCGCAAGACTTTTACCGATTTATTTTTTTCCGTGTGATTTTGCTGAATTTTCATAGAATAATTAAACTGAAAAATCAAGTATTTTATTGATTTCTAGATCATTTGAGCAGAAAATCAACGGAATATTTTATTTTTCAATGACAAGATTTCCTGAAATTTCAGTGGAACATAAACGCGATAAAAATTTCCGGAATTTGGCACGGAAAAAATTCAGACGAAAATTTTGAACAGTGTACTCAGTTGACGAGTTGCGTTCCGGCCGCAAGACCCTTTGTCCATGCCATAGCAATTCAAGAAGAAGAAGAACGAGTTACGATTCTTTTGTAATGCGGTTGAGTCACATAAATTTATAAAAGAAATTCGAGATACGTAGTTTCCAAAAAAAAATCAGATACGTATTTTTTTATTGAATTTTTCCGGTGCGTCGTTTTAGTAATAGTGTATTTCAGAGCGAGTGCCATAGGGTTTTTTACTCGCGTGAAGTCGGAGTACAGGCTGAAGGCGAGAAATGGCCAACCACGCAAGTATAAAAATCACATTGCACTAGTCGTGAACGATATTTTTCCGTAGTGAATTTCACTTTTACAAGTTTGGGGAAGGGCCAATGCCAATCCCTGGACAAGGAAAAGTGAAAGTCACTATGGAAGAAAAACTTGAGATATGTATTTCTCAATGGGCCTCGTTAATTTCAGTCCCCAAGAAATAGGTCAATATGTGCAGCAAAAAAAAATCGTTTGAAAGACACACACCTGGTTGATTGAAAAAAAATGCGCCAAGAAAATCGTTACTATAGAAAATATCTAAAGGATATCCAAGTAGTTTGGCTTTTTTTTGCGAGTGAGATGCTTTTCCACTTTTGTAGTCGAACGTCAGAGCTTTCATTTGAGCCCCATTTGACCCTAAGTTTCCAGGCATTTTAAAATGATTTTATTATTTAAGCTTCGCAGGTCTGATTTTGAATCTCGATATTGAGGCGTTAGAGAACATTTTAAAAATTTGAAAAAAAAATGAAAAAGTCTAGATTTGGAGGAAGATTGATGAAATAATTAAAAAATTGCAATTTTAGAAAATTACGAGCATTTTCTGTAAATAATTTAGATCCAATCAATTTTCCACCATAAAAATGATTTCTTCAGAATCGGAACACATTTATTCATGTCCAGAATTTTATTAAAAATCAATTTCATTCCTTAAAATAAGATGTCCAAAAGTGAACAATTTCAATTATTTCTTTGAAAAGAATCGATGTTTAAAGAAAGTAATACTTCTGTGCAAAATATAATTTAAATGACGGTGAATATTCATGTTTTTTTTTTAATCATGCAATTTGATTGACAAATTCGATGATTGAAAATGGTTGAATCTATACTGTGATCTATACCAAATTCGAAAAGATACTTGGATATCCTTAATAGAATAAGTAGACAAAAACTAAATTTATTAATCTCTTCCTATAAGATTATGTTTTTGTTATGGTTCAATCTGTGAAATTTAGATTCCGATCCAAGATAGACAATTTTTGAAGAAACGTCGCTTCTTTTGACGATTTATTAGCGGTTTTCGTGCCGTTTTTTAACTTATCTGAGTATGTTTCTTTGAAATGATTTTTTTTTTGCTTTAAATTGTAATGTTTCGTGGGTTTCTGACATCTCGTCAATACAATTGCACCGTAATAGGCAAGGAGAGGTGAGAAAGGTCGACTGTTTCCCCGACTTTTCAATCCACAAAAAAGCAAAATTTCAAACAAAAAAAAGTCATTTGAAAAAAGCACATCTGGATAAGTCGAAGAAAACACACGCCAAGAAAAACGCTATGATAAACATTGTTGTTCTTCCAAATCCCCTGGTTCCTGCAATTTAACTTTTTCTATTAGATTTCATCGTACGTCTGTTACTCTACAAATTTTGCTATCTCCTTCAATTTCAGAAAAATTTAGCAAGAACTTATCCTGAAGTTGAGTTGACCTATTAATATTTCACCACTCTTAAAATATGTTGAAGGAAATGTGTATTCCAAATTTGTATCATTGTAGAATGGGATTTTAAAAATCTTTGCTTCAAGAATAATATTATCGTTGTTCTAACAATATCTCAGTGATGAAATAGTAAAACGTGACAAGTTGATTCCTCCTATTTCGTTGAATATTGAATCATCTCGATAATGACTGATTTCAGAGAATATTTGAAGAGGTTTTCGGGAGAAGTTTTCTTATTTAGCTAGAAGTACTTGCGAGGTTTTTCCTTTATATCATGAAAAAATATTTAACGATATTTTCTGGTGTGAAATTTTTTCATCGATAAAAAATGTCCTTTTCACATTTTTCTAAAATATCTATTCTCGACATGAATGTACCATCAATAAAAAATGACGAATTCGACATCTCATGATTGACCGCTTCCTTTCTCACGCATTCTGAAATTAGACATACAAAGATTGTCCATTCGGGAATGTAGTTCTTCCCTCATTTCAGAATAAACATATCCTCCAATAAAGGAAACTCTACATCCAAGAAATTTTTTTCCGTGTTGGTGGTTTTAACTGTGATGAATGTTTTTATTTTTATCATGAAATGTGGTTGTAAGCAGTGAGAATGGTTCAACAACTCGTTGATAAGAATTTAAATGTGCAAGAACCCAAAGCCTTTGAAGAATACCTTCCACACCCTTTCCAATATTAATACCAAAAAAGTTTTCCCTAGGATTCTGTTTTTTTTCTAATTTGGGTTTGTAGAGCTGTGGATTTTGATAATCCCAATACTTACAGCTGTCATCCTCCTCGAGATAGGCCCGACTCAGGCAAATTCCTCCAATGATCGCCATACACTGAAATAGATTTCCGTCAAATTTTTAGATACACTGTTAAAAAATTTTATCTGAAACTTCCGGTACAATTTGTGGAAATTTTAATCGAATTTAATTACCACTGAAATTTCACGGAATTTTGTCATTGAAAATTCAGAATTTCATGGAAAAATCCAAGAAAATTGTGACTTTTAATTTCATTTTTCCCTGAAAATAAATAGAAAACCAGAAAATTTCAGTAAATATATTCTTGAATTTTCAAAACAGTGACATTGAATGCGATTTAATGGGAAAAAATCATACAATTACAGATTTCACTGAAAATTCAATCTAATGTGGCACTGAATATTTATATTAGATTGGAAATTCAAATAAATTGAGCAATTCTCTTCTTTATGCTGCTTAAAATTCTGGAATTTTACCGAATTTTCAGTGAACACACACGAACAAATTTAATAGAAAAACCTACTGAATTCGCTAGAAAATTCTATTGGCATTCTATTGAAATGTTCAATAGAAAAAATCAATAGAATTCGAATTTTCTATATAACTTATTCTCTTCAGATATTTTTTATGGAATTTCCTCGGCTTAAATTTTCTAAGTTTTTTTCATTCTATTTTTCTTTTCTTCTCATTAAGAAAATCAAACACAAAAACTTCGAAAATTTGTGCCGAGAAAATTCTATACAAAATATCTCAATAGAACGACTTGTATAGAAAAATTGAATTCTTTTGACTTTTTTTATAGAATATTTTCTATAAAAAATAAAAAAATGTTTTAAAAAATATTATTGTAGTTTATTGTTCAAAAATGTTTTTGAACATTTCAATAGAATCGGCCAAAAACTAATAAAAAGTACAATAGAAATTCAATAGAGTTGTCTAACAAATTTGCTACATTTTTCTATTAAATTTGTTCATCCGTGAAACATAATATTTAATAATTTTTTTCCCCTAAATCGAATTCAGTGTCACTTTCCTGAAAATTAGTAGTCAACTGTCCATGAAATTTCATTTGTTTTCTAACAGTGTAGTTCATTTTTTCGAGAATGTGGTATTTTTGCTCACCGCTAAGAGACATTGTGTTGATGCATGTAAGACTTCAATAACTTCGTAACTTAATACGCAGCCTGTAACGTTAGTCGGTCGCACTGGCCGAAATAACTCTGGCTCGGTATAGTTGTAGTCTGCTTTGCAGCCGGGTCCATTAGCCAGCCACCAAGAGAAACTTCCCGTACCGACATTGAGAATATCACTCGTCTGCGGGGAAATAAATTTAATTTATTTAAAAAGATTTAAACTCCTAAAATTCATTAAAAAATTATTTCGATAAAAAACATTGTTGAAATATTCAAATGAATGGAGCATTGATGTAAATCAAATCCGTCTCAATTTACAGTCGAGAGGCTTTTCTGTCCTTCAAAGCAAGTTCTTCTGTCATTCTTGAGAACCATGGATTATTTTTCTCTATTTAATGAACATGTTTCTTAACATCGAATGAGTTTCGTACCAAAGTGGTGAAGCGAGATAAGTCAATTTAACTTTAAGGTCAGTTTGTGATAAATGTCTTGGCATCAAAGGGAGATAACAAAATTTTCTCCAAGATTTTTTGTGGTAGAGTAGAATGAGAGCTATGAGATTTTGTCTAATATCTTGCTATTTCTTCCAATTGGGCTTTTGCATGATATTTCTTCATTGCATGAAATGATGGAATGAAAGAATTAGATGCAAAAAACTAAAGAAGTAGCTTTCCATTTTGAAAAATCATGAAAAATAGAGATCACAATTTTTCTCTATTCATCGAAATAAAAAATACGTCTACAATTTTTACCCAATTTTCATACGAGGCGAAACAAAAAATTCATGCAAAACCCTGATGCCGAGATTTTCTCCAAAACCTTCTTTGGGTTCAATTGAAATATCTTCCTCCACCACTTCATTACTGAATTGAAATCCATTGAATCTTCCAAAAAAAATTAGAAGCTCTTTCAAGAAATTTGTAAGAAATGACCGCGTAAAAACTATTGTAATGAGAACATCCTTGATCTTTAAATTCCAGGCGAATATTCATCAAGTTCGATACCAAAAAAATATAGAATTTCCGTTCTTCCGACAGAAACAACAGATCCGAAAAAAATTGTACCAAAGAATCATACATTATAACATAGTAAAAATAAATATTCTGTTAACCCACAACTCTTTCTTGTCACGTAGAAAAACAGTTTGTTCTTTCACAGCCAATGAAAACAGAAAAAAGTAAAATCAAACAATAAACACACTACGAGAGATGCTTTATTTGCATCGAATAAACTTTATTTGAATGCGAGGCGAAACAAAAATTTCATGCAAAATCCCGATGTCGAGATTTTCTCCAAAAACTTCTTTAGGTCAAATTGAAATATCGTCTCACACCACTTCATTACTAAACTGAAATCCACTGAATCTTCCAAAAACATTAGAAGCTCTTCCAAAAAATTGGTAAGAAATGACCTTGCAAAAACTATTGCAATAGGAACATCCTTGATCTTTAAATTCCAGGCGAATATTCATCAAGTTCGATACCAAAAAAATATAGAATTTCCGTTCTTCCGACAGAAACAACAGATCCGAAAAAAATTGTACCAAAGAATCATACATTATAACATAGTAAAATGAATATTCTGTTAACCCACAACTCTTTCTTGTCACGTAGAAAAACAGTTTGTTCTTTCACAACCAATGAAAACAGGAAAAAGTAAAATTAAACAATAAACACACTACGAGAAATGCTTCGTTTGCATCAAATAAACTTTATTTGAATCAATTGGCTCGTAATGTAGATTTTATCCTAATTTAAGGCCTGGGTGGATCATCTTTCGAAAGTTATCTCGATAGTTTTTCCATTTTCATAATGTAAAATATATCGCAATTTCCATTGGATTTTACATCACGCAGGAGTCCCGAAAAATTATGATTGTACAACCAAAAAAGTAGGAAAAAAACTGAACATTTTCAAAGAGCCGATAGAGAGGAAATAGTGAATGGATAATTTATCATGGTAACTAACGATCTGACAGCCATTGACTACTGTGACAAATGATGACCTAACAGCCATTAGATACATCAAATTATTAATTTGCAATATTATTCAAAAAAGCTCTTTGAAAATGTTCAGGTTTTTTAAAATGTTTTTTTGATTGTACAATCCTAATTTTTGGAGACTCCCGGGCTATGTAAAATTGAATAGCAATTGGAGATCATTTCAGATTATGAAATTAAAAAACAACCAAGATCACGTTCGAAAGATAATTCACCCGGGCCTTAAAGTGGATATTCATTTGTATTTTTGTTCACATGAGATGATTTTTTTTGTAGTATAAACAAATGTTTCTTTGAATCAAATAAATACTTTGTTCTTTAGAAATAGAATCATTATTCAAGCGCTAAAGAGGATGGCTTTGAAGCATATAATAATCCTTCATTTGCATCAAATAAAGAATTTTATTTAAGGATATCCAAGTATCTTTCACAGTTTGGTAAAGACCATACTATAGATTCAACCATTTTCAATCATCATATTTGTCAATTAAATGACGTGAGAACAATTTGAAAAAATCATGAGTATTCAGCGTCATTCAAATTATATTTTGCACAGAATTATTATTTTCTTAAATATTCGTTGTTTATATGTATATAATATAATAATTGAAATTGTTTAAACTTTCAGATAACTTTTTTAGGCAGGAAATCGTTTTCTGGTAAAATGTTGAATATTAACAAATTTGTTACAATTCCGAACAAATAGAGGATTCCTAAGGATCCGATTCCGATTTCTAGAGGTTAAATATCGAAATTCAAATTAAGACCAGCAAAGTTTAAATAATAAAATCATTGTAAAATGTCCGGAGATGTAGGGTTGAATGGGGCTTAAATGAAAGCTCTGATGTTCGACTAAAAAAGTAGAAAAGCATTTCGTTGGAGAAAAAATAGCCAAAGTACTTGAATATCCTTAATTCAAATGTATTATATATGAATGAGTGAATACCTTGTCTAATATGCCAACATCTAAGTAAAAACATATACAAAATATGTTCCATCCAAGCCACAACGTCTCCCATATACAGTACTAAACAGAGAAAAAAACATTAGACCGTCATTCCCTCCAAAAATTCAATCGTCCACCTCCCAATCCCCATCCTCACCGCTATTAAATATTTAGGTCTATACTGAAATGTCCCGAAGAACCCAAGAATAACAAAAATGATGTTGAAGAAATTGACCAGTATCGGGGCCCACATAAACCCCAGGAAGTCGAACACCTGGCGCTCGACGGTAGTGAGCTGAAAGCCAAAATAATAAAAACAAGTGGGAAATTGCCCTTGCACTGCATATAGTATAGTTATTTTTATATGAAGTATAGTTATTTTTGCCAATAAATTAGCAATATGCTTCCGAATGGTTAGTTTGCACATCAATACCTGCTATCACGTATAATTTATTGTTTATTTCATTTTGTTAAATTGAATACATTGAATTTCTTGTTTATTAATTTCGTCAGATTTTCAATTTAGTTGAATGTTATCATCATTATTATTCTTACTATCGCTTTCTTTTATAAAACCGATTGTCTGTTTTACACTTCTAGTTAATAGAAAAATTTTATTCACACATACTTGAATTAATGTGAACCATCACATTTGGAGAAACTGTTAGAAAGCTCAATTACAAGGAAATTCATGAGAAATTCGAAATTTTCAAAAATCATCGTAAAAATCAAATTAACCAATATAGCTAGCGTAATCATCTTTTAACTTCAATTTAATGGCATGAAAACGAACATTTTAAACTATGATTGAATTCATTTGAAGGACGATATTCAAAGATATCCCTGGAATTCTAAGTTTCAAAAAATCCAAAATTTTTGACAATTTCCGAATGAATCAAAATAACAATTACTGTTATCGTCATCTTCGAACTCGGTCAAAGGGACCTCCAAACAATTTTTTAAAGCCATCATTCAATCAATCCAGAACGCTTCTTTAGTTATGGTGGGACAACCGATTTTCAAAAAAATCAAAATTGAAAAAACTAATCGATGAATTAAATTTCAATTAATGGCGATCGATGGGGCTCAACAATTCCTACATTTGAAAAAAAAATCAATTCCATGCATGAAAATTGCATTTTCGGACTTTTTGAACACAAAAAATTCAAAACTTAACCCTAGTCTGGTCACATGACGGGAAAACGCGACTTTAGTCACCTTCGCGGGAGAGTGCCGCCGTGTTATTTAGGCTCCAGCGTTGCCGAATCCACTCTACACTTCCCGGGCGCGTTTAACGAGTTCCCAGCAACGTCGCGCAACAGGCCATTTCATTTAACACGAGAAAAAATTGTTCACCTGTTGGAAATAATTTTTTTTCTCCCAGAATTGAGGATACAATATTGAAAAAAAAATATTAGAATTTTCCAGATACTTCAATTGACGAATTCAATTTTTCTCAAATTTTTCCGGTCAACCAGTCGATGGCAAGATGAATAAAACGACGTGTTGCGGCAACTCCCTCGCATGGTGACCAGTCTAGGGTTAAATTTGAACGGTTGCAATTCTTCCATTCGGAAGTAAAAAATCACCCATCCACCTACACAAACCCTAATCCCCGATCAAGATTGAAATGCAGGGAATGTCTTTCACAATAACAAAGAAATTCATAAATTGCGGCAGATGAATCATGTCTATTTGAGTTTACCCAGCATTACGTTTAACGAGCGTACTCAATTCGTTTCAATTGCTCGACAGTTTAAATACTCTGTCAATTATGACTCCCATGGGCTATTATTATGTCATCAATCAACCCAATATAATCCTCCCAACAAACTCAAATGTGACAAACGTTATTACGTAATTTATCCCCGAGAAACGCGAAAAAATCACAAGCCAGGATTCAAATAACTTCAAACAATCCAGCGCTATTTCTGAAATAATGTCCCAAACAATAACGCGCGTACAATAACACGAGAACAATCGCGCATGTGAGATCGAGGCGATTCAAATCTCAGATACGATAATCCCGAGCACTTGAGAATTATCGCTCCTGATAAGCGCTATCACTGGTCCCCCCTCGCCCCCAATCCCCCGAGAATCACCCCGGCTAAAAAAATCAAATGACTGATTCCCCCAACCGCGGAAGAATTACATTAAACAGCATATTTTATCAGTGACTCAACGCGTGCACCTAAAAATTCAAATCGCCCTCGAGAACCAGTCCTAGATCATTGCACCTGCATTTCCCTCTTCCCTCTCTCTCTCTCTCTCTAAATCCAGTAGAACCACTCACAAGTTGCAGTGTACATATTGTCAGTAGAAAGTGCCTTCTGCTGCAAAATCCCATGTCATTGGGACAATTCTTATAATAATGAAATAATTCCCTAAATTATGCAATTGTCCACTATCAGCGCTCAACCACTTTGGTAATAACTTGTGTATTTGTGTACACGGATGGCACACACAGTCGATTATTCCCATTTGATGAATATTCCTAGTCTGACACGATTATAAACTCGGACGACGCCATTTTCAAAGCACTTGTTCCCTGACTGTATTCTCGTGGATGACTGAGTGACATATCCGCTTGGGTTGGCGATGGTTGCCTGGGCTACCGCTAACCAGTTTCATCCACACCTACCCCCGCCGCCCACGCTGTCTCACTCCTGCTAGAGGGAATTGAATGGCCACAGAGCTGGGTGGTTTCACTCGGTTGGTTTATTTTCCAAAGCGCACTCTCGGGTTGGAAACGATGAAAACTGTTTGAAAATATATAACAGGCTGGCCAATTGTTGTACAGGCGTACCAATGGCGGTTTAAAAATAGATGAGGTCACGTCATTCGATTTTCATCGATGATCGATCAAACCTACGTCACCGAATGACAGTTCACGTAATGAGAGCTTGTGGGGACAGGGGAATTCATCATTTTTGCTCGAGTCATCAGTGATATTATCAAAATTGTCTTTTACCCCTGCTTCTGGTGCACATATTTCAGCGCAAAATCACCGGAAGATGGTAAATAATAAGTCTTTTTTTATATTGGGGAGGGAATTGTTGTTTCAATGACAGGGGAATGGAAAATGTTTAATTACTTCCTGCAGGGATTCAACTGCTGCCGAGAATAAAAAATAAAAAGTTGGAATATTCTGATGAGCCTTCCGTTGATCCTCGAGATTGTCATTCCGGGGATAATCGTAGGAGTGTGATATTCGAAGGGGGTAAAGACAGGTTAGCATTTGGAGTATTATTTATCTGTGCTGTGGGAAGGAGAGGGGCGCTTTTGCGTGGGAGTAACACGTGGTTACTCAGCAAGCTCGGGGGGAGAATGGAAATTTCTTTTCTGAGTGATCTTATCAGGTACGGCTCGTCTAAGGTCTCCGGAAGGCACGTTCAACGTGCATAAAATATATGGCGATGGGAACTGCATGTTTCGGGCGGTCAGCTTCGTACTTTGGGGAACTGAGGAGGAGCATCACTCGCTGCGAGCATTGGTTAGTTTGGAAAAATTATGTTTTTTGGGGGAGAAATTTTCTAACAGCTCGAGGGAACTTGGTTCGAATTTTAAGAAGATGGTGCGACACGTGGTGGAAACCCACGTCGTCCGACTATTTTCTTAATTCTGTAGTAAGTGGGAACTAGGATAAGTGTAAAAATGAAACTTTTTCAGGAGAGTTGAAAAATTTAACCGCGTTTGAGAGAACTTTCGATTTAAGCAGTAGAAAATTTTTCGAAAGCATTGCACTTATCCTAGTTTACCACTTCATTACAGAATTAATATTCATATTTCTAAAAATGCACTACACTGATAGAAAAAATTATTTTTATTGAGATGGTTCTTTCTTGGAACAAGTATTATTTACTTGAACCAATTTCAAATATGTAAGATCTTACGGTGAATTAATCCAGGAATCAGGGATTTTAGAGAAATAAAACACTATGATCTAATTATCAAGGATGCGACATTTCGCTAAATATATTTTAGCTTCATCGGGCTCTATAAGGAAGTCAAAAACAAACATGTTAAAAATTGCACTGCAATTCCCAAAGAAATACGGAATCCCATCACAATTGTAGGAGATTATGTGATGTAATTATTTATTTCTTTGGGAAACACTATGATCTAATTGTCAAGGATGCGACGTTTCGCTGAATATATTTTAGCTTCATCAGACTCTGTAAGAAAGTCAAAACCAAACATGTTAAAAATTGCTTTGAAATTCCAAAGACATGAATAATCCCATCACATAATCTCCTACAATTGTGATGGGATTATTCATTTATTTGGGAATTTCAGTGCAATTTTTAACATATTTGTGTTTGACTTCTTTATAGAGCATGATGAAGCTAAAATATATTTTGCGAAACAGCGCATCCTTGACAATTAGACCATAATTTTATTTCTCCAAAATCCCTAATTCCGGGATTAATTTACATTGCTTGGAAATGAATACGTTTATTGATTCTTAGGGTGAATACCAATTATTTCTTCTTGACATACATTTACTGGAATCAAATAAAACAGCCCTTCACGTTGGCCACATGTATTCACCACAAAAAAGGAAAAGTCCTATTTTTTTTAACCTAATATAATCTCCAGTCGAGAAATTTTCTACTTTCGTGAATTGAGCAAAAATTCTTACCTAGGCGATGATTACATTGAGAAATAAATTGAATGTTGTTTTCTCCAATGAGGCCGATGTTTCAATTGAGCTTTCCGTGCATCACATTTAACGAAATTTGTGATATCCAAGTTAGTGTAGAATTGCCGTAATCTGTGATTCTGTTATTGTAAACTAATGCGATTTTTTTAGTAAAGAAATATAAATTTCTTTCAACTCAACGACACCTTACGACAATCTGAAAGCTTCTTCCGCGTAACAATATTCATCCTGATTCGACATACGAAGTGCTCACTTCAATTATAATTTACTTGGAACAACGTATGATCGTGTTGATTGAGATAACAACGTATTTAGTCATGAGAATAATTTTGATTTTCGAACTAAACCAACGAATTTAGGGAGTTAGCAAACTTTTGGCTAGAAAGAAATCAAATACTCTCATTATTGCGACAAATAAAAGGAGCTTCAATTCTAGAGAAGTTCGATTTCTCCCAATCAAATGTATCTCAAGAAGAGATAACTGGTGTTCACTATGAAATCATGTTTATTTGAAAATTAACAACCAAATAATAGTTGGTTCAAATGAAATTCTCTTGATAAATTAAATTTTTTCTGTTAGTGTATGGAATGAGAAACAAAGTGGTCACTCTTTAGTGATTAATTCAGTAGTAAATTGGTAAAATAAGATGGAAAATTTCAGTTCACAATCAGTTTTGGCACTAGAGGAGGATCGGGGAATTCTCATAAAGACCTCCTTTGTATACCTCATTTTTCTATAGAGTAGAAAAGGTCTTCGCGAGGATTCTGCCGGCTCCATGACATTGAGAAACATCTATTCAAAAGTCACTTGCAAATTTAGTAAAGCTCATTTGTTTCATCACTTTATTACGGAAGTAAATCAATCCCTGATTGTAAGCGACTGATTCTAAAATCAAGATTAATGATTAAAATTTTGAGCGGCAATGCGGTTACGTTAATTTATTGATTTTGAAAACCAACATTTAGCCTCTTCGGAGCTAATTTATAGATGTAAAAATATATTATTCAGAGGAGAAAGAATACACAGTCGTAGTGCCACATCATAAGCTATAAATAAAACAGAAAATACGTTGCGAAAGTCAAAAAAATTTCCCCAGAATTTAGATGTTACAATCAAAGTTGTGCTTCCCTCCCTGTAAACAACCACTGTTGAGAAAGATGTTCACTGGATAATGTATTTTTAGAGCAATAAATTAGCCTCTAAGAGAACCTGCACATGAGTCGCGACGTTGAATTTTTTGACAAAAAATCTTGGTTTTTTAAATCATTAACTTTACGAGACCGCAAGGCGGAACAAAAACTTAATTGTGAATTCACAATATCGAATAACACTTCTAATATAATCAAGATCAATTTTTATTCATGATGGATGAAAAGTTACGAACGCTGTTGGTCCTGCCGTAAGCACGCTCCCAAGTGCCAACAATTTTTTATGAAAATCGACGAAAAAAATATTGAAAAATTCTACTATCAACTTCGCCGCACTATCGTTGATACAACTTTGCGCACAAGTTGACTGTAAATTCTATCGGTTGTTATTCATCTCAGTTCAAAGTTGAGTAGTTTTTTTTCAATTAGCTACGAAAAAAAATCCTCTTGAATTTTCTTAGTATATTGTATTCGGAAATCCAAAGTATGCGCATTTTCGAATCGAGAAAAAAAATCCTAATTACACATACTCCTGATTTTGGCATATAATATACCTAATCGGAAACTTGTATGAATATACGCGTGAATATATAATATATTCCCCATGACATATGGATAATTAAACGGAAAAAATTATGGAGAAATATTGCCTAGATGTCTTATGATAATTAATTGAAAATCAGTCGTTTTTGCGGCCAATTTTTCGGTCATGACGTCACGAAGACGGTCAGGTAACGCTTCATTGGTAGAAAAAGAAGAGTGGGGAGTTGTGGTCCTCCATTGGCCAAGGCGCACCTCAAGATTGAGTTAGGTTGGCTCGAGCCATTCTGTGATTGGTCCAGGGCTCGACCGTCTGTGTGACGTCATTAGCGATATCAAAGTGTTTGAAATCTTCAACTTTTAACAATTAATTATTAATTAATGAGCAATATTTCAAACGTTTATTAATGAAAAATGAATTATTCAGGTCCCAAACTTGAGATTAGAAAATTGAATAAAATCCATGCAAGTTCCCTATTCTGGGTTAAATCTTTCCGTGGCGCTATAATATACGCTCCACTTGAACGGTGCAACCCACGGAGTTTCAGTATAAATATTCCAATATTATTGAAATCTTTTTTCATGAAAATCTCAATTAACAGTGCACAGAGAGAAATGTTCAGTAAAAATCACGGGATTCACAGTTCGCTCACCGATTACGTAATCGACTCAGAAAATTTAAGTGACGGTATCGTAATTGTTCACAGGAGATTCAGGTAAAAATTACGTGACAATTCCGTACAATTCTCTACAACTACATTTCGCTTAGGATTTCCGGAAAAGATAAGTAATTTTTATTGAATATTTCTCTCCATGTGCTTATCATCTTTGCGTCATTTTTTAGCACAAAATTCTAGAAATAAGAGAAATTGTTACTTATTTTAAGAAAATTTTCTCGAAAAATCCGAGAAAAAGCTTGTCATCCTCAGTCATTTCTATTTAAACCTGTACCCAAAAAAGAAAACGGGTGATTAAAGTCGACGTCGATTTCATTCTGGGACTACTCACTCAATGATCAACTGACACCATGGCTTCAAAATGAAATAGATTTTTCGTCACTAGATCCGATAAACCGCAGTTTTCGAGGCCAATGACGAAATAGTATTTTTCCGGCCTGTTGCGATGGGGTTTTTTACTCGTGTGGCGTTGGCCTCCGAGCCGTAGGCGAGGAGTGGCCAACCACACGAGTAAAAAAACCCCATCGCAACAGCCCAGGAACAATATTTTTCTGTAGTGATTTTCAAGTCTTCGAGTTTGGGAAGTATGTAATACCAATTCCCAGACGAGAAATCGTGAGAAGTAGTACAGAAAAATACTGTTCGATACACGGCCGTAATAATCCATACACAATACCCCCCTCCCGTGGTCACTAAGAGGTCGATGAAATTTTATTATTGCATTTCATGTTTTTGGGAGTGAGGAATCCGAATTTGTTGGTTATTTTTTCCTCCAGTGGCGCAATAATTTGTTATAAACAAATTAGTTCTCATTTTTAGTGAATAAATGATTTTCCGCAAAACCGCGAGAAATACTGAAAAATGTTTCGAATGAAAGTTATTCCTCTTTTTCTTACGAATAAAATTATTTTCGACGCATCGAAATCGGCCCAATAGTTCCCAAGATATGAGTTGACGAGTGAGTGTGGGTGGATAGACTGCGCGAAAGACGGCCAGTATGGGCGCGGATCATAGGATCTCATAGACTCTTACAGGATCCACTATTTTCATTCTATGAGGGAGAAATTGAATCCAGAATTATTTAAGTTTGATAATATCGATGGCATTCTCAAGCCCAGTCGAGTAACTGAATCGATTCCTCCATCATTTGGACTAATTCCTCCTTGCACGTGTAAAGCATACTCACGTAATACTAGTGCTTGCCGAGCTAACCAGGTATCTTGTATTTTTTATTGTAACTGCTCTTTGTCTCAACAATGTCAAAACCCTACGAATAAAGGTGTAGTATAAATTTATAAATTTTCTTATAATTGTCTTGTCCTTTTATTCTTGTAGATATCTTCAACTTCAATATAAAGAGGGCTACCGTTCATCGGCTAAAAGAAATTGTATATCATCATCATAAGTTGCTGGCCACATTTTTTCCTCGTCCTCCCGAAGCACACAACGCATTTGGTCCCTTACCCGCAATAAAGAGTAGTGTATGAGAAAAACTAGAAACGATCAATATACCACGGATATTATACCTCTATGCAGTTATCCAGTGCAATAGGACGTGCAAAAACAAATGATATTCATTTAGATACTCTGTTCCGCGCCCATATTGAGCCGTCTGCCGCGCAGTCTATCCACCAGCGCTCACTCTTGAACTCATATCTCGAGAACTATTGGGCCAATTTCGACGAGCCAAAAATCATTTTATCCATAAGAAAAGAGGGAAAATATAGACGCTAGTAGCCCAGTGGGCTATACGTAAATCTAGTGTGCGAAAGGTTGTGAGTTCGATTCCCCGTGGTACCGAATTTTTCAACGGAAGGCTCCGGCGAGCGGGAGGTTGCTAATAGAGTAACCGCCTGTACCGGCACGGGGTTCCTGTGGTTTCCCATGCTAATGCTACTGCTATGTTCTATAGAAGTGCGAATGCGATATAGTGTAGAATCCACAGCCGCATGCATAGGATTGGATAGAGTGCCGAAATCAGACGCGAAAAGAGCATTCAAAAAGGCCGTAAAAAAGAAATAACTTTCATTGGAAACATTTTTCTGTGTCTCTCCTGATTTTTGCGGAAATAGTATTTTTTCACACGCCTGCACGGAAAGTTCGTACTTTGCTCCCTGATGAGCGGGAGGAAAGTGAGTACTTCCCGCCCTCGGGTGGAAAGTACTCACTTTCCTCCGAACCGAAAATACGAACTTGCCTTTGCAGGCGGTTTAAAAATAGCATGTGTACCTCGGGCGGGAAAACATGACTTTCCGCCCTTGATGCACAATATACTATTTCCGGGCTGCTGCGATGGGGTGTGGCGTTGGCGTCCGAGCCGAAAGCGAGGACTGGCCAACCACACGAGTAAAAAACCCCATCGCAGCAGCCCGGAACAAGATTTTTTTGTAGTGATTTTCCAGTTTTCGAGTTTGGGAAATATGCAATACCAATTCCCAGATGAGAAATCGTGAGAAGCAGTACAGAAAATCATTTATTCACTGAAAATGAGAGCTAATTTGTTTATAACAAATTATTGCGTGACTGGAGGAGAAAAGAACCAGAAAATTCGGATTCGTCAGCCCCAAAAACAAGAAATCCTATCATAAAATTTCATCGACTTCTTAGTAACCACGGGAGGGGGGTATTGCGTATGGACTGCGACTCTCAAACCACGTCTTTGTGAGCGTTTCACGAACTAATTGCCAAAGAAGTTCATTTTCCCGCAGATCTATCGTGAAAATATATTTTTGTAATTGATTCGAATTATGTAATTTCTATTTGAGTTTCGATTGAAATAATCTCTCAAATAAAGAGTCATATTTATCTTCAGGTTGTACATCATATAGTGGATCATTGGCGAGAGCACGCGCCGTTCGTCACAGCCGAATGGAACATATCAAATCCCCAGGAGTACCTAGATTTCATGAAAAATGAGGGTGTCTATGCAAGCGAACTAGAATGCACTGTTGCCACAAAACTCTACGGATTAAATCTCTCGATTTACCGTAGAGTCAGCGAGTATGACATAAAGCGGGTGTTTCACAATCGTGTCAGCATCAACCGGGAAACAGCCAGGCTTCTGTTCACCGGACGCTCAGATAGCGGTCATTATGACGTCCTGTTCCTTGACCCCTGAGATATACAATGCGAATAAAGAGCACCTCACCGCACGTATTACTAACAAATTTGCCTGAAAAATCAGACAACAATTCTCGAAATATAAATAAATTTTCTATCGTAAAATGAATTTCACGCTTATGAAAAATAATAAAATTGTGATCATTGAAGTGATAAATAATTGTTGTAAGTACAAAAGAAGTATAATATAAAAAATTAATAGAAATTGATAGGAATTCTGTGTCTATGTTTCTTGGTCCCTTTTTTTACACAAAATCGAATACTTTGATGCATCAATTTTTTTGTCAATGTAATGGCTTTCTTCTTCTTACAAATTACCTTAATTTTTAAGCCGTGGTTCTTCACAGCGATTCACTCCAGAGTTGTTTTTGACGTGTTTCTGAAGTTGATATTTGATTGGTGGAATATCTCACGTGCTTCGTGGTTACAGCTCTAACTATCGCGGTTCGATAACATTTCAGGCCAAAATTATCACAAGAACGAAATATTATGGTAAATAATAATTCTTAATTGAAAAATTGAGAGCAATTTCTATGCAATGGCTTCTTAGGACTCCTCAATATCCCCATCCTTGTCGTTAGTTCTGAATTACGCTAGGAGCTGAAGAGAATTGAATTCTTCTGATCAGCACCTTTTGATATTCTTTAAAATGTGTCACTTATTGGTTAAAATGAATAATTAGTTTCTTCCCGAAAAATAAAGTATTATTTTAATTTATAATTGTCAATTCAATTTGTCGCATGGAGGGCGAGGAAGGTAAACTAAAAGAACATCTCTCTACATTATAAAAATTCAAATCGACTGCTGGTGATTAAAATTTGATACTCGAAATTAAGGCGATAGGTCGGTGTAATTTAAAAGTCTTCACTGGGCCTTAGGACCCATTGAACAGTTTGTGATATACGACGGAATATAGGAATAACTTGGGAAAATCGTGGACCCATGTAACCATGAAAAACTTAATTTTTTGCTGTTTTGCTTTTTACCTTCAAAATGCTCCTTGCGCTGTAATTTTCATTTGATTTTAGCTTTTTTTTAAATGTTCGTTACAGTCCAAAGAATAAAGTCAAGCATTGGTTTCGAGTTATAATTTTTTTTTAATGGCTAGTCTTTATTTTAAGGCCCGGGTGTACTATCCTTTGAACGTTATCTTGATGTTTTTCTCATCTTTCGTTATCTGGAATTGTCAATTAAGTCCTGTATCATGCAGAAGTTTTGAAAAATTATGAATGAATAATTTTGAAAAAGTATAAAAAATTCTCAATTTTTTCAAAGAGCATTTTTAATTTATATTCAGAGTAAGTTGAATACCAAGAGATTGAAAAATGTATCTGATTTACGGTGACAAATGGCGGCCTGTCACCCAATAACATGCAGGGGGAAGACTGATTTCATAAATCTTTTCCCACATTGCACAGAGACATTTATTACGGAAAAGGCTTTTTGAAAAAAGTTGTAATATTTTGCATCTATATTATTCCCGGGGCTATTCTACTCGGTCAACCTTAGATGTTTTTTAAGGCATAAATTACTTGGAAAGCGGGATGCTATATGCTATCCATTGACTTTCCGGACCTCTATATGAGAGAAATAATTGAATAATTATCAATGCACAAATTAGAAAATTCGGAATAGCCCAGGGGATAATATAGATGTTTAAAATACCGGTCGAAAAAATGTCTTTGATTGTTGTAATATTTTGAAGAATTTTGTAATCATACTTTTATCACATGAAAATGGCAGATGACTATATACCACTGTTTTGGAAATTGAGATACCTAGCTGTCGCTTCCCACGAGGGTTAGTGTTTTGTTATCCACCATGGAAAAAGACAGCTAATAGATAACTTGCCACAGCAAATCAGATATTTGTAATTTCCATTTTTTTCAACTCATTCTGAATCTCAATTAAAAGCGGTCTTTGAAAAAATTTAGAATTAAAAAAAATTTTTTTTATCATTCTATCACAATTTTTGGAAATTTCTATATCATATACCACTCAATTGACAATTTTGGATTACGAAAGATAAAAAAAAAATCAGGTAACATTCGAAAGTACACATGGGCCTTAAATATTTTTTTTCCAAATTGACCTGAATATTTCCAGGGGGTTTCGAGCTATCAAACCGCCCTTTGGCATACGTAGCATTACCTTCAGTTTGACGGGGTTTATACGAGAAAACGTTTTTTTTTCAATCGTTAATTACGCAAAAAGATAATTTAGTAAAAGTCTAAAATTTTTGCCAAAAATTTATCAATAAAATGAAAGGAATTTTGGTGCCAATTAGAGGGTGTCTTTTGCCGTAGTTCTGCGGTTATTATTTTTTTCGGTGAGACAAGTATTGAACATGACCAGAAATCGCTAATATTCATACAATTATCTCCCGAATGAGTGAATATTCAATTAAATAATTAAAAATGAGTCAATTCAATTAAATTCTCGATTACAAAAAATGAAAGCTCTTCGAAAAATGTATTTTAATTGTATAATTAGAGAAATAATAATTTTTCACTCAAAAAATCATACTTAAGATGAATAATAGAAGATGTAATGAGTCTAACCTCTACCATTTGCTAATATTTGATTGAATATTCACTTATATTTTGGCGATAATGGCCTGAATAATAGCGATTTTCGATCATTGACAATACTTGTCTCAGTGAAAAAATTAATAACCGCCGAACGGCGAAAGACAGACTCTAATTGGCGCCAAAATGCTCATCATTTTATTAACAATTTTTGGTGAAAATTTCAGATTTTAAAACAATTAGCTTTTTGAGTAATTAACAATTGAAAAAAAAAAACGTTTTCTCGTATAAACCCCGTCAGACTGAAGACATTGATATGTTTGCCATCTCATTTTGAAAGGTTTTTCATGTTCTTTGAGTGTGCCAAAGGGCGATTCGATAGCTTGAAACTGGACAGAGATATTGGGGCCGATTTGGAAAAAAAAATTGTTGGGAAAAAACTATCAACTTTCAAAAAATCATAACTCCCTCAACTATCCATATTTTTCAATTGTTCTCTGTTCAAAATTTTTGTCTAATCGCCATCTTTTTAGAAAAAAATTGAGAGGGAATCCCCAACATCCACTTTTTTGTCCGGTCGATTTCGCGTGGATCGGCTTATAATTATGCCATGTATTATTTAATGACCGCAAGGTCACCAATTCTTGATTCATTGTGATACACATTGCAGTTATAACAATGGAGTAAAATATTAGGAAATAAATAATTCGTAAAAATTCACAGGACTGTCGTTCTCCGTTCCTTTTTCTGCACAAAACCCACTATTTCGATGAAATAATTCTTTTTAATATGACAATGAGTGAGAGATTTACAATTCAATGAAATAACAATAGAAAAGTACTTTTTAGAAGAGATCGTCACATCCTTGCGTGTACAGCCATCGCGTGATGTGCGTTATGGCCCCATGAATTGCGCAGCTATAAAAAAAAATAATAATGATGTTAATGTTAATAATGTTAATAAAAGAAACGAAATTTCCAAAATTTCGTATTTATTCATTCATCCATCCGTTTACATACCTAATTCGATACAATACTGTGGACCACCAACTAACTAATAAACAACACTGGTCTCTTCGCACTGCCTGCACCACGTCATTGGCAACTTGTTCTTCACTATGCGTCAATAACCTGTGATGAATGAAAGAAAAGAGGCAATTTGTGAAAATAAAAAAAAATATGGCGAAATATGAGGTGAGTTATGGGCTATTGTTACCTCGGGTCTGCCTTCGGCGCAACCGTGATAAAATTTATCTGCCCGCTGCGACCGCTAAACTGCTGACCTAGACTCTCCATCAGTCCTGAAACAAAAAAAAAAGGTAGAAATGTGACACAATATCATGCAATGAAAAAACTTGTCTGCAACCTGTAAGAAAGATATTTCTTCGAATGTCAAGGGTATGAAACAGCGATCGGTCGAAAATCATTACATTTGTAATATTTCTGTAATATTATTAGAATTTGCACCTTTCTATTACTATGGTTTTTTTTATCTCAATTAAAATTTGCAAATAATAAAATAATTCATAATTTCAATTTTCCATCAACTATTGAGTAAATACTTCTAAATTTAATAAAACGATTTTTCGAGTAAACATGTAATGGTCAAACTTCTGACACGATTACTGGTTGATAGATTTTGTCGGAATTTGAATATTCTGTTGATGATTAAATTGGTAATTGAAAATTGTTGGGTAATATTATCACTTAACATAAGCCAAATTTAACTTATTTTGAAATTGATGATTGTTCCGATTCATGGTATGAAATCAATTATATTGAGATACTGAATAGTTAAAATAAACTCTAATGCGAAAAAACTCAGACAATAAGAAAGGAGTGGGAAATTACTCTTTGCATTGTATTTAGTGGAGTTATTATTGCTAATAAATTAACGATATGCTTCCGAATGTTTAACATAATTTCCTTCTATCATATATAATTCATTGTTTATTTCATTTTATTAAATTGAATAAATTTCTTGTTACCTATTTTATCAGATTGCCAACTTATTCGAATGCTATCAGCATCATTATTCTTATTATCCCTTTTCTTCTATACAACCGATTGTCTTTTTTACAGTTCTATCTCTCCCCTCCGCCCTTCGATAAAATGCTAATAGAAAAATTTTATGTACACGTACTTAAATGAATTTGAAACATCACATTTGAAGAAACCATCAGAAAGCTCACTTTTACGGAAATTCATGAACATTTCAAAATTTTCAACAATCATAAAAATCAAATCAACCAATATAGCTATCGTAATCATCTTTAAGATTCGACTTAATGGCATTAAAACCAACATTTTAAGCTATAATTGAATTCATTTGAAGCATGATATTCAAAGATATCCCCGGAGTTCTGATTGTCAAAAGGTACAAAATTTTTGAAAATTTTCGAATAAATCAAATTAACGATTATTGCGATCGCCTTCATCTTCGAACTCGTTCAAAGGGACACCCAAACAAATTTTTTAAGCCATCATTCAATCAATTCAGAACATTTTTTTTAGTTATCGTGGGGCAACCGATTTGCAAAAAAAATAAAAAATAAAAAAAACTGATGGATGAATTAAATTTTAATTAATAGCGATCGATAGGGCTCAACAATACCTACATCTGAAAAAAAGAAAGATTCAATTCCATCCATTCATTAGCGAATAGACATACATACATACATACGCACGGACACGGTCTAAAAATTACATTTTCGAACTTTTTGGATCATAATGGGTCGATATAACCCAAAACTTAAATTTGAATGATTACAATACTTTCATTCTAAAACAAAGATAACAATGATGCCAATTTAAAAAAAAAAAAGAAAAAAATTGTGCATTCCTGAATAATAACATCATGATAGTGACCATAATGAGTATGTTTCTCTGGCCTTGTGGCCGTCATTATGATAGTGAACTCAAATGTTATCATTAAGCCTTCATTCATTTAATTATACAGTTGTAACTTCACCTGCAATAGCAGCACGAGTACCTCTGTAAGCATCCTCAGTAGAAGTAGTCGGTGTAATTCCAACAACATGAGCTCTTTCTTGATGCAGCATAAAAGGCAGAAATGCCACAACAGTCTGAATGAAAGCAAAAAAAAAATTATCCAAAAATAAAACAAATTTATCTGCAAATCTACAACGCATTTTCCGCGTCTTCTGGGTATCATCATAGAGTTTACAATTGAGTTCACTCACCCAGTAGTGACTCATCAAGGTCGTGCTGACAGTATCAAAGATGTCCAGTCCAGGATTCCCGACGCACGTTATGAGTGCATCGACTCTACCAATCTCACTCCTGACTCGCTTAGCAACTTCTCTTATCGCATTTCTATTTCCCAGGTCGCACTCGTGTGCCCATACCCTTTTACCCAGAACATCAGTGGCATCCTGTTTCCTGTGAGTTGGCCCAACGCCCTCGATCACTGGGTACCGGGATACAAGTTCGTCGGCTGTTTTTCTCACAGACTCGAGGTCACTGTCTACGCATACAATGGTACAACCAACCCGAGCGAATGCCTCGGCGAGACATTTACCCAGAGACGATGTTACACCTGTTATCTAGAAACATAAACGTTTCTTTCATCAGTTTTTAGTACTCCGAATGTACGATAATAACTAGATGGTGGAGGAGCACAATCGTTGCAGAATTTATTAACATACGCACTGAGATGAATTTATATAGAATTTTACTCCAAATTCTAGTAAACATAAAACGTCATGACCTTGGATGAGTTTTCATCAAAACCCTATGGAAGTGAAAAGAAAACTATAAGTTTATTAAAAACTACAATATTTTATCTGAGAAAATAGTTTTTTGAAAATAATTAAAAAAGGATTTTTTTGGGCCAAACATGCTGACAGTGCGCCGGAATGAAAAATTTTTGTCGCAAAATAGTATATAATACTTTTCCCACGAGTATCGAACGATATTTTTCATCCCAATGGGTGGAAAAGGGACGTTTTAGGCATGCCAAGCGTTTTTGTGGATAACGATTTTGGATTAATTCAATTATTAGTTCATACTGAAATTTGCGGGACGATTTATCTATTTTGGCCTTTCTTCTCATTTTGATCAGAACCATCAATTCAGAATAAAAATCATTAAATTAATTTTTCTGTTTTTTATTCTTTTTGTTGCGTCGATCGAGTTCCCTCTGCTTCGATTTTCTTTTCTTTTGTATAACTACAAATCTTTTCTAAACAATAAACTGAAAAAATCGGTATTATTCAAACAGTGATCTTTTCATTTCAAATCCTGACTTCATTATTATTATTGTCATTATCGTCTGTATACAGCAATAAAGAATACATTCGCCAAATCCTCCCACCTCGTATTCTGCACTGATAGAAAAGGTGGAACGATTCAGTTGCACTAAACGAGGCTTCTTAACTGTTACCGCGATTCGTTAATAGTTAACGAATCGTGGTAATAGTTAAAAAGTCTCGTTTGGTTCGACTAAACCGTTCTATCAGTGTGTGAACTCAAATCTCGAAGGCCGTATTTCTTATAGATGTTTTTTCCGTTTTGTTTCAATCTGTATCGATTCGAAAATTATCCCTCAACTCATAGAAACTGATTGAAATCAATTGTTTGCTTACATTTTGTATCCAGATCCTCATGAAGTGTAACCGAATCCAACCGGCTGTGCACTACATAAGGCTCGATAAACAGATTAGTCGATCGAACACTCCGGATAAATGTAATTTTAGAAATTTATTGCACTCTGTATAATGTATATAAATATTGTAATTCGTGCAGAAATAACTGCACTTTGGGAGGAAAACAATGAAAATGGACTTCGATGCCTTTGAATATTTATTCGTTCGAAATTATGCCGCAGGGATGCTCCAAAACTTGTGCCACCGCGGTATTTGTAAAAAAAAGAGAAATTCATTTCTGACTAATAAAAAATATATAGTTTCGTAAAAAAAATATGTATACAATATACATATAGTATATATGGGGTATTTCATGTGAATTCACCCAGGTTAAAACCCTCACCATCGCCAATCATATTGCCGATTTTTCATGTGGTTGTATATAGAAAAATATGACTTCTCAAATTTTTTCCGATTTTTTGAGGCATCCTGTGGACAGCCATGTTTTTTTGCAAGTTTTATTTTCAAATGCCTGTTACTTCCGTAAAAATCAACCGATTTGAGTTTTTTTTTACAAAATGTGCGTCTTCGAACACACTTTCCATATAAAAATATGCAAATTTTTTTCAATTCGTTCTTCCATCGATTTCCTCAGAAAAACCTCAAAAAACTTCAAAAAACGAGTCCTTTTCAAAGTTGGACCCTTTTTATATTTTTCAAAAAATTTCAGTGAATATATTGGACCAAAATAAAATTTTTTTCACTCATATAATGGGAATAAACTTCTCAATTACTAGAACCGGGCGCGCGCTTCGCGCCTCTTGTTTTCCATGGGTGCCGCAATAGTAAAACCTTATCGTTTCTCACTTTAAAGAAAAAAAAAAAAGACATGTGAAAAAAAACATTACATGTGAAAGATCATACAGGTGTCCATTCGGAAATCAAATTGGTCGACATGAAGAGAATAAAAAAAATTTAAAAAACGTATTCTATCAAGGTACAGCAAGCTGTCACATCCTTTATACTAGCAATTTGGTTAAAATTGCCTTGCGACTACCCATCGAATCGCAATCAATTTCTAATGGTATTAGCGAAAGAGGAAATCCTTTACCAAAACAACATCTCCAGTTAAATTCCGCGGAGGTTTCGGCAGGATTGTCTTGATAATTCCTAAGAGTGCTAATGCTGCTGAGAAGACTGCTCCCAGCAAAAACTCAGCGAACCCAGCGAATAAATAGAGCCATGCTGTCGATGAAGGTCCTCTAAGTCTTGAATTGATGAACAGATCCTCACGTAATGGTACCATAACTGTAAAAAAAGTAATTTGCCAAAGACACATAAAGAGACAATTTATGACAGAATGAAATACATCTCATAATATAAAAAACATGATAACTGACACATTATATGACTTCGGAATTGTAATTAATGACCCTTCATCGGATGGGTTGAATAGAGAATACACTTTTTTCAATCCATTATAAAATTCTGATTGTCTCGGAAAGATGCGATTAACGATCTTGTAATGAAGTATTTGCATATCTCAACAATGTAAGCGATTGGAAGCATTTAATGCGAAGTTCTTAAATGTAGGAAGGTCAGAATGTCGGAGGATTCTACGTGAAAGATAATTCTGGACGTAGGTTTTTCATATTTATTCTTCATTACTTACATAAATCTCATCACCGTGATGAGCTTAATGAATGCGACAATTTGTCTATCAATTTATTTGTTCATTGATTTGCTTTTATTTGAGAGAAGGGAAACGTAAACTCCCCTGTTGGGTAACAAATCTTTTCTGACAATGTGCCCGTCAAAAATAAAGTGTTAACCCTCGAGTCGCACCTCTCCACCAAACATATCTGATGGTCGCGTGATGAGAGCTGCGCCGTTCCGTGTATTTTACCAGTTTGAGAAAAAAAAAGTTCAAAAAAATTATGTATTTATGATTAAACGAGTAACTTTGAACTTCCAACCTCGAACTTCGATGCGAAAATTTGACATTTAGAGGTTAGACACAGAGATTTTGACCTAGTCAAATTTTTAAGGAATTTTAATTTTTGATCGATGCAAAGATGCACAGAACAAAAATTGTTTAAATGTTTGACATGGTGGAAAGTAGGAGTTGCAATTTTTTCAGATTTTTTCTCAACAACATTTCAGCGTAAAAAATAAAAATCGAGAACGAACGGCGCTCGTGCCATGACGCGAGCGATCGAGGGTTAATTGTAAAAATTTAGGAAAAACTCAGAAACGGATCTTCAAGAATAGACAGTTGTGGTATTTTCTGCCATACCTGAAGATCTTTTTTGACTTCATTCACATGTTTTCGAGTTTTTACATGGGTAGAAGATGCTCCCTGCATGGGACGGGTTCTTCATTAAGGTCATTTTTCAATTGCTCAACCTTTGGATTTAAATATAAGTACGGCTCTTCTGAAAAAGGTATACCCAAAAAAAGTCGGCCTGAATCGAATTGAAAAATCGGTCTATATCATTTTGGACTGAATCATGCCAGGAATCGACTCATTTTAGTCGGATCGATGGCGTGAAAGAAGTCTGACTCGGAGAGATACAAGCCGGCAAGTCGGTCTGATTCAAATCGATTTTTCGAATTGATTCAGGTCGATTTTTTGGCTTGATGCAAGTCGATTTTTCGACTTGATTCAAGTCGATTTTTCAGCTTGATTCAAGTCGATTTTTCGGCTTGAGCCAAGTCGATTCTTCGGCTTGATTCAAGTCGATTTTTCGGTTTGATCCCGAGTCGAATAATTGGACCTGACAAATTCTACTTAGGTCTTTCCATTCAGAACTGGATAGGTCTTGGGAAGCCTCTTCCCAAGTGCTTCCGAGACCTTTCTACCTCTGGTTATGTCCCATTTCAGCACTTCTTAGGTGTAAGCAGGACTTGTATTCAGACTTTCCAAATCCTTGCCGGTCCCCGTAATTCTATGGCCCTATATTAAATCTGCGTTCATATCCCTGTTTACTCATGCGTTATTGAAATAAAAAATGCAATTATTGTTTTTTTTTTAATCTCGAAAATCGACATTTCACGAGAGGGTGGAGGGGAGATGCATGTATGTGGAGGCTTGACATTTTTACTCAACAAGGGGAGAAGGTTGCAGAATCTATCCTAGCCACTCTTGTCCCTCCGCTTGCATGCATTATCCAAATAGAAAATGAAAGTGTTAACAAATCTGACCCGTGTTCCAAGTAAAAACCGAAAATCTGACCCTGTGGCC